TAGGTCTGTAGGTCGGGGGACTGCCTTGCATGTGGCCAACCCGGGTTTGATTTCCGGCATCCCACACGGTTCCCTGAGCCCGCCAGGAGTGATTCCTGAGCTGGGTGTGGCCCAAAAACAAGAAAGAAACGGGAAAGGAGGCCCTTCCCCTCCCGCCCCCCCCCCCCCCCCCGTCCCTCAAATACTTGAGGTTTAACCAGATTAAGTATTTCTGCCTTCTCCAACACTTTCGGGGACCAAAGAGATAATACAGGTTAAGGCATTTGCCTTGCAGGCGGCCAACCCAGTTTGAATCCCCAACACCCCCACAGAGTCCTGTGAACCCCACCAGGAATGATCCCTGAGCACAGAGCCAGGAGTAAACACCAGCCCCATCCAAAAATAAAAATAAAATAAAATAAACAGACTCATTGTGGTTGGGGAGATAATCTGAAGGGCTGAAGCACAGACTTTGCATACATGACTCCCAGGTCCCACGCCTGGCACTGCATGGTCCCTTGTGCCGTCCCGGAAAAGAATCTTTTTGTGTGTTTTGGGGGATTTTTCTTATTTTCTTGTGGAGACGTCAGGGATGCAGACGTTTGTATGTATGCGTATATGGGGGGCAAGTTTTCTACCACCAAACTACTTCCCTAACCTGAGTTGGTTTTTTTGTTCTCATTAAGAAAAATACACACAGGGTTGGAGGAGTGGTAGGGCAGGGAGGATGTTTGCCTTGCACGTGGCTGACCGGCACCCCATACGGTCGCCCAAGCACCACCAGCAGTAATGCCTGAGAGAAGAGCCAAGAGGAAGCCCGAAAACTAATGCATCAATTTGGGGTTTTTTGTTTTGTTTTTCTTTTGGGGTCACACCGGACAATGCTCAGGAATGACTCCTGGCTCTGCACTCAGGAATGACTCCTGGCGGTGCTCAGGGGACCATGGGATGCTGGGACTCGAACCCGGGTCGGCCCCGTGCAAGGCAAACCGGCCTCCCCGCGGTGCTATCCCTCAGGTCCCCTCATGCATCAATTTGGAAAAACAATTCCCTCCTCGTAAGTCTCTTCCAAGTCTCCCCAGGGAGATCTCCCCACAGACATCCCCTCCCCGCAACACCCCCCCAAACCCGCACAGGTCCGACCCTCCGAGTGGGGCCCGAACAGGGCTGGACTGTGGCCCACCGGCCGGCAGGTCTCTGAACCAACTGCAGATCCCAGAGGCAGGTGGGACTTCCTGGGACAAATCCAGAAGTCCTTGCCTCCCCACTCGCCTCCCGACTCCCATCCCCACGGACAGGACACGCGAGACAGGCAAGCCTGACGGTCCTGAGCAAAATGTAGAGTGAAGGGGCATGACCCCTCCCCTCAGGCTGGCCCTGTTCCCTCCCCTCTGCCCACCCTCACATACCCTCTTCCTTCAGCCCATCCACACATGCCCTCCCCTCAACCCCCCCACCTTGCCCTCAGCCAACTGCAAGTGTCCTCCCGCTCCCGTCAGCCCTCCCCCCTCAGCAGCCCCCATCCGCCCTCCCCCTCAGTCTGTCCCCATGTCCCCTCCCCTGTGCCATCTCTCAGCCAGGCACCTTCTGAGTGGGTGCAGAGCCCAGAACTCAGTGGGGAGCACACACTCTCCTGTGGCTCAGTCCCAGCCCCCTCATGTCCCCCTCGAGCTCCACGCCAAGAGTTAGTTGTCCCTCAGCACCATCAGGTCTGGCCCCAGGGTCCCACCCGGAGATGCACAGGGGTTACTCCTGGCTCTGCACTCAGGAATTACCCCTGGCGGTGCTCAGGGGACCATCTGGGACGCTGGGAATCGAACCCGGGTCGGCCGCGTGCAAGGCAAACGCCCTACCCGCTGTGCTACCACTCCAGCTCCTACAAGACAAAAAAATGAATTCATGAACAAGTAGATCTTTGGGGCCGGAAACCACAGGAGCTTGCCTCGCTCACTCGCACACAGTTGACCCAGGTTCAACCCCCGGCATCCCGGCTGCTCCCTCGGGCGCAGAGCCCTGAGCAGAGCGGGGTGCGGCCCCCAAACCCACACAGAAAAACCCAAGCAGAGAACCCCACGAGGCCAGGAGGCGGGCTGGCAAGGGAACGCAAGGAGCAGGAGCTCTGGTGGACGGCGGTGCAGGAACCGGCCCAGGGGCCCCGGCCGGAGGGCTAGTGTGTGTGGCTGTGTGTGTGTGTGAGGCCCTGCTCAGACGGATCCCCGGCAGCGCCAGCAGGACCCCCAAGAACCAACCAAGCCAGGAGCAATTCCTGCGGGAGGGAGAGAGAAAATGGGCCAAGCCCCGAGGAGCAGCAGACACATGGCTGGTGTGGCTGGGAGGGGGGTCCCCGGCAGAGCTGCCCATCACCCGAGAGGCAGGAGAGCAGCCCGAGTCAGGCTCAGGGAAGCGTCTCCTGAGAACCAGGTCCCGGGCGCAACCTCCCATCCAGCCCGACACGGGCCGAGAACAGCGCCAGCTGGCAGCCGTCATTCCCGGGGGACAGCAGGCCAGTGTCCTCCAGGAAGGCCGGGCCCCGCGTCCAGCTGGGGTCACAGGGCGGGCGTCTGGAGACCTCTAGGTACTTCCTTCTCTGGGCCAAGCAAGATGTTCCCTCCAGCAGGGATCAGGGGACTGTAAGGGGTGACAGGGATGGAACCCGGGTCAGCCACGTGCACGGCAAGCACTCTGCCCAGTGCTGCCTCTCTGGCCCCGAGGCACACCCCAAAGCAGACCCTTATTCTCCAGAGTGCCCCTACCACCTGGTGTGCGCCAGAGGGGAGGGGGCGCAGTGGGAGCCTGCTGAGTGCTGAGGCCACAGGAAGGAGGAGAGGCACCCCCCGGAGAAGGCCCAGTGGCACCGCCCACATCACAGCGGCAGCTGTCTGGAGCGCGGAGAAGCACTCGAGGAAAAAGTGTTTCCAGCACAGGAGGAGTTGGTTGGGGGCAGAGAAACCGTTCCCAGGGCCAAGTATGAGCACTGTCCGCAGGGGACTCCAGTTCCATCCTGGACGCATGGACGCCCGAGCACCGCGGGGAAGGACCCCCAAGCACTGCTAGGTGAGTCCCCCAAAGAAACAATGTCCCTCCCCCCAAGAGAGCTTGGTGGAAATTGTGCAAACTATGACACAGGAGTGAAAGGCTCACACGAGAGAGGGGGCCAAAGGGCGTCATCAGCGTGAAGAGGCAGTCCCACGGGGTGCGGGTGGGGGTGGCCGGGTTCCTGCGGTGCATCCGGCAGACTAGGGTTCAAATCCCCGCATGCCTACAGTCCCCTGAGCAGCGGGAAGGTTCACGCATGAGTAGACCCAGGAATAACTCCCGAGTACCACTGGGCATGGTCCAAATGCCCCCCTCCAACCCTCTCCCTCTCCCCCACCGCCGCCCGCAAAATAAGGAATCAACTCCAACTAATGGGACTCAGTGGTGAGGCACATGCCTTACAGGTGAGGTTTAATCCCCAACACTGCATGGTCCTCCAGGCCCCCCTGGGAGTACGCCCTGAGAAGCACTGGGTGTGCCTCCAACCCCCCCCCCAAAGAATCTAACAATAATTAAAAAATGAGGGGCTGGAGCAATAGCACAGCGGGTAGGGCATTTGCCTTGCACGCGGCCGACCCGGGTTCAATTCCCAGCATCCCATATGGTCCCCCGAGCACCACCAGGAGTGATTCCTGAGTGCAGAGCCAGGAGTCAGCCCTGAGCATCGCCGGGTGACCCGCCCCCCCCCAAAAAAAAATAAGAAATACATTTTTTGACTCCTACCATAAGTGCTGGGTAAGGCAAGACCCAGACACCACATGTATCGGGGCCTCTGGTTACCGACCTGTTCACTCGAGTTTCTAATGGTCTTTAGACCCTCTTACAGGGAGAAAGGAGACTCGGCCACACCCAACGGTGTTCAAGGGCGACTCCTGGCTCTGTGCTCAGGAGTCCTGCTGGCAGTGCTCGGGGGACCATGTGACTTTGAGGGCTGAACAGGGTGAGCCACCAGGACGGCGGGCACTTTAACCTCTACCATCTCTCTGGTCCAGGACCCCGGTTTCTGGAGGCTGGGGGAGGACCTCACCCAGCCGTGCTCAGGAGTTATCAGGCTCTGCACTTGGGAATTATTCCTGGTGGTGCTCGGGGAGACATCATGAAATGTTGGGGATCGAACCCAGATCAGCCAGCCCGCTACACTAACGCTCCAATCCCCTGGATCCCATTTTCTTTTTTTCTGTTTTTTGCTTTTGGGGTCATACCCGGTGATGCCCAGGGGTTCCTCCTGGCTCTGCACTCAGCAATTACTCCTGGCGGGGCTCAGGGGACCCTATGGGATGCTGGGAATCGAACCCGGGTCAGCCGCGTGCAAGGCAAACGCCCTCCCCGCTGTGCTACTGCTCCAGCCCCTGGATCCCATTTTCTGAGAACACAAATGTACATCTGCCTGCCATGACTCACAGTCTTCCCCCCCAGGATCTGGTTTCCAGGAGTTCCGTAGCCCCCTCAGGCAGGAAGCACGGGTCCCGCCCAGCGGGGTCCTAGCACAGGACAGACGTCCGGGGTACACTGTGATTCCCCTCACATCTGCTCCCTCGTCCGTTCAGTCACTCGTTCAGGGTCAAAGTGCGCAGGGACACGAGCGTTTGGTGACCCCCCCATTCCAGCAGCACAAAGAGAGAGGTGCCCGCGTGGGTCAGCCCACCTGACAAAGCTTCCTCCCGGGCCACGGCGGCTTGTACGAAGCGGAGGGGAGGGAAATGCCTTCAGTGCAGAGAAGAAAAGGGGACGGAAAAAATGACACAGTCCAGCGGGCGGCCTCAAACCACTGCAGAGTGGCGGCACCCCCGCCAGAACCCTTGCACGCCGGCCGTGAACTCAGAGAACCCCAGGACAGGACCTTGACTGAGCCACACACCACAGCAGAGTGGGAGAGGAGGAGGAACATGGTACTCCTGCCAAGGATGAGCCTGGACCCCACCCCCCCATTTCCCAGGGAGCTCCACCAGGAGGGCACCTGCTGCCAGGGGCAGGGGCAGACAGAGCTCAGGGCCGCAGGTCTAGGACATTCCACCCTGTCTCAGGAGCTTCCCGCCACCGTCGGGGACACCTGGGAGCTGAGTCTGCTCCGAACCGGCCAGCCTGAACCCCCACTGCCCCCCCAAAAGTCTCACAGAAGCAGTAGTGAGCGGCTTCTCAGACCGACCCTTGGCGCTGGAGTGACCAGACAGCGGGGAGGATGCTTGCCTTGCAACGCGGCCGACCCAGGCTCAGTCCCCGGCAACCCATATAGACCCCCGACTACCACCAGGATTGATTCTTAAGCACAAAGCCAAGAGTGAGCCCTGACCCAAAAACCAAAACCCCAACAAGAGCAAACCCTAACTCGGCCTACAGTGCTGACACAGCAGGGGTAGGGTCTTGCTATGCGTGCAGCCCACCTGGGTTCAACGCCCCCACAATCCTCATGGTCCCGTTGGCCCACCAGGAGTGATCCCCAAGTGAAAAGCCACAAATAAGCCCTGAGCACCACCAGGGATGACCACAAGATAAAACAAAAACTCATACCACCCCCCTCCCACCCAGCACTACGCCCACCCACCACGGTGGGCGCCCCTCAGGAGCCATGTCTCAATCCTAAAAAGCCCTCCGTGGTCTCAATCTCTCTCCCAAATCCAACCCCCGCCCCCCTGGCTCTCCTGGGCAAAGGAGACATTTCATGCTCAGTGGAAATAGTCGTGGTTCCAGGCGGGACCCCAACATCACACACACTTGGTGTCGCAAACTTCCCAGAAGGCCGACTTTTTTTAGTGGGCAAGTTTCCTGACGGCATGAAAGGCGACCAAAGCCACAGCGAGGCCCTGTGTGAGGCGTGTGAACACGCAGAAGTGTGCGTGTATGCCTGCAGATGAGGAGCAAGCGACTCAAGTCTTCAAAGGACAGAGCAGGTCAACAGGAGGACCGGGACCCTTGACTCTCCAGAGGGACGGATGCCTGGGCCCGGTCTCCACAACGGGCGCGGGGAGAGGGTCTTGGTCACCTGGAAGCTGGTCAGGCAGCAGATTCAGTTCCTGCTACGAGCTCCCCAGGGAAGCGCGGTGGCAGCCCTTGGATCTAGTCAGCACCCCGAGTGGTGGATCACCTAGGGGCAGCCCCCCCACCCCCACCCAGCAGCTCCTGGGAGAGCCAGGTCAGCTTCCTGCCGCACAGAGGTGGCTGCCCTCCATCCGGAGCTCCTGGGAATGCCACAGCAATACCCAAAGTGATAGCACAGGGGGGGAAGGCGTCTGCCCTACGCACGGCTGAACCGGGTTTCAATCCCCGGCATCCCATAGGGACCCCCGAGCACCGCCAGGAGTCACTCCTGAGTGAGTGCAGAGCCAGGAGTAACCCCTGAGCATCGCTGGGTGTGACCCCCCCCTTCCACAAAAAAAAAAAATTAAAAAACCCAGAGTGGTCATAAGGAGCAGATGGCCCAGAGACCGGGAAGGAGGGTGGGGCCACCTTGATTCGGTCCTGGGAGACAGAGCGGGTACCCCAGATGGGCGCAGCCCTTCCCGGCCTGCAAGGCGGTCCTCGGATGATTCCACTCTGCGCCCACATAGCTCTGCCACCCGGGGAGGCCCTGCGGTGACCCTCCCCCGCAAAGCCCTCCAGGAAATGGAACCCCACAGGGGGCACATGGCGTCCAGCTGGAAGGAGCCAGAAATTCTGCCCATGTCCACCTTCTGGCAAGGGGGAGGGCGGCGCTGGGGAGAGGCGACGGGAAGGGGGCACTGCCCAGAGAGCAAAGAACAGAGAGAAGGCGGCTATTCTAGGGGGGGGACGGCAAAGAGCCGGGCTAGGCTGGAACAGAGGGGGCCAATGTTCATAGCTGGGGCTGAAAAGGTGCGTAGGAAGCCGGCCCGGGAGGAGGAAGCCTGAGGAAAGAGCCTTCAGAGCCCTCATTACGGCCCAGACAGCCCCAGCCGGTCGGTCCCTTCATAGAAGAGGACCCGGGTGCAGAGGTGACCAGCAGCACCCAGTCTGGGCTCAGAGCTGCCCCTGGGCCAGTGCCTCGCTGGGCTCTGCCCACTGGGCCACCCTGCCCCATGCCCCCAGAGTCCCGCTGGATCCTCTTGAACTTCTCCACCCTGGAGAAAACCCAGCACCCAGAGACAGCAACGGGGAGGCTGAGTGCCAGGCAGACCCAGGTTAAACACCAAGACTCAACGAATGAACAGGAGCCGGGAGGGCAGAACCCGGGGGGACTGGGGGCCAGGTTTGAAATCTCAGGCCCTCGTCTTTTCTCCCACTGCCTCGGCCCCCCTCCACCCCCACCCCCACTCCCACCACCGGGTATTTATCACAACGGGGATCTCAAAGCTTGCAAAGTTACTCAGCCATTTACGGGGGCCGTAATTACCCAAACTTCAAAAATGCTCTGGGCTCACCAGCCCGGGTCCCTCACCCCAGCCCATTAACAGCAGGACGCCCAGACAGCTGGGGCTTAGGACACAATTAAACAAGAAGATGGAAAAATCTACTGTAATCCATGAAAGGAATCTTGCCGCCCCCCCCCACCTCCGGAAGTCATGCAAAGGGCGGGAGGGGGCTGGGGGTGGGGGAGACCCCGGGTTCCACTGAGGACAGCAGGCCCTCCCTTCCCCACCCCGGCTGGGACCACTCAGCATCCAGGCAGGTTCCACACTGGGGCACATTTGCTGGAGCTGATTTCAGGCTCTCATTAAAATGTTCCTTTGTTGAGTGTAAGACACCTCCCCACCCCCAGAGGAGACTCCAGCCGGCCCTGGACGCCTCCCTAGAGCTCAGTGGTGGGTCAGCTTGATTCTCCCCCAAACTGCATAGAACCCCCTCTCCGGACTAAGGTCCTGCAGCACTGTCAGAGGCTGCTCAGGGGAAGAACGGAGGAACTGAGCTTGTGTGCGAGATCAGTGCCAGGTCCTCAGATATACTCCCAGTGCCTCCACCCTGCGCCCCCTCCCAACTCCAGCACTGTGACCGCCAGCTGGGGAGGCAGCCACACAGGGTGACCCTCCCACCCTACCCCCCTACACACCAGAACCCCAGCCAACTGGGGGGGGGGCTACATGCCCAGAAGTCTGGGGGTCCCCCATCCTCCCCGAGCACAAACTTCCCTACTCCCTCTGGGCGCAGCTGTGGATTCTGCCACCAGGAAAAAGTGGGACAGCTACAAAAGCCAGCCCAGGGTAGCCCGCCCAGGCCCCCAGCATACAACGGGACCCCTCTTCTTCACCACTGGGGGTGGACAAGAGGGGGCCTCCCTCGGCGCCCCGATTCCAACAGCAGCTGGTAGGCCCCAAGAGCAGGCCGTCCTCAGCACCCCGAGGCCGCCGCTTTCAAAGCCGGGAGAGAAGGGGGCGCGAGGGAGGGTCGGTGTGGTCCCTACTCACCCCTGCCCCTGGCTTTGGGAAGGCAGGGGGTGGGGGGCTGGGGGGGGCTCGTTCCCAGTCCTGGCCGGGAGGGGCGTGCAGGGTGCCCTCCTGGAAGGAGGCACCTTGGCGCTCACGGGGGGCTCTCAAGAGGTCCGGCCTCGGCGGCGGGGGCTTGGGTGGGCCGCAGCAGCCCCCCACCCTCGAGGAGGGCCGAGCCACAGTCGGGCGGGGAGGGGGCCTGCGCCCCGCACGGTCCCGCGGCCCGCCAGGGGCGATTCCGGGCGCAGAGCGAGGAGTAAGCCCGGAGCCGCGCCGGGTGGGTCCCCCCCCAAAAAAATCAAATTAAATTTAAAAAAAAAGGAGACAGAGGAGACGGGCGCAGGAACTCTCGGGCCTCGCCGGGGACCCGGCGGGGCAGCACCCCGCGCCGCACCTGGGCGGGCCGGGGAGTCCGGCCCCGCGACGGGCTGGCCCGCCCCCCGGCCGGGGACCCCTGCGCCCCGGCTCGGCTCGGCTCGGCCCGGCCCGGCCCGGCCCGGCCCGGCCCGGGGGGGCGGGAGCGGCGGCGAACAAAGCTCCGCGCGCCCGGCGCCCGCCCGCCCGCCCGCCCGCACCTGGGCACTGCCCGCTGGAGCCCGGGGCCCGGCCGCCCCGCGAAGGTGGGTGCGGGCGGGCGCCCTCCCGGACCGTCCCACGGAGGCCGCCGCTCCCGCCCGCGGGCCAGACCCCCGCGGCCGCGCCGCGCCGCGACTCGGCCCCGCGCCCGGCCGGGCCACGCGGCGGCGGCGGCGGCCCGCGCGCCCCCGGCCCCGACTCACCGGCCAGCAGCGCGGGCAGCAGCGCGCCCAGCAGACGCGGGGCTCCCCGGCCGGCTCCCATCGCGCCCGGCGCCGACGCTCCGCGCCGCAGCCCCGCCGAGTCCCGCGCGCCAGGCCCCGCCCCGCGCCCCCTCCCCGACGCCCCCTCCCCGCGCCGGGGCGGGGCCCGCGGGGGCGGGGGCGGGGCGCGGGCGGGGCGGGGCGCGGGGCGGGGGGCCGTCGCCGCCGCGTCGGCGGGGTCCCGCGCTCCCCGGGGGCCGCGCTCGGGCCGGCCGCGCCCCCCCCAGGCGTGCCCCCCGTCGGGCGGGCGGGGGACCTGGCGATGCGGGGCCCGGTGCCTCGGGAGCGGCCAACGCGCGCAGGCGGGCCCGGGGCTCGGGGGGCTCGGGGCTCTCGGCGCCCGCGGGTCGGGGGCACCGGCCCCGCCCGGCCACCCCAAGGCCGTCCCCGGGCCGGCTGTGTCGGGGTGGGGGCGGCCCGGCACGGCCTGGGTTCCAGGGGCCCGCCCCCGCCCCCACATTCTTTCTTTGTTGTGGAAGCAGCAAGGGGTGTCGGAGGCGGGCCCGGGGGAGTCCGGCTGGAGGAGATGGGCCCCAGCTGCCGAAGGAGCAGCGGGCCTCCAGGATATGCCCGAGGGGACCAGAGGGGCCTCCTCCACCCCCCCTCTGTTGACAGGGCCCCCCCAGGCCCGGACCCGCAAGGACTCCCTGCCCCCAAGCAGCTGGGCGGAGGAGGGGCGGCCACCGAGGGCCTCCCAGGCCAGGAGCGCTGGCGCCAGGACGCCAGGGTCCTGCCACATGGCCACCACATGTCCCTGACAACCAGTCCCCAGCACCTTCTCCCAGGCTTGCGGGCCTCCTCCCCCACCCCGGCTGCCTCCTCTCCCCTCTGCTGGAGAGGATGCGAACCAGCCCAGGAAGAGAGGAGGAACCCAGGAATCAACACTCCCTCCAGGGCCCCATCCATCACGCCCGACGACGCCCCCTCCTCTGGCCTCCAAAGCGAGAACTCCACGGCAGACTGGTTACCTGATTCTTTTATTTAAGAAAAGTGAAATATGCGGACCTGAGGTGAGGCTGCGGGAGAGCGGCCCGGGGAGGCCCCTGCCCTCTGCCTCCAAGGCGCAGACCCCGCTGCTTCTCGCTGCTTCTCGGGGTGTGCAAAGCTGCTTCTTGCCCGCCCTGGGCCTCACAGCTGCTCTCCAGCAGTGTTTCTCCACCCGGGTCCCACCTCAGGCCTGTCCCCTGCCCCCCCCCCACCCTGCTGGGGGTGCCCCCCAGTCTCACTTCATCATAGCCTCCCCACTTGACACAGTTTCCACCTGCGATTCCCAGGGGGCTGCTCTCGAGGACCACAGGGTGGGGAGAATACCCTGAAGGTCCTTTCTAGGGGAAATTCCTGAAGAGAGCCCCCCCTCCTCCGGGGGCAGCAGTGGTCAGGGCTCAATCATGGCTGTCTCGGGGCTGGAGGCGCAGAGCAGGGGTGCTGTGAGGGCTGTGGGGGGCCCCCACCCATCAGAGTTCAGTGTCAGCTGCTCGAGAGGTCCATGGTGCTGGCACTGAGGCCTCGGGAGACCTGGAACAGACAACACCACCCCATCAACCCGGGGCCTCAGCCCCCCGAACCCGCCCTGCAGCCGTTCACCTCACTGTGCCAGTAGGTCTCTGGGCCTGGGGTCAGGGCTGTAAACTCAAGCCCACACCGGGGCTCGTCTTAGCCTCCACTGGGATTTTCCAGAAGGCTAACTGGGTGGACAGGGCACCTGGAAGAGACCCGTCGCACTGGCACGGACTTGGCCAGCGTGCACTACCAGTGGCCTCTCCCCGGTCTCAATGAGGCTGGCTTGAATACTGGCCCCTGGCTTCTCCTCCATCTACTCCCCCGGGGTGGGAGGAAGAGCAGTCGGCCCGGATCAGACTTGACTGTTCAGAGCTCCCAGAGCTCCGGAAGCACCCATTCCTTATTTGGGGTCTCCTTGGGGCTGCAGCTCGGGCGCCAGAGCCGCCGAACATGTGCTCCCCGGGGCCACATCACTTCCTGCTCCTCTCCTCATCTTCCCTTGCTGACCCCGGCCCTCCTAAGTGCCCTCCGCGCGGACTCCTGCTGCGTGTCTGAGGCCAGTTCCCCTGCCAGGCTCTTCCCCAGAGGCCCCTTCCGAGCCCGCTGCCTCTCCCAGGCTGCTCCTTGCTCCCGGGCTCCATGAAGCGCTGCGCTCACCTGCAGGGGTGCTGCGTTGGGCTGGTTCAGATAGTTCAGGGAGGCTGCCCGCTTCATGTTGCTGCTGTGTCGGAAAAACAAAGAGCTGAAGCGTCTTTCTTCCCCTCGAGTGGCCCCAAAGCTGCAGGCTGCACCCCACCACTCACAGCCCAACTACACCCTCCCCACCATGCAGATGCCCTCCACAGGCATGTACAGCCCACCCCACCCGCTGCCAATAACCACACACAGACACACCAATAACCCCCCACACACACACCAGTATCCACACACATCAATACCAATCACCGCACACACACACCAATGATCACACGCACATCAATAATCACACACACGCCAATAACTAGACAAACACCTCCCCAATAACTATACACACGAGCTCAATAACCACACCCCCAAGACACAGACACACACACACACAAAACCATACACATCCCACAATACACCTCCAATAACCCCACACACCCCAGTAACCACACACACCCACACCCACACACACACAACCCCACACATATTCAAAATATCCACCCCCCCACCAATAACCACACACACACACACACATACCCCTCCTGACCCCCCCACCACCACCAACAACCAGAATCTCCTCAGGGGCCTCTTCCCCTCCCCGGGTTGTTCCTGGGCTCCCTCACTCTGCCCATCCCGTTGGCCGCCTCCAGCCCTCTTCCAGGACACTGCCCCCTTTCCCTGCCCTCCTGATGGGGACCGGGGCTCATCCGCTCTCCTCCTTGGCCGCGTCCTTGGCACCGTGTACCTGGAGGGCCGCGGCTCGGTTCCCTGGAGCTTCCTGACCAGGAGCTCACTGCTTCTGCGCAGCACGTCCCGGATCCTGCCCAGAGAGCCGCTCCTCTGCAGGGTCCCGCTGCCATCCTGGGGTGGGGACAGGGGCTGAGGGGGCGGCCACATCCTCTCCGCCTCTCCGGCAGGCAGCCCCTCCCACCGGCAAGCCTGGCTCTCGGAGAGACCCTGAGACGGGGACTCTCGGGCGCGATGCGGCCAGCACGGCCCCTGGTGCTACGCGGACGGTCTCAGAGTCTCCCGGCAGCCGCAGGAAGGACGCAGGAGAGATCCGGGGGCGAGGACCCGACTTACCCCTGACCACTCCACAGCCACAGAGGCGTCCTCCCCTCTCTCGAATTTCACGCTGCCCACCGGGCCCTCCTGGGAAGCCCGTGCACCGTCCCCCTCCCCGAGCAGCTCGGCCACCTTGGTCTGGCTGATAGGGTCAGTGCCCTGGAAGGGAAACGGAGATGCTGGCCCCCACTCCCTAACCCGGGCCGCAGGGCTCCACCAGACACAGCCAGAGAAACTCTCCCGGGAATGTCCCAGGACTCACATTAGAACGATACTCACCACCTCCACACGCAGTGCCTTCTGGACTACATACCTGGATGGGACTGTCACAGGGGCCACAGCCAGCAACGCTCGGGGGGGTCAGGCAGTTTGGGGGAGTGGTCTCAGGGCCTCCCACATGCCACATGCCCGGCCTTGATGCATTCTTTGTCATTTTAGGCACCGTGACTTACGCTACTGTTACCGGTACATACAAGGTCGCGACGCCACTCACTCCACTGCTGACACCAGGGGAACGCCCTCCCCACGCCAACCCCACCCTGGGGCGCTCGGTTCTGCAGACCGATTCTCGTCACTGCATATTTTTCTCTAAGTCACAGTCCACAGTGAATTGGTTTCGTGAATCACTAGGGGGTCAAAACTGGCGATCTAAGACCCTAGCACTCATCACTCCTACTTCTCCCCAGGAGAGTCATCAAAGGCAGTCTGGAAAGGGGTAACACGTGGGGGCCAGAGCGATGGTACAATGGGGAAGCATTTGCTTTGCACACCTGGCTGGCCCAGATTCCATTCCCAGCAGCCCCTACGGTCCCTCACGCACCGCCAGGGGTAATACCTGAGTGCAGAGGCAGGAGCAACCCCTGAGCATCACCGAGTGATGCCCCCCCAACACACCAAAAAAAAAAGACAACACTTTCCTTCCTAGGATGTGGGGATTAAACTGGGTTGGCCGCAGGCCAGGCAAACCTCTTATCCACTATCCTATCACTCTGGCCCCAACACTTCCCTTTTAAGAGTCCCATTTAGGGGCCAGAGAGATAGTACAGGAATCACAGTGCTGCTCTGCACCCCGCCAATCCAAGTTTTGAATTCCTAGCACTGCCAGGGGTCACTCCTGAGCAGAGTCAGGAAGTAGCTTGAGTACTACTGGCCCCAAAACAAACAACCAAAGAATCTCATTTAGTGGGGCTGCAGTGACAGGACAGCAGGAAGGGCATTTGCAGGGCATGTAGCTGACCCGGGTGGAATATTCAGCATCCCAGAGGGTCCCCTGAGCCCCAACAGACGTGAATCCTCAGTGCAGAGCCAGGAATAACCCCTGAGCATCACTGGCTGTGGCCCCCAAACAGAGTCCCATTAAGTGAACTTAAACTTGAACTTGAGATCCTGTTCCAAATACAAGCATTCCCATAAATCCCCACAAAAGGAGGGTAGGGGTAAAATGTGATTTAAAACTACAAGGCAGGTGGGGAGAGGGGGGCTGGGTCAGAGTGATAATATGGAGGATAGAGCATTTGCCTTGCACTAAGCCATCCTGGGTTCGATCCCCAGCATCCCATATGGTCCCCCAAGCACCGCCAGGAATAATTCCTGAGTACAGAGCCAGGAGTGACCCCTGTGCACCTCTGGGTGTGACCCAAAAAGCAAAAACAAAACAAAAGACTACAGGGGGGCTGGAGTGATAGTACAGCCAGTGCTACACTTACCTTGCAAGCAGCCAACCTAAGTTTGATCCCCAGCGCCCCACATGGTCCCGAACCTACCAGGAGTGATCCCTGAGCACAGAGCCAGGAGTAAGCCCTGAGCACAGCCAGGTGTACCCAGCACAGTAGCATGGTGCTCCCATTGTTCATTGATTTGCTCGAGCAGGCCCAGTAACGTCTCCATCGTGAGACTTGTTGTTACTGTGTTTGGCATATCAAATACATCACGGGGAGCTTGCCAGGCTCTGCCGTGCGGGCGAGATACTCTCGGTAGCTTGCCGGGCTCTCTGAGAGGGGCAGAGGAATCGAACCCAGCTCAGCCGGGCTGGCTGCACGCAAGGCAAACGCGCTACCACTGTGCTATCGCTCCAGCCCACAATAATAAAATAAATAAAAATAAAATAAAACTGCAGGCCAGAGCGATAGAACAGCGAGTAGGGTGCTTGCCTTACAGGAGGCCAACCCAGACTCAATCCCCAGCACCCCATATGGTCCCTCAAGCACCAACAGGTGTGATCTCTGAGCACATCCAAGTATATCTCCCAAACAAAACAAACCACTGCCTGAGGAGGGCCAGAGAGCCAGCTCAAAGGACCGGAGCACAAGCTTTGCATGTGGGATGCCCAGGCCCGATGCCCAGCACCAAGCCTGGAACAGCAATGAACATCTCCGGGTGCGGTCCGGAAGCGGCCAGCACAAGAGGGCCTCCCCTCCACTCCTGTCCCCTCTGCGTCTCTCCGTTTGCTCTCTGGAGACTCAGACATCCCCGTGGTTCCCCTGGCCCAGGGCTACCTGGGGGCCACCACCCCTCCGTCCTGGACGCTGACCTGTTTCCGGGAGCGGAGGGCGCACTCCTCCAGGGTCTCGGCGGCCTCCAGCTTGCCCTGGCGCCGGTACAGAGCGCCCAGGTTCCTCAGCGTGGTGTTCACCGTGGGGCTGTGCAGGGGAAGACCAGGCAACTCAGGCAAGAAACGGGGGTTTGTCCTCCACACAGTGGACCCGTTCCAGCCCTGGCACCCCAGGTGGTCCCCCGAGCACTGCCAGGAGTAACCCCTGGGCACTGCTACCAGGTATGGTCCAGGAAGAAATTAAACAGAAAAGAAACAGGTGAGATGAGACCAGAGCGATAGTAGAGAGGGAAGGGCGTTTGCCTTGCATGCAGCCGACCCGGGTTCGATTCCCAGCATCCCATATGATCCCCCGAGCACTGACAGGAGTAATTCCTGAGTGCATGAGCCAGGAGTAAACCCTGAGCATCCCTGGATGTGACCCAAAAGGCAAAAAAAAAAAAAAAAGAAAAAAAGAAAGAGAAGCAGGCAAGAGAGAAGCCGCAGGGAAGATGGTAAGCACCCGGGGGGCTGGAATCAGAGCGTGCGTGGAGGACATCATGGCGGGCGCTCACCTGCTCACTTTGCAGGCCTTGTACCAGCCTCCGTACTCGGCATAGGGGGTGCCAGCCTCTCGGTGCCGGCCCTGCGGGAGAACAGAGGGAGGGAAGCCGGACGTGAAAGGGCCAGTGATGTCGGGGCACAGGCTGGCAGGGCAGAAGGCGCGGCTGGGCTGGGGAAGCCAACACGCGTGTTGGGGTGGGGAGGTGAGGGGCAGGGCGAGTGCAGGGCGTCGGGTGGAAGCCCTGGGCGTCCCGGCACCCGGCGCCCCAGGCTGGGGCCCCCACTCACTTTGCTCATTTCCTCCCGCTCCTCCGCATGCATCCAGATGGGCTTGTGGTCATCTGGGGACGACACGGGGACACAGGGGGGTGGGCAGTCAGGTCTGAGAACGAAGGATCTGGACACAGCGTGGGGGCAGGACCCAGCGGTACGGGACTGGGCTGAGGGGCTCGAGGGGCTCAGCCACCGCCCCGCCGGGAACCCGAGTGCCCTCCCCCCACTCCTTGGGTCTGCGCTTCTCTCTTTCCCTCCTGTTGCCCGCCCGGCTCCGGGCCCCTCACCATCCACAGATCCGAACTCCTGCACGTGGGCTCGGGTCAGGATCTCTTTGTAGAGCATCTCGGCCTCAGCGTACTTGCCCTGTTTCAGGTAACAGGAAGCCTGGGGCAGAAGGAGGCGGCAAGAACAGGGAGCAGGTCAGAAGACAAGGTCTTGGCCAGCCTCGGGGGGTCCCTAACTTTTTTAGTATCTTTTTTATTTGGTCGCCCTGGCAGCGATCAAGGGCTACAGCTCTATGCTCAGGGGTCAGAGGATCTCATCATGCTGAGGACAGAATTGGGGCTGGCCACCCGCCAGGGTTTACCAACTGCACCCTGGCCCCCCGCCCCGGCCCCGGGCTGGAGCAATAGCACAGCGGTAGGGTATCTGCCTTGAGCGCAGCAGGCCCGGCCGAGCCGGGTTCGATTCCTACACCCCTCTCGGAGAGCCCGGCAAGCTACCGAGAGTATCTCGCCCACACGGCAGAGCCTGGCAAGCTACCCGTGATGTATTTGATATGCCAAACACAGTAACAACAAAGTCTCCAACGGAGACGTTACTGGGCCCGCGCGAGCAAACTGATGAACAACGGGAGGACAGTGCAGTGCAGTGCTGCCCCCTGACCCATGCTATTTCTCTCCTGCCCTTCTTGGTCTACCTCCCTTAAGAGACCCTCCTCTTACTTCCTTTTCTAGTTTTTTTTTGGGGGGGTAGTTTGAGGAGGTGCTCAGGCATCACCACTTGTAGGGCTCGGGGACCGTAGCACGCGGTTATCGGGCATTGAGCCAGGCCTCCCACGTGCAAGACAAGCTCCGGACCCGCTGTCCTATCTCTCCGCATCCCCCCCGCCTTGTAGATTTGGGTCAAGACTCCTCTAGTCCACCCCCCGAGGCTACAGAAGCTCTCCATTTCCGAAAAGGGGGCCCTGGGACGGAGGTGAGGGCCACAGTGGGGGCGGCGCGGCTGGGGTCACTGCTGACCACACCTTCCCTTTTGCCTCCACCTCCTCACCAGGTTGTTCTTCGTGCGGGCTACGTTGGGGTTGTCCAGCCCCAGCTGGCCCTCGTAGATGGCCAGAGCCCTCTGGTAGTAGCGCTCCACGGCCTCGTACTTGCCCTGGTTCTGGCACAGCAGGGCCAGGTTGTTCAGCTGCTTCGCCACGTCGGGGTGGTCGGCGCCCAGCACCTGGAGGGGAGCGGACGTGTGACAGGGGCCTGCGCTCACGCGGGCCCGCAGCTGGGCTGGCAGGGGCTTGCTCAGCACTTGGGGGGCCTGTGGGGGCGGAAACAAGGCGGGGGGAGGGGGGGCGCGAGGGGAGAGGCTGACCGGAGACACCCGAGGAGGGGGAGCGGGGTGGGCACCTTTTCCCTGATCTCCAGCGCCCGCTGGCACAGCGGCTCGGCCTCCCTGTACTTGCCCCTCTTGCCATAGAGCACGGCGAGATTGTTGAGTGTGGCGGCCACCTGGAAGACAGACCCGCCCCATCAGGCACAGGTGACAGTTGCAAAGGCCCTGGAGAGGCCAACGACGACGGTCCCCGTGGCACCAGCCAAGGCCCAGGGAAATGGGCTCTGTCTGCGGCCCCGGCCAGAGGCGTGAACTGGGGGTACTGGATGGAAGGTGGTGATGGCGCCCTCTAGGGGATGTCGAGCTGTCTCTGGAAGGCTGATGGTTTGGTTTTGGGTGTGTGGCCCTCAAAAGACTGGGGGCACTAATACTTTTAGGAGAGAAGCTGTTCTCTGCATAACGGGACGTTCTCTGCTATTTGGGACGGGGGGGCGGAGATTCGGGGCCACACCCGGCAATGCTTCAGGCTTACTCCTGGCTCAGCTCTCAGGAATCACTCCTGGCGGTGCTCAGGGGACCTTAGGGGATGCCGGAGATCAAACCTGGATTGGTCACGGACAAGGCAAGCACCCAAGCACCCTCCACACTGTACTGTCGCCCCCGCCCCACCTCTGCTAATTTTGATGGTTCTGTCAGACACTCACACACTGAATGTAAGTTGCGGCTTTTGGCAAGACATCACGTCTGGAATTTGAGTTATATATTTTGGTTTGGGGGCCACGCCTAGTACAGTGGGGACTCCTTCTGGCTCTGCGCTTGGGAGAGACTCCTGGTGGGGCTCAGGGGACCATACACGTTGCCAGGGCTCCAACCTGGGCCCCCAGAGGCAAAGCTGTGCTAAGAACCATGTTTTCTAAGAAACATCATCCCTGTGTATCACACATCCAAACACAGGCCACAATTTTTACAATCAGCTTATTTTAAAAAAAAAATCTTCTGTCAGCTTATTAAAAAAAAAAATCTCACTGTCCACTTGAACAGTTCACATTTTTTTTTTTTTTGCCTTTTGGGTCACACCTGGCGATGCACAGGGGTTACTCCTGGCTCTGCACTCAGGAGCCACTCCTGGAGGTGCTCAGGGGACCATATGGAATGCTGGGAACCGAACCTGGGTCGGCTGTGTGCAAGGCAAACACCCTATCTGCTATGCTATTGCTCTAGTCCCCACTTGAACAGTTTATGGTATACTGTCCCTAAAATTATATACCCTGGGGCTGGAGCGGTAGCACAGCGGGTAGGGCATTTGCCTTGCACACGGCCTATCCCGGATGGATTCCCAGCATCCCATATCATCCCCCAAGCACTGCCAGGAGTAATTCCTGAGTGCAGAGCCAGGAGGAACCCCTGAGCATTGCCGGGTGTGACCCAAAAAAGCTAAAAATAATTTTAAAAATAATAAAATATAAAATAAAATAAAATTAGGTACCCCGTTATTGCCCACATTCAAACACAAAGACATGAAGTAAATCTGTCCCTATATACTCTAACACTGGATATAGGTCTTTTTTTTTTTTTTTTTTTGGTTTTTGGGTCTCACCTAGTGATGCTCAGGGGTTACTTCTGGCTCTGCACTCAGGAACTTCTCCAGGTGTTGCTCAGGGAATCACATGTGGGGCTCAAACCAGGGTCTGCCACTTGCAAGGCAGGCGCCTAACCCCTTGTACTATTGCTCCAGCCCCCAGAACTCAGTCTTATATCTGATCTGTCATTTTCTAGTACTATTTTTTCTTGTGGTTGTCCTAGAGATGGAATCCATCTACAGCAAGGCAGCAAGCTCTTCTGTGTCAGCCACATCCTGGCCTCTAGTGCTTCTTTTTCTTCCTGACTTTTGTTTTCTGGGCCACACTTGGTGGTGCTCAGGGTTTACTCCTGGCGCTGCTTAGGGATCACTTCTGGCTGGACTCAGGATCATATGTGGTGTTGTGGATTGAACCCAGGTTGGCCCTATGCAAGGCAAGCGCCCTACCTGCTATACTATCACTCTAACCCTCTGGTTTTATTTTAGTGTAATGTGCATGCTATTTTACTACAAGTGATATCCTTATTTTTTAATTTATACTAATAGGACAGTCAACATTTTTTGGAAATTAGTATGTATAGACTACATCTCCTGGGAACTAAATTTTAGGAAGATATTTACCAAAAAAAAAAAAAGACACTGGATCTCAATTGGCTGAAAACCACTGGACTTAGAACTCCTGGAAGGAGAGATTGGGCCTTCTTCTAGTGCAAAGTGGATGGGCTGAGCCAGTGGAGGGACAAGTTAAGGGAAATTAACTTGTGCACGGAGGCTGGGGAGAGGGCTCGAAGGACTAGAATACCCGCTTTGCATGTGGGAGCCCTGGTTCTATCCCTGCCACTGCATGGACCCCAGCACCAGGCCAGAGAGAGGAGTTCCCGAGCATCACCAGGCATGGCAAGACCAGAAGAAAGCGTCCAGGAGAAACAGGCGAAGGATACTCACAGCAGGGTGGTCCCGGCCCAGGGTGCTCTCCCGGATGCTGAGTGCTTCATTCAGTAGATGGGCAGCTTCCTTATACTTATTCTGATCCCTGGAAGAAGACAGAAACGAGCAGAGGTTACCCGAAACGTGGTCCCCCACGCCAATGCTTGTGGAAGGACGGAGGCACAGTGAGGGCAGGGGAACACTCAAAAGGAGACAAAAGGTTGGGGTGAGCGCTGAGTGGCCACTGCACACACCTCTGGACGCGAAGCACCCCGGCCCCTCGGGGAGCCCCGGTCACGGGGTGAAAGCCACGGAACAGGGGCGAGGGCTGAGTGCGGAAGCACTGTCTGGCAGGTACGGCTTTATCCCTTCCACAGCAGGGAGATATAGGGGAGGGAGAGATGGGCAGAGGAAACACGGCCTGGATCTTCTCCGAGGCTCAGACTCCGGTCAGGCAGAGCCAGAAAGCGCCCTGGCGGGGCCTCCCGAGAGACCCACCGAGAGAGGCGGCAGGCACTCACCGATACACCAGAGCGAGGATGTTGAGCATGGTGGCCACGTCAGGGTGGCCACGGCCCGACGTGCGCTCCAGGTCCTCCAGCGCCTGCTTGCACAGTGGCACGGCCACCTCGTAGCGCCCCTGGGCCGCGTACTGGATCACCAGGTTGTGCAGGGTCCGCAACCTCGCCGGGATCTCGTAGCCGCTGGGCTGGCTGCCCTGGCCTCGGGACACTAGCCCGGCCCAGGAAAAGAACGGGACCTTCCTGACGGCCGCTCCCTGCCGCCCGGCCTCCCCACCCGCCGTGGACCGTGAGTCCTGCCCAGGCCTGCCCTGCGCCTGGCTCCCACTGGAAACCTATCTCAACTGCTATTCTGCTGTCCATTCCCAGGCGCCCAGGCCCACCCTTCATTCAAGAAGTGCATTCACTCACTCAACATGCATTCACTCACCGGGCCAAACCCAGGGGCAGTGCCAAGGGAACAGAGATAAAGATCTGGTTCTTGCCCTCAACTCACTTCCGCCTCTGGGACAGTCTCCCACAGTCACGACCCGAGACCCCCTCCCCTCCCTTACCCTAACCCCCACCCCGCACAGCTCCTGACCCTTGGTAAATGGAGGGGCTGGAGATACCCCGTGCCCCACCTCCTGAGGAGGTAGGAAACCCCTTCCTGAAGAGAGGGGGCCGCCTCCCACCACACCCTCCCACCCCCCTGGGGCAGACATACGGCCATTGCTGGCATCTTCCTCCTCCTCGTTGGGGAACAGGTCATCCAGGGAGTCCTTGGTGGCTTCACCCTCCTTCTCTTCCTGGAAGGGAAGAAACAGTTGTTTGTTCTGAGCTCTCGCCCCCTTACAGTGATCGACAAGTGGCACTTAGAAGGGGGTCCGAGCGACAGTCCAGCAGGGTGGGCATTTGCCTTGCACGCAGCCAGGCATCCTGTATGGTCTCCGAGCACCTCCAGGAGTAATTCCTGAGTGCAGAGCCGGGAGTAACCCCTGAGCATGGCTGGGTGTGATCTCAAAAGTGAAACAAACAAACCAACCCAAAAAGCAGCACTTATAAGACCCTTAAGGTCAGTCTCAAGATCAAGTTCTAGTTTACAAGGACAAGAGACACGCTGGCCAGAGCTCCTGATTTTCTCTTCCTTAGCGGGTGGTGCTTCTGTTCATCCATCTGTCCGCCTGTCTTATCTGTCTGTCCATCAGCCCTAAGCCCCCCGCCCCACTGCCCAGCCTCCACTGCCTTCCTCTCTGCTCTTGTAATGACAGCCTGTGCCAAGAGTCCTGTGTTTATACTGATTACACGTCTGTCCTGTCTCCCGGAGGACAGCGACGATGGTGTCTCATCTGACTGACACAGGCCAGTGTCACCTTGGACTTCGTGTCTAACCGAGTCCCACACTGGGCAGACACGCTTCGCCCATAGGGCACAGCAGCCAACAAACACCTCCAGCCCTCCTGCCCAGCGTGTCCCGAGCCATTCACCCCACTTTCCCGGGCGACACTCCTTCTCTGGCCTTTCTTCGCCCACGACAATCCATCCCAACACCTCACCCGTTCAAATAAGGAAACGCACCTACGTCCCCCCGGCTCTGTACCCGCTGCCTCGCTGACCCTCTCGAAGGCCGCGCACAACCCCCGCCCCCCATCTTCCTGGAATTCCTCCCACACTGAGAGCCACTCGGCTGGCACCAAGCACTGGCTGTTCCTGCTGTCACAGGGTGTTCCCATGTGTCAGCCTTGTCCCCACAGCGCCACTGTAAGCTGAGAAGGCAGGAACACTCTCAGGGACCCGGTCACTGAGTGCAAGGCCAGTGCCCAGTCACTGTACTGTACCATCACGCTGGCCCTTGGCTCAGCTTCGCTTTTTGGGCCACACGTGGCGGTGCTCAGAGGTCACTCCCAGTAGTGCTCTCTGTATGTGGTCCCCAGAACCCGGGTTGTACGCAAGGCAAGTGCCTGGCCGCCTGCACTGGCCTCTCCAGGCCCGTCTTTCACTGAATCTTGACATTTCTCCCCATCTTCTAAGCTTTGCCTAAGGCACCAGACAGATAAGTGTCTGTTCAGTTAAATTTCACACTTTGTGAGAGCAAATCTTAGGAGGGTCTTGCTCAACTGGGGTATGTTCCCCTAATTATGGAATTTAGGGCAGGGGGTTCAAATCGTCCAGGTGCTTATCTGTCTAGCCCCCTCCCAGACTTGTAACTGGGAGAGCAGGAACTCTGCCTTCTCCCTAGTGGAGGGCCGGTACCTGGCATACAGGCTTGTGGTTTTTCTGTTTGTGTTGTGCCTTGTTTTCTTTGGGGGACTGGAGGTGACCACACCCAGCCACACTTCAGAGCTAGAAGTGACTGCTGGTGGTGCTCAGGGGACCATTTGTGGTGCTGGGGATCAAACCCGGGTTGGCAGGACAGGAGCCAAAGTGCCCTGTGCCCTCTCTGGTCCTATCTTCATGGTCCTGTTTGTTTGTATTTTGTTGTCTGGGGAAGGGACCTCCCAAGCGATGTCCAGAGAGGTGAGTGGAGCCATTTCTGGCGACACTCAGCCCAGCTGTGTGGCCCCAACGGTTCAGTACTTGGCCCCAGCGGTGCTGCTCAAGTCCAGTGGTGTAGAAAGCCACCCACCAGGGCCGCACCTCGCGGGTGCTGGGGGGCCGTGCAGGGCTGAGAACTGAACCTGGGGCCTCTGCATGCAACGAACATTCTGTAAGCATCTGAGCTGTTTCCTGGATCCCTAGAGTCATATAATTAAATGTTGACTGAGGCCAGCAAAGTGGCACAAAGAGAGTGCATGGATTTTTGTTTGTTTTTATTTGTGTTTTGTTTGTTTAGGGGTCACATGTAGAAGTGCTCAAGGATTACTCCTGGCTGTATGCTCAGGAGTCACACCTGGCAGATTCGGGGGAGGGGGGGGACACAACCATCCATGGTGACAGGGATCAATCCTGGGTCAGCTTCCTGTAAGGCAAGCAGCTTACCTGCAGTACTATCTCTTTGACTCTGGAACAGAAGCTAGGCATGCAGAAGCCCTGGGATTCTTTTTTCGTTTGTTTGTTTACAAGGCCTTGATTTTAAACTTTATTTTTTTAAAGCTTTTTAGGTCACACTGGCGATGCTCAGGGGTTACTCATGGTCGTGTGGCTCTGCGCTCAGAAATCATTCCTGGCGGTGCTCAGGGGGGCCAAATGGGGTGTCGGTGATCGAATCTAGGTTGGCAGTGTACAAGGCAAACACCCTACCTTCCTTATAATCGCTCCGGCCTTGTTTTAAACTTTTATTCAAGTCGAATAAATGAAAATTTGAGTCTACACGATAGGCAGGGTTCCATGTAAGGTTTCTAATCTCCTGAGTATTAAAGAGCTTTAGACACTTAATGATTATTTCTTGGCTAGAAGACGTTTTTGTTTAACTTTGTACAAGAAAACATCCAAAATGACTAATGGATTTATGAAGTAATGGCCCTAAGTGGGAGCTCATACTATTTATGGGAAAATGATATTTGGAGAATCACACAGAAGTTAGATCAAGGCAGAGATTCACCTGGTCCAAATGAGTACTTTGATTTTATAAGCTATGGGTAATGCATACTTGCTTTTGAAGTCATGTCAGATGAGGTTTACGTAGTTACTGAGAGTCTACTGTAAAAATGGAATTTGGCATTCCTATCGGGTGAAGTCCTTCTAATTTAACTAATTTGGGGGTTCAATAGTTCCCCCAGCAGCATGCCGGCTGAAAGCCCCCTGAGCACCCCTGGGGGCAGCCCACTATGTGGACGGGATGAGGGTCTACCACTTGCCCCTTGCAGTCACCTGGAGCTGGGGTCGGGGCCTGGCGCCTGGTGTCCAAACATCCGCAGGGCCGCCCAGCGGCTGCGCCCCCAGCCCCACTGGCCCTCCCGGCGCCGCCCCGCGCTCACCGCCGAGTGCCCGTCCTCGTCATACTGTCGCAGCTGCCCCAGGAACTGCAGGTGCTTCTTCTCCTCCTCCAGCTGGGCCACGGCCTGCTCACTGTGCTGGAGTCTCTGCTGGGTGCCCGCCAGCTCGTCCCGCAGCCACTGGTTCTCCTGGCACAGCCGCCGCACCTGAGCCCGGAGCTTCTGCTTCTCCGACTCCACCGTGCTCAGGTGGTTGGCTAAGGCCAGCATCACCTGGGGGAAGGCAGGCACAGCCGGTGAGCACCAGACTGGATGGGAAGCGTCAGGGAGGCACGGGGTGGGGCAGAGAGCCGGAGGGAGGCAGCAGACTGGGGGATGGAGGGGTGGCGGGAGACGGGGCTGGGCAGGAGGGCTCCCCCAGAGAGCATGAGGACCAGAGAGAGCACTCAAGTGCTGAGCACAGACTTCGCATGCCGGAGCCCTGGGTTCAATCCCCAGCATGGCATGGTGGGTGTCCTTCCTAGGAACGACTAGGAGTGACCCTGGAACACAGAGCCAGGTGTAGCCTCAGACTAAATGAATCCTAACGTGCCCTGCAATTTAATTTTTCCTCCTTCTTCTCTGCCACTCCCTTGGCCGGCCAGGGCACTGTCAGTTTCCATCTGGGAACACAAAAATCTTCCTGACTCTCTGGGTTTCTTATTGCTGCTGTTTACTTCTGGTTGTTTGTGGAACTTTGCTTGTTTTGATTTTTGGTTTGGGGGCCACACCCAGCAGCGCCCAGGGTTTACTCCTGGCTCTGATCAGGGATTGCTACTGCCGGGCTCAGGGGACCACATGGGGTACCAGGGATTGAATCCAGACTGGCTGCAAGTAAGACAAACGTCCTACCTGCTGTACTATCACTCTGGGCCCTGTATGTTATATTTTGTAATATTTTTTTTTCAAGAGGTGGAAGCCAGGGCCTCACGCAGGCCAGCCAAGTGTGCACGCCACCCTGAGCTTCCCCCTGGCCTGGCCGCCTGCGTCTACCCATGTTCCTTTAGATTCTAAAGCTCTGACCGGTGTTTCTCAACTTTTTCTCAATTGTGGTCCCCTCCCAACTTGTCTTCTTCCATTTCTATGGTGCCTCCCCCATAATAGTCTCATGCCGCTCCCCCCCCCCCGAAAAAATGTTCACCTTTGGTCTCCGATGAATATCGTGGATAGACCCGCCAGTGGAGGAACACTGGTTTAGAGTCTCTTCTCAAAACATCAGCCTTGGGGCTGGAGCAATAGCACAACGGGTAGGGCATTTGCCTTGCATGCGGCTGACCCGGGTTTGATTCCCAGCATCCCATATGGTCCCCCGAGCACCACCAGGAGTAATTCCTGAGTGCAGAGCCGGGAGTAATCCCTGTGCATCGCCAGATATGACCCAAAAAGCAAAAAAAGAAAAAGTACATCAGCCTTGGCTTGGAACTTCAACTAGCAGTGCTCAGGATTATTCCTGCCTCTGCGCTCAGGAGTGACTCTGGTGAGTCTGGGGGAGCATATATAGAGCCAGGAACTGATGCTGTTTTTATTGTTTTTTTGTTTTCGGACCATAGCCGGCAGTGCTCAGAGCTGACTCCCAGCTCTGCTCTCAGGGACCACTCCTGGGGGCATTCGGGGGACCATATAGGGCGCTGGGGATTGAACATGGATCAGCCATGTGCAAGGCAAGTGCCTTATCTCTGTATTATCTCTCCAGCCCCCAGATGATGCTTTTATCTTTTTTTTTTCTTTTTGGGTCACACCCGACCATGCACAGGGGTTACTCCTGGCTCATGCACTCAGGAATCACTCCTGGCGGTGCCCGGGGGACCATATGGGATGCTGGGAATCGAACCCGGGTCGGCCGCGTGCAAGGCAAACGTCCTACCCGCTGTCCTATCACTCCAGCCCCGCCAGAGGATGCTTTTAAAGGGACGTTTAATCATATCACTTCTCAGGCTTGACACAATCCAACAGTTTCCATCTCACTCAAAATAAAAGCAATTGCTTATGAGTTCTGCACGATGCCATCCCACCCCATAATTCCTTCAGTGGAATTTTCCATTTTACTCCCCTTTCCTTTTTCTTCTCTCTAACTATCCTGACCCCTCTGGGGCTCCAGATCAAGGACTTCAAACCTGCTCCGTGCTTAGCTTAAGATGTTCTCCCATCTGATTCAACTTACGCCTTTGTCTTTGAATCTTCGCTCACAAGCCATCTTTCCTCTGAGGCCTTAACAAAAACTAAATCCTCTCGTGGCTGGAGTGATAGTACAGCGAGTACAGTGCTTGCCTTGCACACGGCTGACCTGGGCTAGATCTCTGGCACCCTATAGGGTTCCTTCAGGCCCGCCAGGAATGATCCCAGAGTGCAGAGTCAGGAGTAAGCTCCAAGCACTGCTGGGAGTGGCCCAAAACCCAAAAATAAAAACTAAAAAAAAAACCTTCATCCTCTCCCCGTACTCTCTTACCCCCACTTCCCTTTTCTTCTTTTCTCCTTTCTTTTTTGGGGGGCGTGGAGGGGGACATATTGGGGCAGTGCTCAGAAGCTATTCCTGGCTCTGTGCTCAGGGATTTGCTCAGATTCAAATCCCTGGCTCAGTGTCAGGGACTTGAACTGGACTGGGCTGCAGATAGGCAAGCACCTTACTTCCAGTTGCATCCTTCTGACCCTTCATTTAAACATTATCGCCTCCCCCCTCTAAAAGTGAGCCCTAGGAGCCAGAACGATGATACAGCAGGGATCACTGTAGGAGGGCGCTTGCTTTGCATGCAGACAACCTGCATTTGATCCCCAGCATCCCATATGGTCTCCTGAGGAGACCAGGAGTAATTCCTGAGTGCAGAGGCAGGAGTGACCCCTGAGCATCGCCAGGTGTGGCCCAAAAAGAAACAAAGAGAAAATTAAAAAAATAAAACAGTGAGCTCCGAGACAGCCTAAGTGCTGGACCTCAGGGCTGGAGTATCTGGAGTGCCCAGAACATGCCTGGCACATGGGGAGGGGGGGGCAGGATTTAACAGCCATCACCAGGTGAAGGACAGCAAGAACCTGGGACAGGGTCCCCCAGGCTTCCAACGAGACTCGGGCCCCTGCACCTCCCGCAGGCTGCTGGGCGCCGTCCCTCCCGCTCACCTGGGCCTCGCTCAGTCCCAGCTCGATGTTCTCCATGGAGCGGCGCAGCTGCCGGGCCTTCTCGTGCACCAGCCCTTCCTCATGGCCGCCTTGCTGCAGGCACTCGATGGTCTGGGACAGGCTCTGAAGCACGGCTTGGTGTTCACTGTGCAGCGCCTCCAGCCCTTGGCTCACCAGCCGAGTGCTCCCCAGGATCTCCTCCTGGCTGAGCCGGTGGCCCCCAGCCTCATCGCGCTGCCCCAGCACCAGGCCCGACATCCTGGCTGGGCGAACTGGACTAGGGAGAAACGACAGAGCTCAGATGGGGCCAAGACGGCAAAGACAGGCTCCTTGGTCGGGGGTCGAGTGGGGGGGACATAAGTGGTAGGAAGGACAGAAACTGGGTGGGCCTGGGGTGTGACTGGTGAGTGACCAGTGGGGGGGGAGGAGCTAATTAAAGAAAAGTGTGTCTGTGTGGGGGTGGGGGCCGAGGGGGTGCCGGTGAGACAGAACAGAGGCTCAGGCATTTGTCTTTGATCCGGGCACCCCAGCTGGTCCCCGGAGCCTGCCAGGAGTGATCCCTGAGTCCAGAGCCAGGAGTAAGCCCGGGGCACAATTGGGTGTGGCCTCCAAAATTATAAATAAATAAATGAAAGCAGGGAGCGGTCAACACAAAGCAAAAGCAAAGGTGATGTGAGGGAGAGGAGGAACGGGCTTGAAGGAAGAGGGATTCAGAACTCAGGAACAAGACCCGGGATGTGGCTGTGACTCAGAGCACACACCTTGTGCCCCTGTGGCCCTGAGTTTGTCCCAGGCACAGAGCAGTCCCCCACGCCACCAGAACATAAGCAGGAGTGATCCTGGGCCCTGAGCACCGCAGCAAGCACAGCCCCCACAACAATAAGAGAGCAACTAGAACGAACACAGAATTTAAGGATGGAACAGAAAAGGAACTGGAGAGAGCACGGGAGTTAGAGAAAGGAACCCAGGGCCAGGGTGATTTAGCACAGCAGGTAGGGCTTTTGCCTTGTGCACGGTCACACTGGGTTCGATCCCTGGCGCCCCATATGGTCGCCGGAGCACCGCCAGGAGTAATTTCTGAGTGCAGAGTCAGGAGTAAGCCCTGAGCATCGCCCGGGGTGGCCCCCAAACAAACAGAAACAAAAAAAAAAAAAAAAGAAAAAGGCAAATGAACCCAGATGTGCACAGTGAGGCACACAAAGACTATTTAAGAGGAGCAACAAAAGGCACAGGACTAGAGCCTTAAGGTGGACAGCTGACCGGCAGGACCTAGTCAGAGGTCTCAAAAATAAAAACAAAACGGATGGAATAGGTTTCAAAGTTAAACCAGGAAAAGGAGCGAAGGCACGAAGGGCTGAAACTAGGAGGGCAGGGCACACGGCTTATCTGGATGAATGCAAACCCCGCATGCATGCCTGCAGGAGACCAGGGTGCGACTTCTACCCCCTCTTGCCCACGCCCCCAACCCCAGCAGAAACCCGTGTGTGTGTGTGGGGGGAAGACACACTTTCGTTGCAAGACCCACAGAAACCCCCACCCCGGCCCCAGCTCACCCCCAAGGCCGAGCTCTTCCAGCCCCGATCGCCCCCGCAGGTGGGTCCCGTCTCCCCAGGGCTGCCCGGCGCAACGTCACCCGTTCGCACCCACCCGCTGCGGCTCCCGGGCGGTCCTCCTCCTCCTCCCGGACCGGGGCCCGCTCCTCCTCGTCCTCCTCCTCCTCCTCCTCCCCGGGCCTCTCCCCAGCGACCAGGCTCGGGCCGGACGGAGCCCGGAAGAATCGCTCCAGGCGGGCCCCGCGCAAAGTCCAGGAGTCCAGCGTCGCCCTCCGCGCCCGCCGCGTCCCCGCCACCCGGCGGCCCTGGCGCGGGGCCCCGCCCTGGGCAAACAGCCTCCCGCCCGCGACGGGTCTCCCGAGGGGCCCCGCGGGGGTGCGACTGGACTGTGCGGGGCGCGGGAGGGGCGTGCCGGGCCGGGCCGGGCCGGGCCGGGCCGGACCGGGCCGGGTCGGGCCGGGCGGCGGGGAGACCCGGTCGCCGCGCGGGCTCGGCTGTCACCGCCGACGGCGCCGGCAGGAGTCACCTGAGGGCGCGCGGCCGCGGGGTCCCGGGTCCCGGGGCGCGGGGTGCGGACGGCACGGCCGGCGCGCGGACGACGACCCGGCCCGCGGACCCGGCGACCCCGAGGTCACGGGCGGGCGGCGCGGGGGGGGCGGGGCGCGCGTCCGTCGGTCCGTCTGCGGGCCGGGGGAGGCGGAGCTTCGCTTTCCGGCCGCCCCGCGGGCCGGGAGCCTCGGAGCGCGGGCACGGAAAGAAGAGGCGGCGGGGCCTCGAGCCGGGGCCGCGGGACGCGCTTCGGAGACTCACCCGCACCGTGTCCGCCCGGCTGCCGCCGCCCAGGCTGAGGCTGCCCCTTTAAATCCATCATGGCTACCGCCTGAGGCAATTGTTTTGACGGCTCTCGGGGGCGGGGCCTGCCCCCAGCCACGTGGTGCGAGCGCCGCGGGGGGATTGGCTGGGCCCGCCCGCGAGGCGGGGAAGGAGGCGGGCTCAGCCTGCGGGGCCTCGGGTTCTCGGCCCGCCTCCTCTGACGTAGTTTGCCAGCGCCCGGCCGGCCGCGGGGCGACGTCACCCGGGAGCGCCGGGAGACCTGGCCGAGGGCGATGGTGGCGTGCCGCGTTTAGTGGAGCCGGGTCGTCCTCATGGCGCTGCGGGGGCTGGCCCGCGCTCTGGGCGCTCTGAGTCTGGCTCCCCGGGCCGTCCAGGTAATCCCTCTTACCCGGGAAGCAGGCTAGGCACTTTGCGTTCGCGCCGCCGCAGGAAGGGCGCCCGGGGAGGCCGGCGGGCTGCGGGACTCCGGTCCCGAGTCGCGCTCTGCAGGCTCGGAGGCCCGTGACCTTGACTGAGCCACGCTCAGCCTTGCTGTCACGGGGCTTTGGGGGCCCTCAGACGAGGTGTTGGAGGTCAGGGGTGCTCTGCGGATCACCGGTCGCACAGGTTTCTGCGATACCTGGTGTTTGTGGGATGAATGCCTGGCGTAAGCCAAGTCTAAGCACAGCGCATTTTTGGCTCCTTTAAAGCATCGCTTCCCAGGACTGGAGACGTAGGACACGGGTAAGGTGGTTGCCTGGCACGTGGCCCACCCGGCATCTCTTCCCCCGCACCCCAGTGGTTCCCTCGAGTCCCCGCCTGGAGTGAATCCCTGAGCACAGCCGGGTGTAGGGTCACGCCTCCCCACCCCAAAATAAATCCGATAATCTCTTTGAAAGTTAGACGCCATTGGAGCTGAATAGTCTAGCTTCAAACCCTGGGCTAGACCTGGGGTCAGCTAGTCCAATGGGTAAGGCGCTTGCCTTGCAGGAGGCTGACTCGGGTTGGATCCTCCACATCCCATGTGGTTCCCCAAAGCCACTGGAGTGATTCCACAGTGCAAAGCCAGAATGCCACAAGGTGTGGCCCCAAACCCAGAAACCTGGATAGGGGTGTGTGTGTGTGTGTGCAAATGCTCTACCCGCTGTGCTATTGCTCCAGCCCATGCACACACAGTTAATTCCACTGTCATTGTCCTCCCGTTGTTCATCGATTTGCTCGAGCGGGCCCCGTAACGTCTCCATTGTGAGACTTCTTGTTAATTAAGTCACAGAAAAATATAGCTAGCAAGTCTTGCTAATCTGTGGCTCCTGGTGTTTGAAAGATACACAAACCTGGACTAGAAGTGTGTGTGCATATGTGTGTGTGTGTGGGGGGGGTGTTAGTCATTGAATAACAGAAGAATTCAGTAATAAATCTTGCTCATCCTGACCTCTGGGGCTGCTGATTGAGTTTAGCAGATAAAGACCTGAGATTCCAAACAAAATCATCCTACTCTGTGGTTCTAGATATACAGCAGGAAACAAAATAAGTGATCCCTTTCCTTGCTATCTGATAAGCTCCCCAGAAACATAACATAGACAAGTAAAAGGCCTTGGGGCTGATCGTGGTGTGCATATTTAAATGTTCTACCAAATGGAATTCTTTTTTCTTTTTCCTTTTCATCACCCAGTGATGCTCAGGGGTTACTCCTGGATCCGCACTCGGGTATCACTCCTGGTGGTGCTCAGGTAACCATATGGGATGCTGGGGATTGAATCCCGGATTGGCTGTGTGGAAGGCAAATGCCCTCCCCACCGTACTATCTTCCAGCCCCCACAAAAGGGAATTCTTTTTTTTTTGGGGGGGTTCACACCCATTGATGCACAGGGCTTACTCCTGGCTCTTGCCCTCAGGAATTACTCCCTGGCAGTGCTCAGGGGACCATATGGGATTCTGGGAATCGAACCCGGGTCAGCCGCGTGCAAGGCAAATGCTCTACCCGCTGTGCTATTGCTCCAGCCCACAAAAGAGAATTCTTTAGGGAAGGGGAGACCTAGTCAAAGAACTGGAGTTCAGACTTGGCAGGGAGAAGCCTTGGGTTAGATCCCCAGCATCTTATGACCTGAACATTCCTAGGGGCAGCCCCAAGCAATACCACGTGTGGCCCAAAAGTACCAAAGGGCGTTGGAGGGTGTTGGGGGTTGTTTAGGAAAGGAAAATTTCTTGGAGAAGGAAGGTTTTGTGCCACGTTTTAAAGGGAAAGACTGGAGTGGGCTGGAACACGTGCTTTACAATGCAGAGGGTCAGGGTTTGATTCCTAGCACTTCATATGATCCCCATAGCACTGCCAGGAGCAGTCCTGAGCACTGAGCCAGGGGTGACCCTCGGTGCGTCTGGGTGGGTGAAGCCTCCTCCCCAAAAAAAGAAAACAATTTTGCACCCAGACAGGAGTTAGTACAATAGGTAAGGAAGGTGCTTGCCTTGCACGTGGACCAACCTGGATTCAGTCCCCCCCCCCCCCCCCCCCCCCCCCCCGCCAGCCCCTCCAGGAGTGCTCAGCAGGGGACAGTCTTTTTTTTTTTTTTTTTTTTTTGCTTTTTGGGTCACACCCGGCAATGCACAGGGGTTCCTCCTGGCTCTGAGCTCAGGAATTACCCCTGGAAGTACTCAGGGGACCATATGGGATGCTGGGAACCCGGGTTGGCCTTGTGCAAGGCAAATGCCCTACCTGCTGTGCTATTGTTCCAGCTCCAGCAGGGGTCAGTCTTGTGCCTTGTGCACAGCTAGGTGTGACCCCAAAACAAAACAATCTGGGAAGAAGGTATGCCAAGGGGAGATATTTCAATGGGATGCTTGACAGGGAAGAAAAGAAATGGAAAAAAGGTCATCTGTACGGTGGCAGCTCCACATGGAAGCGGGCTCCTTGCAGAACCTGCTGTGTGCCCGTTCCGGTGCTTCTCTGATGCCTCCCTGTCAGTTAGCCTTCCGATGAAACAGCCTCTGCTTCTCTCCAGGTGCCACACAGGGCTGTCCTCCAGCTGCCCTCCGCCCCGGTGCCGCCCCCCTCTCGCCCATTTCTTACCTCCGTGGCCCTTCCTGCTAAGCTGGTCTCCTGGAAGAGCCGTACCAAGTACACCGTCATGCCAGTGAAGATGAGGAAGTCTGGGGGCCGAGACCACACAGGTGGGAGCAACGGCAAGAGGATTTAGCAGTCCAGGGGGCAAACCTAGGATAGGGCCCCAGGTCTGTTCGTTGATAAGCTTCACTTTGCGAGAGAGGTGTAGTTAAAAAGCGTTCATTGCATTGGCCTCTGTACGTGGTACATGTGTGAGAACCAGAGAGCAATAGACAAGTGGTTTCTGCTTTTGGTTTTGGATTTGGGGGCCACACCAAATCCTAAAGTGCTCAGGGTTTACTCCTGTCTCTGTGCTCAGTTATTGGTGGCTGGGGTTGGAACACGACATGTAGGGGCAGGGATTTGAACTTGGGTCGGCCGAGTAAGGCAAGCACCGTCCTGGCTCCAGTATCTCTCTGATCTCCCAACATGTGCTTCTGTGTTGTGTTTTGTTTTGGGGCCACACCCGGCAGTGCTCCAGGGTTACTCCTGGCTGTACACTCAGGAATCACTCCTGGCAGTGTTCACGGGACCATGTGGAATGCAGGGATTTGAACCTGGGTGGGCCACATGCAAGGCAAGTACCCTACCTGCTGTACTATTGCTCCGGCCCCGTAACATGTGCTTTTAAAGACAGACTAGGGAATTGAGGAAAACTGATGTATACCAGAAGGGCCACATTTTTCTTCAGCTCTTTTTTGTTTGTTTTTGGACCACACCCAGCAGTGCCCAGGGTTTGCTCATGGCTCTGTGCTCAGATATCACTCCTGGTGCTGTTCAGGGGATTGAACCCAAGTCAGCCATGTGCAAGGCAAACAACCTACCCTCTGAACTATTGCCTCAGCCCCCACATTTTTCTTCAACTCTTATAATAAATTCCAGAAGTTGGGTGCCAGAGTGAGAGCATAAAAGGTAAGACAGTTGCCTTGTATACAGCCAATCTGGGTTCAATCCCCGGCATTCCATATGGTCCACCGAATACTGCCAAGAGTAATTCCTGAGTGTAGAACCAGGAGTAACCCCTGAGCATCACCGGGTGTGGTCTAAAAACAAAAAAAAAAAAAAAGAGGGAAGTTTTACCTGGAAATATGACACAACTCCACTGTCATATAATTATGAGGGTTATTTTATGTATATATATACATAATTACAGGAATTTTGTTTTTTGGGGGGTTGGGGGGGCCACACCTGGCAAATGCTCAAGGGTTACTCTTGGCTCTGCACGCAGGAGTTATTCCTGGTGGGCTTGGAGGACCATATGGAATGCTGGGGATTGAACCTGGGTCAGCTGTGTGCAAGGCAAATTGCCCTACCCACTATGCTAAGACATGTAATTATGTCTTAATTCCGTTGTCATGTAATTATGTTTGTACCAAGTTTCATGTCATCACCCCATCCCCAGTTATCAGAATGCTGTGAAAATATTTTATCCTTAGGGCCAGAGTGATAGTACAGTGGATAGCGTGCCGGCCTTGCATGCACATGCCCTGGGTTGATTCCTGACACCCTATATGGTCCCTCGAGCCCTGTCAGGAGTGATCCCTGAGTGCAGAGCCAGTAATAAGCTCCTCTAGGAATTATCCCTCAGCTCAGAGCCAGGATAAGCCCTGAGCACCGCTGACTGTGACCCATTAAAAGCAAAAAAACTGTTTAGTTTGTGTCCTAATGTTGGGGAGCATTGTTCTATGCTCAGATGGGCCCATTCCCAGTGCTGGGAGCTATTCATCTGATGTGGGTCATGTCCCCGCATGTCCTCACCACAGGCCGAATCCAAGTGCACGGGATTGGTGGGGGCCACAAGAAGCGTTATCGCATGATTGACTTTCTGCGGTTCCGGCCCGAGCAAGAAGCCAAGCCAGAGCCCTTTGAGGAGAAAATCATCACCGTCCGCTATGACCCCTGTAGGCAAGTTGGGCGCTGTGGCATGTCCCAGTGATTACGCTGCGGCTTCTCAGAGGGTATGGGGCAATTCGGACCCACTCACCTGGCCCCTCACCCTGAGCAGGTCAGCAGACATAGCTCTGGTTGCTGGAGGCAGCCGGAAACGCTGGATCATTGCTACAGAAAACATGAAAGCCGGAGATATAATCCTGAACTCGAACCAGATAGGCCGAATGGCAGGTAAGGACGCGGCTTCCAGAGGCGTGGGCTGGGGGCACGCGTGTTCCCTGCTGACAAGATTCTGTCTTTCAGTTGCTGCTCGCGAAGGGGACGCACATCCTCTTGGGGCCTTGCCTGTGGGGACCCTCGTCAACAACGTGGAGAGCGAACCGGGCAGGGGGGCCCAGTATATCCGAGCCGCAGGTACAAGGCAGGGAGCTGCTGCTTAGGGTCTGCAGAGGTGTGTGAGGGCATGACACTCGGAACCATGGGTTCTCGTCCTCTGCCACATCTCTGTTGGCCGAGGACAAGGAGGAAACTGAAGGGGGCCAGAGAGAGAGTGCAGTGAGGTGGGTGCTTGCCTTGCACCCGGCTGATGAGGGTTTGAGCCCCAGCATCCCATATGGCCTCCTGAGCACTGCCAGGAGGGATTCCTGGATGCAGAGCCAGGAGTAACCCCTGATCTTCGCCAGTTTTGGCCCAAAACAAGTTTTTGTTTTTGTTTTGCTTTTTGGGTTACACCTGGTGATGCACAGGGGTTACTCCTGGCTCTGCACTCAGGAGTTACTCCTGGGGGTGCTCAGGGGGCCATATCAGATGCTGGGAATTGAACCCGGGTCGGCCGCGTGCAAGGCAAACGCCCTACCCGCTGTGCTCTCTCTCCAGCCCCAACAAGTTTTGTTTTTTAAAAAAAGGAAATTGGGGCTGGAGAGAGAGCACAGCGGGTAGGGCATTTGCCTTCCACGCGGCCGACCCGGGTTCAATTCCCAGCATAAATAAAAAAACTAAGGCCCTCCCGTTGATGGTCGATTTGCTCGAGTGGGCCCAGTGACGTCTCCATTGGAGACTTTGTTGTTCCTGTGTCTGGCATATCGAATACGTCACGGGGAGCTTGCCAGGCTCTGCCGTGCGGGTGAGATACTCTCGGTAGCTTGCCGGGCTCTCCGAGAGGGGTGGAGGAATCGAACTCGGGTCGGCCATGTTGGCTGCATGCAAGGCAAACGCCCTACCGCTGTGCTATCGCTCCAGCCTAATAAATAAATAAAAATTAAATTAAATTAAAAAAGGAAACTGCAGAAGCAGTGCTGGGGTCACGCGACGCTTCTGCTTCAGTCTGCTCTGCAAGGCAGAATGTGGGGTTGGCCCTCTGAGGTGTCTGCGGAGGATGCAAAGCTCTCTCCTGTTCCAGGGACCTGTGGTGTCCTGCTGCGGAAGGTCAATGGGACAGCCATCATCCAGCTTCCTTCCAAGCGACAGATGCAGGTGTGTGATGCAGGGGAGGGCATGGCACAGGAGGAAGTTTGGGGGTGAATGATGTGGCCTGGCCTGCAGAACTCCCTTAGGGACTGTCTCCTGCCGAGTGCCTTCCTGGCCTGTCAGCGGCATTAATAGAAGAGGGAACAGAAGCTTGTTTCTTGCAGGGAGGGGGGCTCTTTATTTTTCACCTTTTTTTCTGCGGGGAACACACCCAGTGATGCTCAGGGGGCACTCCTGGTTCTGCATTCAGGAATCACCCCTAGCAGTGCTCTGGGGACCATATGGGATGCCAGGAATCGAAGCCAGGTTGTGTGCAAGGCAGACGCTGCTGTGCTATTGCTCTGAACCCTGATTTTCAATTAAAAGTTGTTTCACAGTATTATATAAAATTTCCTTTCAAGGGCCCGGAGAGATGGCATAGCGGTTTTTAAGGTATACCATCCTCAGTGGGATCCCTGGCACCGCACCGCATAGGGTCCCCTGAACACCTCCAGATGTGGCCCAGACCCCACCCCGCTCCCCCCAAAAAGGGAAAAGGCATGATTTCACTTAGGAACATGTTTCCTGGGCCAGGAAACAGTGCTTGGCTTACACACAGCGTGCCCATTTCTGTCCCCAGCGCCACTCCTGGTCCTTTTGAGCGCCTGCAGGACCCAACCCCGAGCAGTTGAGTGTGGGCCCCTCACCCCCTCCTCCTTTTTTTCCCCCCCTTCACCTACTGCACAACCCGCCCTGGCACTGAGTGATGCTTCCCCTCACCCTCCCTTCGCTAAGATTCCTGAGAGCTGGCAGTGTAGACCCGCCCCCCCCACCTCCCAGTGCCCCCCAGCCTCACCCCTTCCCCCCCACCCCCCGCAGGTCCTGGAAACGTGCATCGCCACGGTGGGCCGAGTATCCAACGTGGATCACGACCAGCGGGTCATCGGCAAGGCCGGCCGCAACCGCTGGCTGGGCAAGCGGCCTTCCAGCGGGCTGTGGCATCGCAAGGGGGGCTGGGCGGGCCGCAAGATCCGGCCGCTGCCCCCCATGAAGAGCTACGTGAAGCTGCCCTCGGCGGCCGCCCGCAGCTGATGCCCCCGCCCCTAATAAAACGACCCCTTCCTTTCCTCTCCGTGCTTCTGAGCGGGGGCCGGGCCGGGACCCTCGTGGGGGCTGGGGCGGGGGGAGAAGGGACGCGCTCCGGAGCCCCGCGGCGCCCCCAGCCCCGGCCGCGAGGGGCGGGCCCTTCCGGCGGCGAGGGGGGCCGGGCGAGGAAGAGGAAGGGTGGCGCGGGGGAGGGGCCGGCGGCGGCGGCGGCTCCGCCCCGGCCCGCCACGCCCCCTCCCGCCCCTGCGCCTCGACCCTCGGGGGGCCCGGGCGGAGCCGAGCCTCGGTCTGCAGCGCCGCCGCCGCCGCCATCGCCTGCGCCACGTCCCGAGCCCTGCCCAGGACAGGCCGCGCCGGGACCCCCGTCGGCTTCCGAGGTGGCCAGCGCCCCTACCCCGGGTCTCCCCCGCGCGCCGGGCCGGGCGCGCCCTCGCGGGGCCCCCGACCCCCTCTCTCCGGCCTAGCTCCCGGCCCTGCCTGCCTGCCCGCGGCCCCCCGCCCGCCCCGGCTCTCGGGTCCTTCCCCTCCTCCCCCCACCCCGGGGTGCTCGCGGCCCCGCACCCTGTCCCCCCCCCCCCTCGAGCCGTGGTCGCCCCCCTCTCCAACTCGCCACCGCGCGCGGCGCCCTCCCACCATCCCCCTTTCCAGCCCTCGGAGTCGTGTGTCCCCCCCCTCCCCCGCCGCCGCATTCACCCCGGGGGGGTCTCGCGTCGTCACACGCACGCGCCCGCTGGGGTCGGGTTGGGCACGCCAGCCTCCCACGCACCCGCGCTCGGGGTCCTGCGCCGTCACCCCGCCCTCGCGCGCGCGCGCACCGGCGTGGACACGGCGCGGACACGGGCACGCACTCAAACGCCCCTTGGGGTTTTGCACGCCCGCTGCCCGGAGCTGCTGGCCTGGCTCCCGGCTGCTCGGAATTCACTTGTAGCTTCGACACTGCCCCGTCCCCCCGCCCCCCCTCGCCCCTGCCCTCCCACTGCTACAAAACAACCCACCCCGGGCGCAGGGCCTGGGAGCCTCCTTCCAGCCCCTAAATTTTGTCTGCAAACTCCACCAGCGTTCCTCTGCTCAGGCCTGGCCCCACCCGGCCGGCAGCTGTTGCCACATTTGCCTCCTGGAGGCCGGGGTGTCCTTGGTTCCCTGCCCACTCCCTACCCTGCCTGTTTCTCCCCCCCTGTGTACCCCAGGTGCCAGCATGGTGGGGGAACTCCGCTACCGGGAATTCAGAGTGCCCCTGGGGCCGGGCCTGCACGCCTATCCCGATGAGCTGGTGCGCCAGCGGGTGGGCAAGGACGGGCATCCCGAGTACCAGATCCGCTGGCTCGTGCTGCGGCGCGGGGACGAAGGGGAAGGGAGCACCGGCCAGGTGGACTGCAAGGCGGAGCACATCCTGCTGTGGATGTCCAATGACGAGATCTATGCCAACTGCCACAAGATGCTGGGGGAGGACGGCCAGGTCATCGGGCCCTCGCCAGAGCCTGCGGGGGAGGCCGGGACCCTGGACAAATCCGTGCTCCTGGAGATGGAGACCGACGTGAAGTCCCTGATTCAGCGGGCCCTGCGGCAGCTGGAGAACGGCGAGGGCGCCGCCCCGCCAGCCCCGCTGCTTCACACTGTCCACGTGCTCAGCGCCTACGCCAGCATCGAGCCCCTCACGGGGGTCTTCAAAGACCCCAGGGTCCTGGACTTGATCGTTCACATGTTGAGTAGCCCCGATTACCAGATTCGCTGGAGCGCGGGCCGGATGATCCAAGCCTTGGCCTCCCACGATGCTGGTGAGGGGCCGAGGGGCGAGGGAGGGGGAGAGGAAGGCGGGCTGGGTCAGCTCAGGGCCTCCCACGAGGCGGGGGCAGGAGCCTCGGACCTCATCGGTACCTAAATGGGTCTGTTGGCCTTCTCTTAGCCCTAAAGGAAAGGAGGTGGGGGCAGGGAGATAGCATGGGGTCAGGGGCACATACTTTGCATGCGTGGGACCCCACCTCGAGCCTGGCACTGCATGGTTCTTGGAGCGTGACCAGGTACAGTTCTGATGGGCCCCAGCACTGTGATTGGGCAGACCACATTGCCGACCTGAGCGTCGCACAGTCCCTTCAGCCTAGGCAGTGAGGTCTGCCAGAAGTGCCCCAGACCTCCTAAGCATTGCTTGGAAGGGTAACCCCTCCCACACCTCCGAAGAAAAATGAAAAAGACGCCAGAGCGGTAATTCAGTGGGCAGGGCGCTTTCTTTGCAGTGGCTGACCTGGGTTCAACCCCTGGTATCCTGGTATTCCAAGCCCTGCTGGGAGTGATTCCCGAGTGTAGAGCCAAGCCTATGCCCTGAACACCTCAGGGTGTCGCCAAAAAAAAGAGAGAGAAAAGGAGGTGGGAAGTGGATGTGGGCATCTCTACAAGAGGATGCAAGGCTGGTTCCTCACGAAGCTCTGTTTCCGGGGCTGGAGCGATAGCACAGCGGGTAGGGTGTTTGCCTTGCATGCGGCCAACCAGGGTTTGATCCCCGGCATCCCATATGGTCCCCTGAGCACCGCCAGGAATGAGTTTTGAGTGCAGAACCAGGAGTAACTCCCAAGCACTTCGGTGTGTGGCCTCCAAACCAAAAACAACCCTCTCCCCTAAGGAAAAAAAAGAAAAAGAACCTCTGATTCTCTGGTCTTCTATGCAGAGGCAGACTTTAGATAATTAGAACTCAGACACTCGGATGTCTGCATCCTAATAGGATGTCTCCAACAGTAGTGTTGAAGCAAATCTTCGTCTGGTGGGGGTGAAGAGTGGGGGGCTGGGAACAGAAGGTCGGGCTGGGAGGGGAGACTGAGGAGCAGTTTCTGACTGGGGTGTGGTTCCAGCGACCCGGACACACATCCTGCTGTCCCTGAGCCAGCAAGAGGCCATCGAGAAACACTTGGATTTTGACAGCCGCTGTGTCCTGCTGGCTCTTTTCGCGCAGGCGACACTCACGGAGCACCCCATGTCCTTCGAGGGCATTCAGTTCCCGCAGGTATTCTGTGGGCATCAGGGGAGGGGGAGGGGCCACGTTGGAGAATACCTGTTCTCAGAGACGTGCAGTGGGCCTCAGCAGCAGGGCCAGGAGGACCCAGGCTGACCACCACCGTGTCCTGCAGATCCCGGGCAGGTGGCTCTTCTCCCTGGTCAAGCGGTACCTACTGGTCACGTCCCTCTGGGATCAGCTGAATGAGCACATCCAGCCCCGAGCCCAGGACAGCTCCAACCCCGAGGAGCTGAGCGGGGAGCGGAGTCGCCTGGAACTGGAGTTCAGTATGGCCATGGGCACCCTGATCTCGGAACTGGTGCAGGCCATGCGCTGGGATTGGGCATCCAGCCGGCCGGGCCCAGTGGCACCGCCCGCCAGCTCCCAGCCGCAGCCAGCCGATGCAGGCCTGGAGCTCCTGGGCGAGCAGGCCGCGCTGCCCTTCCGCAGGGCCAGGCGGTTCCGGCCGCGCACGGAGTTCGCCAGCGGCAACACCTACGCCCTGTATGTGCGGGAGACGCTGCAGCCCGGCATGCGTGTGCGGATGCTGGACGACTATGAGGACATCAGCGCGGGCGAGGAGGGCGAGTTCCGGCAGAGCAACAACGGCGTGCCCCCCGTGCAGGTGAGGACGGGTGCTGCTGGGGGTGGGGTGGGGTGGGGGACAGGCGGGGTGACCGCTCAAGGAGAAAACCCAGACATATGGGGGCCAGAGCGATAGCACAGCAGGGAGGGCGTCTGCCTTGCACGCGGCCAACCCAGGTTCGATCCCCAGCATCCCATATCGTCCCCCGAGCACCGCCAGGAGTAATTCCTGAGTGCCGAGAAAGGAGTAGCCCCTGAGCATCTCCAGGTGTGACCCACAAAGCCAAAAAAAAAAAAAAAAGGAGCCGTGAACAGATGGGCTTCTGGAGGGCTGAGGAGTCCTGAGCTGAGAATTTGGTCCCGGAAGAAACTGACTTTTCAGGACCAGGAGGACATTTGTGGACAGCAGTCCAGGCCAGGGGCAAGCATCCCCAGAGCATAGGTTGCCCATGTGCCAGTGGTCACTGTTTGCAAATTTTGCCCAGCGTGGTCATGTGACCCCTCCCTGCCTTCTCCCTGTCCTGGGCCCACTTTTCTTCCTTTCTTGTTGCTGGATGTATGTTTTCAGGGGGTTGGCAGTGGGGAACACCTCACTGTGTACCAGCACTACTCCCAGCAGAGCTCTGGGGACGTGTGGGACGAGGGATGGGACCGGGCCTCCTGCGTGCTCCGAGTCCTCCCCCTGACCTGCCATCACATCCTCAGTAGTGCTCACTGGGGGCTGCCGGCCTTTGCCGTGGTGCTTGGCGCATTCTGGTTTTTTTTTCTTTTTTTGGGGGGGGGGGTCACACCTGGCGATACACAGGGGTTTCTCCTGGCTCTACACTCAGGAATCACTCCTGGCGGTGCTCAGGGGACCATATGGGATGCTGGGAATCGAACCCTGGTCGGCCGCGTGGAAGGCAAACGCCCTACCCACTGTGCTATCTCTCCAGCCCCTCTTGGCGCATTCTGATCTGGGCGCTTGCCAGGGGCGAGGTGGGCCTCGCACAAGTGGCTGATAAGGGGTCGCTGAGCTCACACGGAGCTTCAGTTGTGGTGTTCCCACACAGATGGGGTGTGGGAGGTCATGGGACACGGGCTGTGGGGAGTGCCAGACTGCAGAGGGTCTGGACTCAGCACCAGTGACTCTTGGGGGTAGCAGTGGGGGTCCGGGGGAGACAACACACTCAGTAGTTCCCAGGGATTACTCTTGGCTCTGAGCTCCAGGATCACTCCTGGGATGGCGGTGGGGGGGCATACATGAGGGGGTGTCAGGGATTGAACCTGGGTTGGTTATGTGCAAGGCAAGTGCCCTACCTGCTGTGCTATATCTCTCCAGTCTATCATTCAGTGACACTGTCTTGGGACTGGAGCAATAGCACAGCGGGTAGGGCATTTGCCTTGCACGCAGCCGACCCGGGTTCGATCCCCAGCATCCCATATGGTCCCCCGAGCACCGCCAGGAGTAATTCCTGAGTGCAGAGCAAGGAGTAACCTCTGAGTGTTGCTGGGTGTGACCCGAAAAGAAAAACAAAACAAAACACTGGAAACAGTGACACTGTCTTCCCAGCCATCTTCTTTGTGGGGAGGAAGGGGTAGTGGTGGGGGTGAGGGTGAGGTGGGCTCATCTGGGCCACCCCCAGCAGGGCTCAAGGGCTCCTCCTGCCTCTGTGTTCAGGAGTGACCCCTGACGGTGCTCTGGGGGCCGTATGCGGTGCCCAGGATTGACCTGGGGTTAGCTGCGGCAGGGTCAGCGCCTTAAGCCCTGTGCTCTCTCTCCGGCCCCCCTTCCCCCCTGCGCTCGCCACCCCTCCCCCCTCCCAGGTGTTCTGGATGGCCACGGGCCGTACTCACTGGGTTCACTGGCACATGCTGGAGATCCTGGGCTTTGAGGAGGACATGGAGGACGTGGCCGAGGAGGACGTGTACCAGAGCGCGGCGCTTGGTGGATCTCTGGGTGCAGGTGAGCCCCGGGCGGACACGGGGGCGAGCTCCGAGGGGGCGACAGTGGGGTGGCCGCGTGGACAGTGACGTCTCCCGGCAGTCCTGCCCATCTGGCGGTGGAGGCCCATGGGGGAGCTCTACGCGGTCCCCTACGTGCCGCCCGAGGAAGAGGAGCCGGAGGAGACCGAGCACCTGTCCCAGGCCGAGTGGTGGGAGCTGCTGTTCTTCATCAAGAAGCTGGAGGGCTCCAAACACCAGGAGGTGCTGCAGATCCTCCAGGAGAACCTGGACGGGGAGGTAGGGGCCACTGCCAGGGCTGCAGGCATGTTGGGGGGGGGGCAGGAGGGCGGGAGCGAAGTTTCTAGAACCTCTGGAGGTGTTGGCGGGGCAGACCTCTCCCTGCCAGAAATGGTCTGCCATGGAGACGGGGGGAGGGTGGGGAAGGGGGCGTATACTGGGGAGATTGGTGTGCACTGGTAGAGGAATGGGTGTTTTTTGTTCTTTTTTTTTTTTTTTTTTTTGGTTTTTGGGTCACACCCGGCGATGCACAGGGGTTATTCCTGGTTCTGCATTCAGGAGTTACTCCTGGCGGTGCTCAGGGGACCATATGGGATGCTGGGAATCGAACCGTGGTCAGCCTCATGCAAGGCAAACGCCCTACCCACTGTGCTATCTCTCCAGCTCCAGGGATGGGTGTTTGATCTTTGTGTAATTGTAACTCAAACATGAAAGCTTGTAACTGTATCTCAAGGTGATTCAATTAAAAAAACAAAAACAAAAACAAACAACTCTCCCTGCTGGGAGAGAACTGGAGTAGAGCAGGGGGTGCCGATCCCCAGCCCACGGTGACGGCTTCTCCCTGGTGACAGATTCTGGATGACCAGCTCCTGGCCGAACTGGCCATGCCCATAGAGCTGGCCCAGGACCTGCTGCTCGCCCTGCCCCAGCGACTCAGTGGCGGCGCCCTCCGGGACCTCCTCACCTGCCGCATCTACCGGAAATTCGGGCTCCAGGCCCTGGCGGGACAGCCCGTCTACCCCTCCCTGCTGGCGGCCCCCACCCCGGATGCAGCCAGAGGGAAAGGTGAGACACCGGGAGGAGCTCAGAGGGGCTAAGCACGGGCTCTGCAGGTGGGTGCCCAGGTCCTCTCCAATGTCTGCGCGGAAGCACCCCCCTACTGCACCTCTAGCTGTGACCTCCTGGCTAAAACAGAAACCTAGAGGGAAAGCCCTGCATGGGCTGTAGGAGGGCACTTAGCCCCGAGCCCTGTCTGTGCTGCTCTGTGTCTGACCCTTTCTGGGAGAGGCGGCACCGTCAGGAGGAGTGTGAGATGCAGAGGGGCACCCTCCAGAAAACCAGGGCACGTGGAGAGCGAGAATAATTGCAAGCGGTTGGAATCCTTGAAGGCTTCGCGTTTAACTGTTTACTGTTGCCGAAGAGAATCATGTCGTGGTCTCATTTATTTATTTATGTTTGGTTTGGGGCTCATACCTGGCCATGTTCAGGGGTTACTCCCAGATCTACACTCAGGAATTACTCTTGGCAGTTCTTGGGACCATATGGGATGCCAGAAATCCAACCCAGGTTGGCCATGTGCAAAGCAAACACCGTCACCACTATATCATCTCTCCTGCCCCTCATGGTTTTAATTTTATCAGTTTCATACATCAAAGCTACCTCTCACACACGTAAGGCATCCACTTTACCACTGAGCCATACTCCTGTCCCTGATGTTTTTTGGTTGCCTTTTTGTTTTGTTTTTGTTCTGGTTTTTTTTGTTTGTTTGTGTTTGGGCCACACTGGGCAATGCTTAGAGGCTATTCCTGAAGGTGCTCCAAGGACCATATGGAATGCCAGGGATCAAATGTTGGCAGTGTGCAGAGCAAGTGCCCTACTACCCACTGTGTTATCTTCCTGACCTTGCCTCTGTGTTTTATATGTGAGATAGATATGTGTGTGCTTATACTTCTGCAATAGATGTGTAAGTGTACACATGGTTCATTTTAACCCTTCACTCTCTATCTTTATTTTTTTTGTTTTGGGGCACCACACCTGGCAGTGCTCAGGAGTTACTCTTGGCTCTGTGCTCAGGGATCACTCCTGGAAGGCTCAGGGAACCCTATATTGTGCCAGGACTCAAGCCTGGGTCAGCTGCATGCAAGGGAAGTTCCCTACCTGCTTGTTTTCATTTTCTTGAAAAATTTTAATTTTGTGCACCAGGGATCACACATGTGTGCTCCCGAGGTCATGCTCAGCGCCTATGGGACACCAGCAGTTGGATCTCCTGAGTGACCTGCAAGGGTGCAGGAAGGCGGCCCGAAGCCCTGTGTGATTTTTGCAGTGCCCCCTTGAGTTTTTTAATACAGAATAAAGCCCTGTTGTTTCTGGGGCCAGAGCGATAGCACAGCAGGTAGGGCACTTGCCTTGCATGCAAGCCAACCCGGATTCGATCCCTAGCATCCCTATGGTCCCCTGAGCACCGCCAGGAGTGATCCCTGGGTGCAGACAGGAGTAAGCCCTGGGTACCTCCAGGTGTGGCCAAAGAAAGAAACACACCTCTGAGTTTCTGGACAGACAGCTGCTTTGCTGCTTTGAGGTTTGAGGCTGGGCTTAGTAGGACAGTAAATTTCTTGCACGCACAGGGACCTGCATTTGTTCTTGATACCACATGAGACCCCACCCCAGCACCACTGAGGGTGGCCTGACCACTGACAACAACAAGGAATGAAATTTGAATTTGTTTTGAAGCTGTTCTATAAATATATCGAGGGGAACTGGAGAAATAGCCCGGGGGTAAGGCACTTGCCTTGGGTGCAGGTACCCCTGGTTAATCCTCCAGCACAGCATGTGATCTCCCAAGCCCCTCCAGGAGTGACCCCTGAGTGCAGGGACAGGAGTATGCCCTGAGGACTTCCCTGTGTGGCCCAGCAGCCAAAAAATGTTTAAAACAAATCCACTGAACTGCTATAACTTCCCGATTTTTTTTCTCCTTTTTGGGTCACACCTGGCGATGCTCAGGGGTTACTCCTGGCTCTGCACTCAGAAATTCCTCCTGGTGGTGCTCGGAGGATCTTATAGGATGCTGGGAATTGAACCTGGGTCGGCCGCATGCAAGGCAAACGCCCTACTCGCTGAGTTATCACTCTAGCTCCTGATTTTCCAATTTTAACCATGCTCCATGGCTATTCCTGACTCTGTGCTCAGGCACTGACTTGAGTTGAGGGTGGCAGCAAGCAGAGTGAGTGCCTTTCCCCCATGCTCGCTCTCTCTGGCCCAAACCTAACTAAAAAAAAAAAAAGTCCAGGATGAAGAGAGACCTCCAAGGCTGGGGAGCGTGCTCTGCACGCCAGCGCCCTGGCACAGCCTGGCAGTGCCTCAGCCCCAGCCCCAAGCCAGGTGAAGCCACCAAGCAAAACAGGTGGTTGCTTTGAGGATGAGGATGTGGCCATCGTCTTGTTGCCAATATAGCTTTCTGGACCCAATTAAATCGACTCATAAATCGCAGTAGGAGAGACAGCACAGGGCTTAGGGTGCAGGCCTTGCTTGTCACAGCCCCCCGCAATGTAGCATCCCCTGGTATCTCCTGGTACAGCCCTGAAGCCCCCAGGTACTACCAGGATAGCCTCAGGGTCCCATCCCCAGGGCCACCTCAGCGCCATGAGTGAAACTCGGCTCCTCCAGACAGAAGGAAAAACCCAGGGAGGGACTGGAGCAATAGCACAGTGGGAAGGGGGTTTGCCTTGCATGTGGCCGACCCAGGTTCGATTCCCAGCATCCTATATGGTGTCCTGAGCACTGCTAGGAGTAATTCCTTGAGTGCAGAGCCAGGAGTAACCCCTGTGCATTGCCGGGTGTGACCCACCCCCCCAAAAAAAAGTAGAGAAAAACCCAGGGACTAATCCAGCAGGCAGGATGTTTGCCTTGCATGGGCTGGCTAGGTTCAATCTCTGGCCCCCCCAACCTCCCCAAAATAAACCAAGAGAAGACCCTTAGGAAAGAAATGCAGAGCTGGGGCTGGAGCCGTAGTATGCAGCGGGGACGCGTTTGCCTTCCACACACATGGCCGATCTGGGTTCAGCCGACCTGGGTTCGACTTCCAGCATCCCGTTTGGTCCCCCAGAGCCCCGCCAAGAGTGATCCCTGAGTTCAGAGCCAGGAGTAACCCCTGAGCACTGCCAAGTACGGCCCAAAAACCCAAAAAGAGAAATGCAGAATTCCAGATCCGTCTCTCCACGTCCCTCCCGCTGACCACTCTGCTGACCTACACCCCCCCGCCCCCCGCAGCCAAGGACTCCCTGTCCGCGGGCACCCACACGCCCCTGCAGCGCCTGGCGGAGAGCTTTGGTTCAGCCGGGAAGATCATTCTGGAACTGGAGCACGTCCTGAGCGTGGAGAAGCCACAGGAGAGCGAGGTCAGGCCCATCCTGCAGCAGCTTCTGCAGGAGCCGCAGCCCTTCCTGGCACTGATGCAGAGTCTCGACTCGCCGCCTGCCAACAAGGCCCTGCACCTGGCCGTCCTCAGGTGAGGCCTGGGCCCGGCGGTTGGGCCCCCCCAGGTGCCCCAGGCACTGCTCAGCTCCCCACCTCCCTCTGCTCTGCAGAGTCCTGCTGCGACTGGCGGATGTCCCCGACGCCCCGCTGCTCCCCTGGCACGAGGCCATGGAAGCCTGTGTGGCCTGCCTGCAGTCCCCCGACACTGACCGAGAGGTACCCTGCCACCTTGGGGTGCTCGCCAGCCTGGCGTGGGGCGGCGCGCTAGGGGGAAGCCAGGAGCCTGGGAACTCTTGCAGAGGGCTTCAATTTTAAATTAGAATTCCGATGAGCTGGAGAGAGAGTGCAGAGGCTAGGGCGCTTGCCTTGCATGCAGCCCACCCAGGTTTGGTCCCCTCGGCCCACCAGGAGTGATCCCTGAGTGAAGCCAGGAGTCAGCCCCGAGCACCTCTGGGGGTGGCCCCAAAACACGTGAGATAGGAGAGGGGTTAAGGCACCTTCTTTGTCCATGATTTTCCCCCATTCACTCCCTGACACCACCAGGAATGATCCCTGAGCACGGATGAGTATGACCCAGACCCACCCCACCCCCAATCAAATAAGACAAAATTGATTGTCAGGCCAGAGAGAGGACTCAGGGCCAGGCTTTGCAGCAGGAGGTCCAGGTTCAATCCCTGACGTGGCAAAGACCCCCCAAGCACAAAGCCAGGAGTAGCACCTGAGCACCTCTCAGGTATGACTTCCCTACCACAATAGAAATCACACAGTCAAATTGAATTTTATTATTTTGACTAGGTAATTTAGGGGCCGGCGTGATAGTATAGCGGATAGAGTGTTTGCCTTGTAAATGCAGCCAACCTGGGCTCGATCCCTGGCATCCCCTAGGGTCCCCCAAGCACCGCCAGGAGTGATTTCTGAGTGCAGAGCCGGGAGTAACCCCTGAGCATGACTGGGTGTGATGCGAAAACCAAAAAAAGAAAAGAAAAGAAACACAAAAATTAAATCCAAATCCAAACAGCATAATATAGTATGTACTGAGAATTCTTGCTCCCATCTAAGCTCCTGTTGTATCTTCCCCTGCTCTCTCCGCGCGCACACGCACACACACACACACACACACACATGCACACACACATACACACACTGTGGGTTGTCACGAGTTCATTTTTATTTCCTTCTGGTGCTTCCTTGCACAGATACAAATGAATTCAAAAGTTCAGCCTTGGGGCTGGAGCGATAGCACAGCAGGTAGGGCCTTTGCCTTGCATGTGGCTGACCCGGGTTCGATTCCCAGCATCCCATATGGTCCCCTGAGCACCGCCAGGGGTGATTCCTGAGTGCAGAGCCAGGAGGAACCCCTGTGCATCACCAGATGTGACCCAAAAGAACAAACAAACAAAAACAGCATCCACCCAGCATTAGTCACTAAGCATGGCTGAGTATAACCAAAAAAAAAAAAAAAAAAAGTTCAGCCTTACTTGCTGTTTTCTTCCTTGTACCAAAAATTGTAGAGGGGCTGGAGAGATAGCATAGCAGTTAGGGCGTTGGCCTTGCACGCACCCGACCCAGGTTCGATTCCCAGCATCCCATAGGGTCCCCTGAGCACTGCCAGGAGTAACCCCTGTGCATCGCCGGGTGTGACCCCCCCCCAAAAAAAGCAAAAGTTGTAGAGGCCCCGGGAAGCAGCTCGACGGTAGAGCACACACCTTGCGTGAATAAGGCCCTGGGTTCCATCCCTGACACCCCCCAAAATAAAGACTTTAGAAACAGAACCCAGAAGGCCTTAGAGAGAGTCCGTGGGCTGAGCACGTGTGTTGCCTGTGGGAGCTGTATCCCTGCTACCACCGGCACCTCCCCCAACACACACACACGACATTCAAGCCACAGTGTCCCCTTCCAGATGAGTGAGGGGAGTACAGATGCTCTGCATCCTGAGGACTTGGGAAGGGGCTGGAGCAGTCGGGCCCCAGGGCTCAGACACAACCTGTTCCTCCACACCCTCCATTCCAGCCCAGTCCAGTCTGCTCTGCTAGGAGTCCAAACAGTGCCCCCGTCCCCAGGAGGTTCCCCTGTGACATCTGCTGTCAACAGAATCAGTAGCTGAGAACCGGGGGACATGTCTGTCTGTCCTTACCATTTCTGTCTTTGGTTCTCTGACACTGCTCCGTTCCCTCTGTGTCTTTTTTTTGCTGTTTGGTTTTCGGGTCCCAGCCAGTGGCCTAGATGGTCAGGTGTCGTTTCCAGGAGTGCTCAGAGGACCCGGGATCCAGTGCGGGGCTCCCTGACCCAGAGCAGGCACTCAATCCTCTGAACTGTCCTCTCAGCCCCCTCCAGCCTCCATCTGCCAGTCCCCGTCCCCCCCCACCCACCTGCCCTGACCTCCCGCCGCCCGCAGGTGCTGCAGGAGCTGATCTCCTTTCTGCACCGCCTGGCCACGGTCAGCAGGGACTACGCCGTGGTGCTGAACCAGCTGGGAGCCCGGGACGCCATCTCCAAGGCCCTGGAGAAGCATCTGGGGAAGCTGGAGCTGGCCCAGGAGCTGCGGGACCTGGTGTTCAAGTGTGAGAAGCATGCCCACCTCTACCGGAAGCTCACCACCAACATCCTGGGGGGCTGCATCCAGGTCAGAGGAGGGGCGGAGGCGCGGCAGTGTGCGGGGCCCGGGGGGGTTCTGAAGCTTGCACTGGCCCCTGGGCTATTCCCACGGAAGCAGCCCCGTGGTCTCAGGGCTGTTCTGTGTTGCCCACGTGCCTTGCACCCCATCCTCCTCCATCCCGTGGTGGCTGCAGATGGTGCTGAGCCAGATCGAGGACCACAGACGCACCCGCCGACCCATCAACGTCCCCTTCTTCGACGTCTTCCTCAGATACCTGTGCCAGGGTGTGTGCCCACCTTGATCTGTTTTTCCAATTTCTTGGGTTTTTTTGTTGTTGTTGTTGTTGTTGAGTTTGGTTTGGTTTGGGGGCCACACCCGGCGTTGCTCAGGGGCGACTCCTAGCAGGGGTGGGGGGACCACATGGGATGCTGGGCATCGAACCCAGGTCAGCCTTGTGCAATGCAAACCCCGTCCCGTTGTGCTCGCCCCTGGCCCCCGCTGCCCTCCATTGCCTCCGTCCGCGCTGCTCTCTGCCCGCCCAGGCTCCAGCGTGGAGGTGCGGGAAGACAAGTGCTGGGAGAAGGTGGAGGTGTCCTCCAACCCGCACCGGGCCTGCAGGCTGACCGACCGCAACCCCAGGACCTACTGGGAGTCCAACGGCACCGCCGGCTCCCACCACATCACCCTGCACATGCGCCAGGACGTGCCCGTCAGGTGCCCGCGCGACCTTTTCTGTCTGCTGTTGCAAAGACCCGCCAGGGCTGGGGGTGCGGTGCCAGGGGTGGGACTTGGGGCTCTTGCATCCACTGCCCCCCTGAAGCCAATGAGGGGGACCCTCCCTGTGGCCTGCGAGGCTCTGTGCTGACCCCGCGTCCCCGTTCCAGGCAGCTGAACCTCCTCGTGACCAGCGAGGACTCAAGCTACATGCCCGCGCGGGTGGTGGTGTTTGGGGGCGAGGGCGTCAACTCCCTGAACACGGAACTCAACGCGGTAGGGGTCCCTCCCCGCGGGCCACCCGGACACCCCCGCTGCTCCCCGGAGGGAGCCCCGTGGGAGATGGGGTCCTTTAGTCCTGTCACCCTGGACCCGTGGGTCTTGAGGGCTGGGGATATGGAAGAGAGCGCAGGGGCAGGGAGCACAACCCGCCTTGGCGTCGTCTGTGTGGGTGATGGCCCCGCGGTGCCCGCCAGGTGAACGTGCTGCCCTCGGCCACCCGCGTGATCCTCCTGGAGAACCTGACCCGCTTCTGGCCCGTCATCCAGATCCGGATCAAACGCTGCCAGCAGGTAGGGCCAGGCCTGGACTGCGGCCCCAGTACCTGCAGAATCGGGACTGCGGAGAGTGAGGCTATGGGGGGCGGGGGCGGGGGATACCCTTCCGCAGTGGGGGAGGGGAAGGGGAAGGCGAGGTGCACAGCGGCCTGTGCCTCTCGCAGGGTGGTATCGACACCCGCATCCGGGGCCTGGAGGTCCTGGGCCCCAAGCCCACCTTTTGGCCCGTCTTCCGGGAGCAGCTGTGCCGGCATACTCGCCTCTTCTACATGGTTCGGGCGCAGGCCTGGAGCCAGGACATCGTGGAGGACCGCAGGGGCCTCCTGCACCTGAGCAACAGGTGAGAGAGGGCGCGGGTGTGCGAGAGAACCGGGAGGGTAGAGGGAGGATTCTTAGGGAGGCGGGCCTGGAGAGTCGTGCCGTTGGGGAGGGGCAAAACAGGAAAAGAGTGGTGGTTGCGGGCCCGAGCCAGAGCACATCGGGTAAGGTAGTGGCCTGGCATGCAGCTGACCCAGGTACAGTTCCCAACATCCATATGGTCCCCGTAGCCCCTCCAGGAGTGATCCCTGCCGGTTAGCAGTGGGGGCTTGGCGTGCAGGTGCTCGATGTCCCGTCATCTGGGGTGATGTACAGCTCAGCGCTCTGATGGCTTCTGCCCCCATCGCGTCCTCTGCCTCCTCCGAGGGGCCCAGGGGGAGGCTCGGGCAGGGCACTCGCCTGGCGGGCAGGAATCCCTGCAGCGCTGGCACCTCTCCCAAAACTGGGAGGGCCAGAGAGCTGACACAGGGGTTCAGGTGACGAGGACAGCATGGGCGATACGCCATGACCACAGGGTGCATCAGGATGTCCTTGAGACGGTCCTCGTCTTGCTTGTAACCTTGGGGACCCGGGGACGTCCTCCAGATGGGCTCATGTCCTTGAGGTGGTCCAGACCCAGCTTTGCAAAATAACACACTTGGGAATTTCTGTTCCTCGCTGTCCCGGCCAGCTGCCTGCAAATGCTCCCACCCCCATCCGATACCCTGCGCGGCTGAGCTCTGCCTCTGTTCTGAACCCAGTTTGTTTTCTGTTTGTTTTCGGACCACAACCGTCTGTGCTTAGGACTTCCTGTTGGTTCTGTTGTCTGTTGTTCTGTTTCGGTTTGGGGAGCACACCCTACTGTGTTCAGGACTTCTCTTTTGGTTTGTTGTTTTATTTTGGGGATGGAGGGGTCACGCCTAGCGTACTCAGGGCTTAACTCCCGGCTCCACACACAGGATCACTCCTGGCAGTGCTCGGGGGACCTTATGTGTTGCTGGGGATCCACTGCATGCAGGGGTGAGCTCCTGCCCGCTGTACTTTCTCTCTGGCCCAGGACCTAGTTTCGTTTGGAGCCTGAGCTCAGCTGGGCTCGCCACCACCACCACCACCATGAGCACCGCCGGGAGTCCCTCCTGAGCAGAGCCAGGAAAGGCCCCTGAGCACTGTGGCTGTGGCCCCAAAACAAAAAGAGAACAAAACCTAAAAATCTTTTCTTCCCAGACTCACTGGGGCTCTGCGCCAGGAGCAGAGTTTTGCTGACCGCTTCCTCCCCGATGACGAGGCTGCCCAGGCCCTGGGCAGGACGTGCTGGGAGGCGCTGGTCAGCCCCCTGGTGCAGAACATCACTACCCCGGGTAACCACCCCCCCCGGCCCCCCCAGCCCTGCTTGGCCCCCACTGGCCACCCGCTTCTCCACCACGAGCCATTTGGGGCGCGGGCCTCCGTGCGTCCGCCCGTCCTTCATCTCCCAGCCCTGCTGCCCTTCCTCCCCACGCCCCGACCCGGCTCCTCGCGCTGACCGCACCCTCCCTTCCAGCCTCTCTCCATGCCGTCTCTCTCCCCCCGCGGCTCCCCGCGGCCCTGGAGGCACACCTCCCCTGGCTGGTCTCCCGCTCTCTAGATGAGGATGGCGTCAGCTCCCTGGGCTGGCTGCTGGACCAGTACCTGGAGTGCCGCGAGGCCGCCCACAACCCCCAGAGCCGCGCGGCTGCCTTCTCCTCGCGGGTGCGCCGCCTCACCCACCTGCTGGTGCACGTGGAGCCCTGCGAGGTGCCCCCCCAGGCCAGTGAGTGCGGCGAGGGGCGGGGCGTGCGGGGGTGTGTGTGCCTGTATGCCTGTTCGTCGTGCAGAGGGGTGTGTGTGTATGTGTGTGTGTGAACCAGTTTATCATGCAGAGGGGTGTGTGTGTGTTTGTGTGTGTGTGCCTGTATGCCTGTTCATCATGCAGAGGGGTGTCTGTGTGTGGATGTGTGTGTGTGAACCAGTTTATCATGCAGAGGGGTGTGTGTGTGTTTGTGTGTGTGTGCCTGTATGCCTGTTCGTCATGCAGAGGGGTGTCTGTGTGTGGATGTGTGTGTGTGAACCAGTTTATCATGCAGAGGGGTGTGTGTGTGTTTGTGTGTGTGTGCCTGTATGCCTGTTCATCATGCAGAGGGGTGTCTGTGTGTGGATGTGTGTGTGTGTGAACCAGTTCATCGTGCAGAGGAGTGTGTGTGTTTGTAGTGTGAACCTGTTCATCATGCGGGGGGAGTGTGTTTGTGTGTATGTGTGTGTGCCTGTATGCCTGCTCATCATGCAGAGGGGTGTCTGTGTGTGTATGTGAGCTTGTTCATGCAGAGAGGTGTGTGTCAGTCTGTGGTGTAGGGTGTGTATGTCTAGCGTTTTCATTCCTGGTGTGTGTGAGAGAGAGCCTATTCATCATGCAGAGAGGTGTGTGTGTGTGTGTGTGTGCCTGTTCATCATGCAGAGGTCGGTGTGTGTATGTATATGTGAGCTTGTTCATGCAGAGGGGTGTGTGTGTCAGTCTGTGGTGAAGGGTGTGTGTGTCTAGCATTTTCATGCCTGGTGTGTGTGTGTGTGTGAGAGAGAGAGAGAGAGAGAGAGAGAGAGCCTATTCATCATGCAGAGAGGTGTGTGTGTGTGTGTATATGTGTGCGCCTCTTCATCATGCAGAGGGGTGTGTTGTGTGTATATGTGAGGTTGTTCATGCAGAGGGGTGTGTGTGTCTAGCATTTTCATGCCCGGTGTGTGTGTGTGTGTGTGTGTGTGTGTATGTGAGAGAGAGAGAGAGAGAGAGAGCCTATTCATCATGCAGAGAGGTGTGTGTGTGTGTGTATGTGTGTGCGCCTCTTCATGATGCAGAAGGGTGTCTGTTTGTGTATGTGAGCTTGTTCACGCAGAGGGGTGTGTGTGGTCAGTCTGTGGTGCAGGATGTATATGTCTAGGGTTTTCATTCCTGGTGTGTGTGAGAGAGAGCCTCTTCATCATGCAGAGAGGTGTGTGTGTGTGTGTGTGTGTGTGTGTGTGTGCGCCTCTTCATCATGCAGAGGTGTGTGTGTATATATGTGAGGTTGTTCATGCAGAGGGGTGTGTGTGTCTAGCATTTTCATGCTTGGTGTGTGTGTGTGTGTGTGTGAGAGAGAGAGAGAGAGAGCCTGTTCATCATGCAGAGGGATATGTGTGTGTGAGTGTGTGTGTGTGTGTGTGAACCTGTCCATCATGCAGAGGTGTGTGCATGTTTGTGTGTGCCTGTTCATCATGCAGAGGGGTGTCTGTGTGAGTATGTGAGCTTGTTCATGCAGAGGGGTGTGTGTCAGTCTGTGGTGTAGGGTGTGTGTGTCTAGTGTTTTCATTCCCGGTGGTGTGTGTTCCTGTTTATCATGCAGAGGGGTGTCTGTGGGTGTGTATATGTGAGCTTATTCATGCAGAGGAGTGTGTGTGTCTGTGGTGCAGGGTGTGTGTTTCTAACGTTTTCATTCCTGGGGTGTGTGTGTGTGTGTGTGCGCGCAAGAGAGAGAGAGAGCCTGTTCATCATGCAGAGGGGTGTGTGTGTATGTGTGTGTGAGCCTGTTCATTGTGCAGAGGGGTGTGTATGTGTTTGTGTATGTGTGTGAGAATCTGTTCATCAGGCAGAGGTGTGTGTGTGTGTGTGTGTGTGTGTGCGCACACGTGCGTGCATCATGTCCAGAGACTGCCTGTCGGGCTCCCCCTCGGAGGAAGCCGGGCGCTCAGGGCCGCCCTTCCCTTCTCGTGCAGAGGGCAGGAACCGAAGCCACGACTGGAGCTCGCTGGCCTCGCGGGGGCTCCCCAGCAGCATCCTGCGGAACCTGACCCGCTGCTGGCGGGCCGTGGTGGAGGAGCAGGTGTGCTGGGGCCCGGGGCCGGGCGGGCGGGTGGGCGGGTGGGCAGCCCGCAGCACCCGTCACGTGGCCGCCCGCCCTGCAGGTGAGCAGCTTCCTGAGCTCGCACTGGCGAGACGACGACTTCGTGCCGCGCTTCTGCGAACACTACCACCACCTGCACAAGGCCAGCGCCGAGCTGTTCGGGCCGCGGGCCGCCTTCCTGCTGGCGCTGCAGAGGGGCTGTGCCGGGGCCCTGCTGAAGCTGCCCTTCCTGTCAGCGGCCCACGTGAGCCCCCCTCCCCGCCCCTCCCCAGAAGGGCCCTTTCCCCTGCAACCAGGAACACGGGACTTCACCATGGGTCAGAAATGCAGGGAGGGGCTGGAGAGATGGTGCTGCAGGTGGGGCTCTGCCTTGCCCGGGTTTCATCCCCGCCCTCCATGTGGTCCCCGAGCACTGCCAGGCGTGATTCCTGAGTGCAGAGCCAGGAGGAACCCCTGAGCATCGCCAGGCATGGCCCAAAAACTAACAAAAAACAAAATGTGGGAGAAAGGCACTAGGGAAATGGTTCAAGCGTTGGAGCACATGTTCGGAGAAGGCTCTGAGCTTGGTCCCTAGCACCACCCCGGGTGTGACTCTGGAGGCCTTGAGAATTGCCAGGTGTAGCTCCCCTTTAAAACAGAGTGGGGTAGGGGGGCTGGAGTGATAGCACAGCGAGTAGGGCATTTGCCTTGCATGCAGCCGACCCAGGTTCGATTCCCAGCATCCCATATGGTCCCCTGAGCACCGCCAGGGGTGATTCCTGACTGCAGAGCTAGGAGTAACACCCGAGCATCGCTGGGTGTGACCCCAAAACAAAACAAAACAAACAGAGTGGCAGGGCAGAGCGATAGCACAGTGGGGAGGGCATTTGCCTTGCACGGCGGCTGACCCGAGTTCAATCCCCGGCGTCCCATGTGGTCCCCCAAGCATTGCCAGGAGTAATTTCTGAGTGCAGAGCCAGGAGTAACCCCAGCATCACTGGGTCACTGTCACCGTCACTATCTTCCCGTTGTTCATCGATTTGCTCGAGCGGGCCCAGTACCGTCTCCATTTTGAGACTTGTTGTTACTGTGTTTGGCATGTTGAAAATATATATATACATATATATATATATCACGGACCTCCCGTTGTTCATCGATTTGCTCGAGCGGGCCCAGTAACGTCTCCATCATGAGACTTGTTGTTACTGTGTTTTGGCATATCGAGTACGTCACGGGGAGCTTGCCAGGCTCTGCCGTGCGGGCGAGATACTCTCGGTAGCTTGCCGGGCTCTCCGAGAGGGGCGGAGGAATCGAACTCGGGTCGGCCATGTTGGCTGCGTGCAAGGCAAACGCCCTGCCGCTGTGCTATCGCTCCAGCCCATATATATATATATACACACACACACATATATATATGGGTCCAGAGTAATAGTACAACTGGTTGAGCACTTCCCTTGTCCACAACAGACACGGTTTCTATCCTCAGCATCACATATGGTCCCTTGAGTACAGACAGATGTGGCCCCCGAAAAGATCAGGGGTTGAAAAGACAATACAGTGGGGAGGGCACTTGAACACCCAGCCCCATACAATCCCTGCACATAGAGCACTACCAGGTGTGGCCCAAAAGTTAAATGGAAAAAAAGTGGCTGAGGTGGGCAGCGGACGGGAGGAAGAGGTGCCCTGGACGCTGGACAGTGGTGTAATAAGACACTCTGGGGAGGGGGGTTCTAAAATGTTCTATGCATGAAATCCTGCTATTCACACTATTATGAATCACAGTGACTAAGGTAAAGTTAATTTTTTTTAAAAAAGTGGGAGAAAAGGGGCTGGAGCGATAGCACAGCGGGTAGGGCGTTTGCCTTGCACGCGGCCGACCCGGGTTCGATTCCCAGCATCCCATATGGTCCCCTGAGAACTGCCAGGGGTAATTCCTGAGCACAGAGCCAGGAGTAACCCCTGTGCATTGCCAGGTGTGACCCAAAAAGAAAAAAGAAAAGGAAAAAAAAGTGGGAGAACCAAAGAGTGGGAGGCCAGAGAGATAATAAGTGGGTAAGACTTTGCATACAGCCAACCCAGTATTTTGTTACTGCTATTGTTTTTTTGGTTGTGGCCCACACTTGGCAATACTCAGGGGTTCACTCCTGGCTCTGCACCCAGGAAATGCTGGCAATGCTCAGGGGACCATATGGGTTGCTGGGGATCAGTCCCAGATTGGTCTCGTGCAAGGCAAGCGCCATGCCAGCTGTATCATCGCCCTGGCCCCAGCCAGCTCAGTTTTAATCCTGGTCCCCCAAGGCCCACCAAGAGTGACCCCTGAGTACAGAGCCAGGAGTAAGCCCTGAGCGCTACCAGGTACGGCTGCAAAACTCAAAAAGGGTCCAGAGAGCTTGGATAGGAGTGCCTTGCAGGCAGTCAACCCCAGTTCAGTTCCCGGCACTGCACAGTCCACTCCCCCAAGCATCTGGGGTGCAGCCAGGGAGGTCCCCACTTGCTGCCAGGCTGACTGCTGACTCTGGGTCCCGAGCAGCACCATGGTCCATGGGTCTCCCACTGAGTCGTGGCCACGCTGACTGAGAATCAGGGCCCCCTTAGCACCTCTGGAAGGGTCCCCAGAACACAGGACAGACGTGAGGGCCTGGACACTGGCTTAGAGGACCAGCACAGGCGTCTCACAATCCAGGCTTTAGTCCAGTCCGCTGTGCTGCAGAGAAGCACCCTGGGGACCCAGGAGACGGCCAGGAGGTGGTGGGCAGCAAGTCAGAGGCCCCGAGCTTGTCCCCGATGCCCACCGATGCCCAGAGCTCCTGATCCCAACATAGTTGGGGGTCCCCAGAGGGAAAATGGGAAGAAAGAAATGCTAAGTGATCACAGGATGGTGTGCTGATAGATCTTCATTTTCTTCCTCTGTTTTACATGATTAAACCCAAGGATCGAACGTGGGTTGGCCACATGCAAGGCACCCCACAGCACTGTCACTCTGGCCCCTAAAAATTTATTATTATTGGGCTGGAGCGATAGCACAGCAGGTAGGGTGTTTGCCTTGCACATGGCCAACTCGGGTTCAATTTCCAGCATCCCATATGGTCCCCTGAGCACCACCAGGGATAATTCCTGAGTTCAGAGCCAGGAGTAACCCCTGTGCATCGCTGGGTGTGACCCAAAAAGCAAAAAAAAAAAAAATTATCATTATCAATGGGAAAATGGTCTGATTTCTTTGGACTGTTCCATTAAAAGCTTTATCAGGTTACTCTTTGTTCACATTAAAAACTTTCGCATGGGCTGGAGCAATAGCACAGCGGGTAGGGCGTTTGCCTTGCACGCGGCTGACCCGGGTTCGATTCCCAGCATCCCATATGGTCCCCTGAGCACCGCCAGGAGTAATTCCTGAGTGCAGAGCCAGGGGTAACTCCTGAGCATCGCCAGGTAAAACCCCCTCCCCCCCAAAAAAAAAACTTTCGCATGGGGGACCAGAGAGATAGTACAGTGGGTAAGTCCTGTGCCTTGCTCTCAACTGACCCAGGTTCAATTTCCTGGTGCCCAGTGTGGCTCCCAGAGCACATCTAGGAGTGATGCCCAAGCACAGAGCCAGGAGGAAGTCCTGACCACCACTGGGTGTGGTCCAAAGGTCAAAATAAGTAAATAGATAAAACTTCTGCATAGGAGCTAGAGAGACGCTCACTGGACTGAGTGACCGGTGCTTGGCATGGAGGAGTTCTGAGTTCATCCCCGGCCCTGCATGGCACCCAAAGCTTTCTGGGAGCGACCCACAAGCACTGAGCTAGGAGTGGCCCTTGAGGCTCTCCAGAAGTGCTCCCCTCATCTCCACAACAGCCATATAAAACTTCGCATAAATCCTCATGGCTGTAACTTAGCCATCTCACTCATTGCAGCAGAAGTAATAGGTGCTTAAAATATGCCAGACACTGGTGAGAACTGAAGCTCAAGGAAGTCCCACCCCTCCTCGGTCTGTGGCTTCCAGGGGACAAGGATGCACACAGGCCAAGCAGGGATACGGGAAGGGCTGGCCAGCTCAGTGGCTTCCGGCCCCAAGGCCAGGGACCACCCTCATGCTTCTCTCTCTTCGTTTTCATGTAACTTACTTATTTGTGGGAGTCCTCCCAAGCAGTGCTCAGGAAAGGTGACCTTTCAGTGATGCTCAGACAGTCTGGCCAGAGGTTTCATGCAAGAGCCCAAGGACATGCTCGGGGCCTCCAGGCTGCACCAGGGCTGCCCAGGGGAAGACGTGGGGGGCATGGATCTGGGGTCCGCTGCGTGCAGGGCTGCCTTCACCTACTATCCCTTCAGGCCTTGTCATTCCTGTTGGTGATTTGGGCTACACCCAGCTGTACCCAGGGCTTCCTCCTGGCGCTGAGTTCAGGACCCACTTCTGTTGGGACTTGGGGGACCATATGGGGTGCCGGAAATGGAACCCCAGTCAGCCACAGGCAAAGCAAGTACTTGCTGTACTATTGTTCCAGCCCACCTGTTTTTTTGTTTGTTTGTTTTCAGTCTTTTGATTTAATGTTCATTATGATTAGGTATTTTTTCTTTCTTTTTGGGTCATACCCTGCGTTGCACAGGGGTTACTCCTGGCTCTGCACTCAGGAATTACTCATGGTGGTGCTAGGGGATCAGATGGGATGCTGGGAATCGAACCCGGGTCTGCCGCGTGCAAGGCAAATGCCCTACCTGCTGTGCTCTCACTCCAGCTTCCCCCCACCCTGCCTTTTTTTTTAAAGGATATTGGGGGGTCAGAAAGGGTAGTACAGTGGGTGAGGCACTTGCCTTGCACACTGCCAGCCTGGGTTCTATCCCCCTGAGCCCACCTAGAGTGATCCCTGAGCACAGAGAACAGCAGGTGTGATTCCCCCCAGAAGAAATTTTTTTTTTTTTTTGCTTTTTGGGTCACACCCGGCTATGCACAGGGCTTACTCCTGACTCTGCTCTCAGGAATTACTCCTGGCAGTGGGGACCATATGGGATGCTGGGAATCGAACCCGGGTCGGCCGCGTGCAAGGCAAACGCCCTACCCGCTGTGCTATCGCTCCAGCCCCCGCCCCCCAGAAGAAATCTTTTAAAAAAGTTCTTGTAGGGATACCCTGGGAATGCTCGGGGAGTTACTCGGGGAGTGATCGTGTAGTGCAGGCCTCAGCCCCAGGGCCTTTGCACATGTCAGACTCATGCTCTACTTGGGGCCGTTTAGTATTAGACACGCTCCGGTGAAAAGAAGCACAGTGCTTTTGTTTAGTTTGTTAAGTATGCATGTTTTGTCATTCCATTATTTTAGGCACTGATTGACAATACTGTTCCTGCTAGGGATCCCTACAAGCAATGTCCTAGCACCTCCCGCTTCACGAGTGTCTGCCCCGTTGCCTTGGGGTTCTCTCCTCAACTTTCCCACCCCACACTCCCAGCCGCAACGCCCCACGAACTCATTTCTGTACATCAGTTCCCAGGTTCTGTTGCCTTTGGCCATTTATTATCTCCGTGCTCTGCCAGAGCACTTTAATTGGGGCCAGAGAGAGAGGTACGGCACAGCAGATCGGGTGCTTAACCTGCACGTAACCAACCCGGGTTCAATCCTTGGCGCCTACTGATCCCCGAGCCCCTTCACAAGTGATCCCTGAGTGAGTGCAGAGCCAGGAGTAAACCCTGAGCAGCACTGGGTGTGGTGCCCCCCCACCCCCCAAAAGCCAACAATTTTCGTCATTGTTCTTTTTTTTTGGGGGGGGGGGAATGGGTCACATCTGACTGGGTTCGGGGCTTACTCCTGGCTCTGTGCTCAATATTCTCTCGTGGTGGTGTTCAGAGGACCATACGCAGTGCCGGAGATTGGATCTGGCTAGGCTGTGTGCAAGGCAAACACCCACTCTATTGTCTCTCCAGCCCTTAATCATACTTCTTATTTATTTATTGTGTCATTTGGGGGGGGGGCGCACACCCAGAAGTGCTCACGGGACAGTGCTCATGGGAAGGAACCCGGGACTCCAAGCAAAGCCCGTGCTCGGCCCCTTGCAGTGTCTTAGCAGAGCGTTCTGGCGAGGAGCAACTGCGTCCTCTCCCGTCTCCCGCCCGCCCTCGGGTCACAGTCTTCCCGCCACCCTCCCTCCCGCCCAGGTGAGCGAGCAGTTTGCCCGCCACATCGACCAGCGGATCCAGGGCAGCCGCATCGGCGGGGCCCGCGGGCTGGAGATGCTGGCGCAGCTGCAGCGGTGCCTGGAGACGGTGCCCACCTTCACCGGGCTGGAGCTCGCCACCACCTTCGAGCACTACTACCAGTGAGTGTGGGGCAAGCGTGTGGGGCCCGGGGCAGGGCGGGGAGCGGCGGCGGGGGTGGGGTGGGGTGGGGTGGGGGGCAGGCGGGAGGCTGGGCGGGCCGTGCCCAGGGCCCCCCTGAGGCCGCCCCTGGGCTGTGTGTGCTGCAGACACTACATGGCGGACCGTCTCCTGGGCATGGGCTCGAACTGGCTGGAGGGGGCCGTGCTGGAGCAGATCGGCCTCTGCTTCCCCAACCGCCTCCCCCAGCAGATGCTGCGGAGTCTGGGCGCCTCCGAGGAGCTGCAACGCCAGTTCCAAGTGTACCAGCTGCAGCGGCTGGATCAGGAGCTCCTGAAGCTGGAGGACACGGAGAAGAGAATGCAGGTGGGCGCCAGCGGGCCCGGGATGCGGGGGGACTGCACTGCGCCCCCCAGCGCCGGCCCCCTGCCTGGGGACTCCCCGCTGTGCCTCTCTTAGGTGGGCCGCTTGGAGCAGCACAAGGGGAGGAAGGAAGGGGAAACTGAGGAACCCGGGGCGGCTGCGGCGGCCGCGGGCTCCGAGGATGAGGACGAGGACGAGGACCTGTACTACGAGGGCGCCATGCCCGACGTGTGTGTGCTGGTCCTGACCCCCCGCTGCTGGCCCACTGCCTCCATCTCCCACACTCTCAACCCCAGAGTCTGTCTGCCCGCCTACCTGAGAGGCACCTTGAACCGATACTCCAACTTCTACCGCAAGAGTGAGGAGCTGGTGGAGGGCGCTGGGCCGCGGTGGCATGCTTGGGGTGGGGGGGGGGAGCCTGGGGTTGTAGGGCGGGGGGGGTGGGCGTGAGAAGAAGGGGCCAGAGCGACAGGACAGGGGGAAAGGTGTTTGCCTTGCACGCAGCTGACCCGGGTTCGATCCCCAGCATCCCATGTGGTCCCCCTGAGCACCACCAGAAGTGATCCCTGAGCACAGAGCCAGGAGTAACCCTGAGCATCGCTTGGCGTGGCCAAAAAAACGGAAAAAAAAAAGTGGGTGGGACTGGAGAGATAGCACAGCGGGTAGGGCGTTTGCCTTGCACGCGGCCAACCCGGGTTCGACTCCCAGCATCCCATATGGTCCCCTGAGCACCGCCAGGAGTAACTCCTGAGTGCAGAGCCAGGAGTAACCCCTGTGCATCGCCAGGTGTGACCCAAAAAGAAAAAAGTGGGGGAAGGGGCTTTCAAGCACCACATGCCCAAGCTGACGTCCTTTCTGCTCTAAGAGATGCCCAGTGGACCGGGGAGATGGGTCCAAGGGCTGGAGCACATCCTTGTGTGCAGGAGTCTGGGTCGAGCCCTGGCACTGCAGGGTCTCCTGGCCCAGCCGAGACTAACCCCTGGGAACTGCCAGTGTGGCTCCCCCCCCCCTCCAGAAACAAAACAAAACCAAACAGACCCAGGACTCAAGGGTTTCCTGGGTGAGGATTTGGCTCAGCTGGTGATACGAAGCTCTGGGGTCAGAGCCCAACACTCCTTGGCCTCTGAGCACCATGGAATATCCACCCTTAAAGGAAAATTGAGACCCAGGACTTGCTGGCTGTTGGCAGGATAGAGACCGGAGACTTCTGAGGCCACCAGAAAGCGTGTTTTCAGCGCTGGAGTGATAGTACAGCGGGTGGGGAGTTGGCCTTACATGTGGCCGACCCAGGTTCAATCCCATCTGGTCTCCCCAGCACTGCCAGGAGTAAGCAAAAATCCAAAGGGGGTTAAAAAAAAAAAAAAAAAAAACAAAGAGACAACTGTTGTTTGGTCAGTTCTGGAGACGGGGCTCTTGGTCAGAATCCAAGAGAGGGAGGTGGCTTGTAGGGGAAGTGAGGGAGTATGAGTTTCAAAGAAAAGTGTGGGTGCGCAGGACTCGAGCACTCGGTGGCCGAGAGTGTCCCCCTGGCCAGCCCATGGCGAAGGACAGACGAAGGACTGGGGGAACGGAGAAACGGGGCCCGGGCTTGTTGGTGGTCAGTCTATTAATCCCTCCTCCCCAGCGGAGTCCAATCTCCCCCCATACAGCACGGTCATAGTCATGGTGTTGGGCGTAGTCCCAGTCATCGTAGGTCCATCATTCTCATCCTCATAGCCCTCGACCTAGTTCTAGTTCTCCCGTTGCCCTTCCAGCGTAGTTATATAGCAATCATGCAGGGTGGAGGTACACACAGGTGGGGTTGAACGTTGTCATACCAGCAAACAGAGGTAAAACCACCCCTTAGGGGAAGTTCTAGGAGATCAACTCAAGGTACAGAATCTCATCTGAGGTTTCAGATGACTAGGAGATCCACGCAAAGGCGGGATTCATTCTAGGGTGGATTGCTTTCTCCTTTCCTCCGCTAGTAAGCCACTTAAACAATCATAGTAAATTTACTTCTTATAATATTTCTGGGCTGGAGCGATAGCACAGTGGTAGGGCGTTTGCCTTGCACGCAGCCAACATGGCCGACCCGAGTTCAATTCTTCCACCCCTCTCGGAGAGCCCGGCAAGCTACCGAGAGTATCTCGCCCGCACGGCAGAGCCTGGCAAGCCACCCGTGATGTATTCGATATGCCAGACACAGTAACAACAAAGTCTCCAATGGAGACGTCACTGGGCCTGCTCGAGCAAATCGATGGTCAACGGGAGGGCCTTTACCTTTACTTTACTATAATATTTCTATTCATTTTGTATGAACACAGTAACAGATATATTAAGCTTAAAGGTTGGGTCTTCCTGGGGACATCTCGCTGTATATCCCAGACCATAGTCCTCAGGCCAGGTTAGACTTTCCTTAACCCCAGCAGCAGGGTTCTTATTCAGTTACTTCTTTTGGGTCATGTCAGAGTTTGTTCCATGACAATGCTTTTTTAATTTTTTTTTTTTTTTGCTTTTTTGGGTCACACCTGGCGATGCACAGGGGTTACTCCTGGCTCTGCACTCAGGAATTACCCCTGGAGGTGCTCAGGGGACCATATGGGATGCTGGGAATCGAACCCGGGTTGGTCGCATGCAAGGCAAACGTCCTACCCGCTGTGCTATTGCTCCAGCCCCATGACAGTGCTTTTGACTTATACTTCTGGTGCTTAGCTTGTCCCTTTTTGATTCCAGGGTAGCTTACAGCTTGCCCTGGGTTCGTCGGATCCCTTTGTCAGGACCCTCCTTTTGGGGATGTTAGGAAGTAAAGGCAACTAAGGCTTAAATCAGTTAAATATGAAGAATAGCACTGTAGCACTGTCCTCCCGTTGTTCATCGATTTGCTCGACGGGCCCAGTAACGTCTCCATCGTGAGACTTGTTGTTACTGTTTTGGCATATCGAATACTTCACAGGGAGCTTGCCAGGCTTTGCCGTACGACCGAGATACTCTCGGTAGCTTGCCGGGCTCTCCGAGAGGGGCAGAGGAATCACGGAGGAATCGAACCCGGCTCGGCTGGGCCACCGCGTGCAAGGCAAACGCCCTACCTCTGTGCTATCGCTCCAGCCCAACATGAAGGATACTTAGAAGTAATATTATTTTGGAGTCAATTAACTCCCATGTTACAGAGCATAGCATCAACTGCCTTTCTGTGTCTAGACAAAAAAGGACATTGCAAAATTAGGCAAATGACATAAAGGAAAGAGAAAAGCAATGTAGGATTATTAGTGCGTGATGGAATTGGGCGTGGCTTAGGAGCACAGTTGTGGGAGTAACTCAGGAAACCTAAGCTCCCTGGGGGAGGAGCAAGGACAACCCGATGTTATCCAACAGGGGAGGGGTAGTGGATGATAGAGGGGTGTGTAGGGGGGGTGGATTGTAGGGGGAGTGTGGGGGGGTGTGGAGTGTAGGGGTGACGGGGGACAGTGCGACTCATCCCTGAGCTTGGCAGCTGGGTGAGTGACCAAGAGGAAACGAGCGTCACACGTGACCTCCGGGAGAGTCAGGCCTTCCTGAATCCGTGTTCTGGTTGATCGTCCACCAGTGTGTTTGGTTGTTGGGCCACACCTGGCAGTGCTGCGGGTTCCTCCTGGCTCTGCCCTCAGGAGTCACTCCTGGCGGCGCTCAGGAGATCGTGTGGGATGCTGGGGATGGGCCCGGCTCTGCAGTCCTCCCCACTACCTTATCGTTCTGGCCTCCCCCACCCCCCCATCTTTCGGTTTGAAGAGACCCCGGCCCCACCTCACGTCCTTGCTTTGACTCCCAAAAGGAGCAGAAAAGATCTCAGGGTTTAGGGAGAGAGTTCAGCAGGCTGGAGCATCTGCCTGGTGTGCAGGCGGCCGGGTTCCAGCCCTGGGGTGCCCTAGATAGACCCTCCCGGGGTGGGCTGCAGCCCCCTGGGGCTCCCTCGCAGGCAGGCACAGAGGAGGCAGGTGAGGGACCCCACGTGTCCATGCACCAGGGATGAAGTCTGCCCAGGGGCGCCACCCACAGCCCCTCCTGTCTCTCCCGGCCCCCCAGGTCACAGCTCCCCGGCCCTGGAGCAGGGCGGCCCGAAGCGGCTGCAGTGGACGTGGCTGGGCCGGGCGGAGCTGCAGTTCGGGGACCAGACCCTGCACGTGTCCACGGTGCAGATGTGGCTGCTGCTGCATCTCAATGACGTGCAGGTGACCGCCCCCCCCCCCAGCTTCCCCTCCCCACATTTCCATCCCACCCTGCCTCGCCCCTGCAGAGGCCGCAGGTGTGACCGCCTTGGTCCTCCCCACATAGGCCGTGTCCGTGGAGAGCCTGCGGGCACTGTCCGGGCTCTCTCCCGACATCCTGGACCAGGCCATCGGGCCCCTCACAGCCCCGCGAGGCCCCCTGGACCTGCAGGAGCCCAAGGACGTCCCTGGAGGTAGCACCCCTCCCCCGGTGGACAGCCCCGGGTCCAGCGCCGGCCCCCCGCCCCGCGCTCTTGGCTGACCCCTGCTCCTTCCAGGGCTGCTCAGGGTCCGAGAGGACTGGGACGAGCCCCAGCCGAGGAGGGCCAGCGTGTGGCTCATCCCGCCCCCGACGTACCAGAGCGCCGAGGACGAGGAGGGTCGCAGTATGGAGAAGAGACGGAACCTTCTCAACTGCCTCATCATGCGCATCCTCAAGGCGCAGGGAGACGAGGGCCTGCACATCAACCGGCTGGTCTGCCTGGTGGGTGGTGGGCCCGGGGTGCCCCCCGCACCCATCCCCCAGCCCCGCGTGCCAGGTGGACTTCCCGTCTGGCCAGACGCAGAGCTGAGCCGGGCCCTGACTGCCCCTTTCCTCTCCGCGCAGGTGCTGGAGGCCTGGCAGAAGGGCCCGTGCCCGCCCCGGGGCCTGGTCAACAGCCTGGGCCGGGGGGCCGCCTGCAGCAGCACGGATGTGCTGGCCTGTATCCTGCATCTCGTGGGCAAGGGCACAGTGAAGCGCCAGGAGGGCCGGCCGCAGATGCTGTCCTACGCCGTCCCCGTGACGGTCCTGGAGCCCCACACGGAGTCCCTGAACCCCCGCTCCTCGGGCCCCAACCCCCCCCTCACCTTCCACACCCTGCAGATCCGCTCCCGGGGCGTGCCCTACGCCTCGGGCACCGGCACCCAGAGCTTCTCCACCTTCCGGTAGCCCTGGGAGCTGGGCTGAAGGCTGGGTGGGGCCCGGCTGGTTACCCAAATAAAGTGCAGGAGGGTGATTGCTTGCTTTATTTTTTTGTTTTTGCTTTTGCTCAGGGGTTACTCCCAGCGGTGGTCAGGGGGCCATATGGGAGGCCGGGGATAGAACCCCTGTTGGCCCACGTGCAAGGCAAATGCCCTCCCTGCTGTCCTCTGGCCCAGCAAGCTCTTTAAGGCCCAGGCGTGCCTTCAGTGACCGCTGTGCGCAGAGGGGGAGGCGGTGTTCCTGGCACAGCGGTGCCCACCCTCTGGTCCTAGGTAGCTCGTGCCCTCAGTGGCTTGGCCTTCCCTTGTGGGCGGGGGTGTCGGTGGACCAGATGGAGCTTTTTCCTTTCTCGAAGGGGATGTGGCGACAAGGCAAGAGCCCCCAGCCCACCATGCCTGTGCCCTGGGCAGCGGACCCAGGGTGCCCCTCGTCCTGGCGTGTGGAACTGCATTGACAATCTGGGGCTCTCTGAGGAGGGCGTGGCCTTGGGCACAGGCTGGGCCAGGGAGTCCCTCTTTGGCCGTACCCCAGCAGGGGATGCAGAGCGCTGCCGCCCTCGGTCATTGGGCAGCGGGGGAGCAGGTAAGGTGGGGCCCCCTCTGAAACTCCTGGCCGCACCCCTCCCCAGAGGCACACAGGAGCAGTTCGGACTGGTGGGCCCCGGGACAGGCCATGCTGTGCAGCTGTATAGGCTCCCCTGCCCCCAGCATGCTGAGGTGGGGCCAGTGGAGAACAGAAATGCCCCCCAGACCCTGAGCCCAGGGTTCCTGCATCTCAGAGGGAGCTGGGTACCACCTAGAACTGAGATTTGGAATGAGAGGGTGAGGGCCATACCCAGCAGTGCTCAGGAGTCATTCCTGGCAGGACTTGGGGACCATGCAGTGCCAGGGATCAAACTCAGGCCTCTTCCATGCAAAGTGTGGGTTCAGGCTGTTGAGACTCTCTCTGGCCCCAGAACTCAGATTTGGAATATAGATGGTCCCCAAATTACCAAGGTTTTCAGGCTGGAGCGATAGTACCGTAGGGGAAGGGCGTCTGCCTTGCATTGCAGCTGACCTGGGTTCGATGCCCAGCATCCCATATGATCCCCTGAGCCCACCAGGAGTCAGCCCTGATCATTGCTGGGTATAACCTGAAAACTGGGAAAAAGTTCAGATGGTTTCATTTGGAGTTTTGCTTTTTTTTTTTTTTTTTTTTTTTTTGGTGGTTGGAGGCCAAGGGGTACTTCCAGTAATGCCAGCAGGAGCCAAACCCAGAGCTCCTGTGTGCTTTTTTGTTTTTTGTTTTTTTCTTTTTGGGTCACACCCGGTGATGCTCAGGGGTTCCTCCTGGTTCTGGTTCTGCACTCAGGAATTACCCCTGGCGGTGCTCAGGGGACCCTATGAGATGCTGGGAATCGAACCCAGGTCGGCAGCGTGCAAGGCAAACACCCTCCCTGTTGTGCTATCGCTCCAGCCCCGCTCTTGTGTGCTTTGCATGTGCTTCCAGCCTTTGGGCCATCTCAGCTTTTCCAGCTTTTTGGTGGTGGCAAAGTGACAGTCAGTTGTAGGAATCCTTTTCCGGTTTTGGGCTTTGCCCTGGCATGGGTCTGATGCGGTCGCATGAGCCTGGGCAGGGCCAGGGACCCGTGGTGCCCTCAGCCCCGGGGCCAGGGAAGCCGCTGCCGCACCTTTTGCCTCTAGGGTGGTGCCAGGGGCCTGAGCTATCACGAGGGCCTGCGTGGGACCGGGGCGTGGCTAAGAAGCTGTGTCCAGGAACCGCCCTGGTTTCAAGCCCCTGCACGACATGTACCTTGAGCACTGCTGGGCATGACCTCCACGCCCAGCCAGGAGCAGACCCCAAATAGCTCCCCCCACCCTTGGCAAATGGTTTTGGGTTACGGGATCTCGCGGTACTCCAAGCTAACAAAGGTGTGCTGAGCCTGCTGGCAGCAGGCGAGGTGCACCAGCTCCCGTGTTCAGTCCTGATGAAGTCTCCCAACTCAGCCTCAGAGAGTGTGTGAGAGGCAGGGAGCACAGGGGTCGAGGCTCTTGAGTCCTTGCTTTGCACAGGCCCTCCCCCCTCTGCTGAGAGTGACCCCTGAGCACCACTGGGTGTGCCCCGCCAACAAACATGCAAAAGGGCTATCAACACGGAATCCCACTCTAAGTCAAGGAAGCTGGGTCTGAAAGGGGGAATCAGTACGCCCCGGAGGAGGCCACAAAGCAGGGTGGGCGGGCAAAGGCGGCCCCCCTGGATACAGGGCCCCTGCTCGCTCTGCTCTGAAGCTCGGTGGCCCTGGGACTAGGCTGTGGGACAGAGCGTGAGCCCACGACACACGTGGCTGCGGTCTGTCGCCTGGGGTGCTGTGCACCCCCACACGGGAGCCCGCACGGCTGGAGCGTGGCAGTGGGGAGGAGGGTTGCTCTGCATTGGGCAGTGGGGTTTGATCCCCGAGCCCCGCCGAGAGAGAGCCCTGAGCACTGCCAGGTGTGACCCAAAAAAACAGACCAGCGAAACCCTGCCGCCGCCCTCCAGCGGCCCGAGCCGGGTCCCGACCCTCAGCGTCTCATCCTTGGGGTTCAGCTCTGAGCCCCTCCTTTCCCATCGGCGGCCCCTCCCCCCGCCCCGAAAGCGTCTGTGCAAGATCTGACCCTCAGGCCCGGGAGCGCATGGCAGAGGGCTCCTCTCAGGGAGAGGCGGCCACGTCTCCTTCGTGTTTCTGGAGCTGACACATCCTGGCCAGGGAAACGCACCAGGACTGAGCCACCTCCCTGGCCCTACAACCCTAGCGAAACCCCCCACGTGCTGAGCGTGACCGGGCAGCACTGTGCACCCTGACACCCACGTCACGGGAGCGTCATCCTCCGCACACTGCCACCCAGTGTGCCACCCAGCCCCCGCTCCCATCAAAGGGACAACAGCAGCTAAAACCAGGGGCCAAGAGACCCCCAACAGGCTTTGCGTGCAGGACTGGGGGTGGGCTTCAGTCCCCAGCACCAAGTCACACAGTGTCCCAGCACGGAGGGGGCAGCTCCCAGCTCCACTGGGTATGACCCCAAAAGACCCCTCCCAAAAAAAAATCTATTATCAGGCCAGCCTGTGCGGGGGGTCGGGGGGGGCAATACCTAATTGTGCTCAGGGATCGATCCTGATGTACAGGGACCCTATGGGGTGCCAGGGATCAAAGCTGGGGCCAGTCTTCGCCTACCTGCTGTGCTCTCTGGCCCCTGGGCTGGGGCCTCCTGGTGTGGCTACAGTCCTGGCCTGCTGCAGGAGATCCTATTACTGTCTCTGACCCACACTGGACCCCTCAGCTGCGACCCCCAGCAATGGCCGACTCTCCAGACGCTTAGGAATATGCTCCCTTTTAGCCCTCAGCCCCGTCCGCTGTCCTGCACATAACCTCACCCACCTCTGCACTGCCCAGTGCACTGGCCGTCCCGGGCGTCGGGCCAGCTGTCCTGACGCGGCCCTTCCCTTCTGTGCCAGTCTGTGCCAGGAAGGACCTGTGCCTGTGTCTGCCCTCGGCACCGAGGACCCTAGCAAGACAAACGCTTCTAGGCAGACTTGGGGTTGCCACCCGACCCCGTTTGCCCTGAGCTGGCAGCCTGCGAGAAGGAAAGCTGAGACCAGCGGTTGCCTAAGGCTGCGGGGACCAGGAAGTGAGAGGCTGCTAGGGGCTGTGGGGGCTTGTTCCTTGTTTTTCTTTTTGATCGCACCTGGTAGTGCTCAGGGCATACTCTTGGCTCTGCGGTCCAGGATCACTCCTAATGGTGCTTGGGGATGATACGGGAGGCTGGAGATTGAGCCTGGGTTGGCCATGAGCAAGGCAAGCGCACTCCCCACTGTGTTCTCTTTTTCTTTTCTTTTTGGGTCACACCCGGCGATGCTCAGGGGTTACTCCTGGCTCTGCGCTCAGGAATTATCCCTGGCGGTGCTCAGGGGACCATATGGGATGCTGGGAATCGAACCCGGGTGGGCCGCGTGCAAGGCAAACACCCTACCCGCTGTGCTATCACTCCAGCCCCCCCCACTGTGTTCTCTGGCCCCAAGGGCGGCTTCTTTTGGGGGTCCCTCAAATTTACAGAATTGGTTGCACGATTGGGCTACTTTTTTTTTTTTTTTGCTTTTTGGGTCACACCTGACAATGCTCAGGGGTTACTCCTGGCTCTGCACTCAAAAATTACTCCTGGCGGTGCTTGGGGGGCCATATATGGGATGCTGGGAATCGAACCCGGGTCGGCCGCGTGCAAAGCAAATGCCCTACCCGCTGTGCTATCACTCCAGCCCCTGGGCTACTGTTAATGCCCATTTGCCCCATTAACATTGGCCCATAGTGCAACCACTACAATTTTGTTGGGTTTGAGGTGAGTGGCTCCTTTGGTGTATGCATGGGCAGCGGCCGTTCCCCAGGCCTCCTGTCTGGGTCCTCACAAGGGGAAGGCTTGTGGCCCGTGCAGCTCAGTCAACAGGACGAAGGCGGCTTCTGGACACCTGTCAGCTGACCCCCGGGAGGCCAGACACTGGCTCTCTGCGACCCCAGCAACACGTGAGCAGGTCTGGCGACGCTGAGGCGCGCTGGGAATCTCGTTCTATCTCTCTCCACTCACGACCACTTTTCAGAAGGAATACAACACACCTGGGGCAGCTGGAGTGTCAGCACAGCGGGTATGGTGTTTGACTGGCTCCCATAGGGTGATCCCTGAGAGCAAAGCCAGGGGTAAGCCCTGACCACTGCCAGTTATCACCCCAAACAAAAAAGAAATGCAACGCCATCTGGAGAGTGCCGGCAGGAATACCTCAGATCCATTATGTGGCTGAAATTTTAGGGGGTGGGGGAGAAATTCGGCCACATTTAGCAGTGCTCAGGTGTGACTACTGGCAGGGATCAACCTGGACCAGCCACATGCAAAACCAGCACCTGGACCCCTGACTTACTGCTCCGATCCCTAGGAGTTCGATTTTGTACAAAATTTTGCTCATTTAACACTCAGGAACTTTTAGTGCTGCCGGATTTTTCATTCAGTTATGCAACCCCATACTGCGAACCAGCTCAAGGGCAAGATGGTACGGGGGTCAAGGACCTTGCCTTGGAATACTTCCTTTTTGGGAAGAGCTATTCCTGCCTCTGCTCAGGAGTGAGCCCTGGTGGTGCTTAGGGGACCGTATCTGGGCGCTGTCTCTCTCAGGTTTGAACAGCAAAACACACTTCCATTTCTCCCCCTCTGTACTGCTTCTCCCAAGGAGCTTGAGTGTGACATCCCTGGTTCAATCTCTGGCACAATATGATCCCCCAAACACTACCACGAGTGACCCACACCAGCTGGGAGTACCACTGAGCATCACCCGGTGTGGCCCAAAAGGGGAAATCAGTGTTGAGTAACACACTGAACTTTGGGAAACGGAGAGCCCTGCAGGCTGCTACCTCAGAACCTCTGTGCTACCTCGATCCTGGCCAAGTGGTGCTGGGGACGGAACGAGACTCACACATGCAAGTGTGGACAGTCCAGTGCCCTGTGCCAGCTCCCTGACCTGAGAAGCATACTTCTTTTTCTTTTTGAAGTAAATAGATTTTATTTGGAGGATTTTTAGGTATGGAGGGAGAGTGAGAGAGTCAAGTTAGACATGAAAGCATGAAAGTACACATCTCAAGAGGGGAGATGCGGGCGACACATGTGCTCGGGAACCACATGTGCTCGGCCACGTGGGCGCAAGCAGCACATGGGCTCGGGCAGCATATGTGTGCCTTTTTTTTTTTTTTTCTTTTTGGGTCACACCCGGCAATGCTCAGGGATTCCTCCTGGCTCTGCACTCAGGAATTACTCGTGGCGGTGCTCAGGGGACCATATGGGATGCTGGGGATCGAACCCAGGTTGGCCGCGTGCAAGGCAAACGCCCTACCCGCTGTGCTATCGCTCCAGCCCGAAGCATACTTCTTTTTATTTTTATTTTACTTTTTGGGTCACACCTGGTGATGCACAGGGGTTACTCCTGGCGGTGCTCAGGGGACCATATGGGATGCTGGGAATCGAACCCGGGTAGGCTGCGTGCAAGGCAAACGCCCTACCCGCTGTGCTATCGCTCCAGCCCCAGCATACTTCTTTAAAAAAAAATTTTTCCCCCCCTTTTTGGACATGGTAATGCTCAGGGGTCACTCCTGGTGGTGCTTGGGGGACCCTATGGGGGGCCAGGGATTGAGCCTAGGTCGGCCCTCCCCGCACCACCACTGCGGCAAGAAGCGTGCTTCTACCTTTTGCCTCACGTCTGTCATCAGAAATGCGTGCTTCCCTCCCACTCCAGAAACAGCGAGCGACCCGTGCCCTTGCTTCCCATTCTACCCCACCGGTGTCCGAGCTGCTTCGAGGTGTTCGCGTTTCTACCACTGAGTCACAACCCTGCCAGAGACGACAGTCTTCCTACTGTTCTAGAATTTATGACTCGTCTTAGGGTTGTTCAGTTTTTTCTGAGTTTTGTATTGGGGCCACATCTGGCTACGCTCAGGGATTATTCCTGACTCTGCACTCAGTCATCACTCCTGGTGATGCTTGGGGAACCATAGGGGATGCCAGGGATTGAACCTGGGCTGGCCGTGTCCAAAGCAAACGCCCTCCGGCTGTGCTATCACTATCACTCCAGCCCCCCGAGCTGAACCGTTTCCAGCCCTCAACACAGGGGCTTTTGCCTCCGCAGACCTCACCCCCACCTCGCATTCAAAACCAAAAGGAAAGCAGTTCTAAGGTTGGGTCACCCTTCGCTTTACTTTTATTTTCACTTTTTTTCTCTGGGAAAACACCTGGTGGTGCTCAGGGCAACAACTAGTGCTGGGGCTTAATCGTGGGGCTCCTGCACAAAAAGCAAGTGGTCCCGCCCTCTGCATCATCTTCCCAACAGCTCAGAAGACTTGCTGTTGTCTTTGGGTTAAGTAGGAGGGAGTTTCTGATCTGGCTTTCTACAGTGAATGGAGACTCCCACACTCACACAGTGACTTGCTGAAAAAGAGCAATTTTGCACCTCCCCATCCCTCCAAAGCAGAACAACAGGACGAATGACAAGAATGTTCGTGAATTGGCTCCTACATCAGGTCCTGGCCGTGGAAAGCCACTGGCAGACTTCAGGCCGTTCACTGGCCTCCAGGTCGTGCTCGGGGGCCCCTTTCTGGACTAGCACACTTCAAGGCAAGTGCGGAGAACAGAAGGCCACGGTGACCCAGAGGACGGACAGATGGCAGAGTGCCTGATCCTGAGTGGCACACGCCTGGGGCCAGCCAGGCCGCAGAGCTGAGGACAGGCCTTAGCGCTCTTTGTTCAAAGGCAGATGTCGCCGGTCCTTGACTGCATTCCGCCGCCTCTTTCGACTCAAGAAACTCTCGAGCTTCTTGCTGCGTTTCAGCTCCTTGAACTTCTCAGCGAGGACCAACTGGCGCTGCTCGGCTGGAGGAGGGAGAGGGCCCGTCAGCAGGGAAGCCGCGCCCCCACGCCCCTCCCCGGGGCACTCACTCCAGCCCCCTGGGTGGGGCCCTGTCCACGTCCCCCCCCACACCAATGTGAGGATGAGCGAGCGTTGCAGGGGACGGTAGGCGAGAGAAAGGTCCCTCTGCTCAGCAGGGCACTGGGCACCCAGGAATAGTCACGGGCAGCCCCTTTCAACGATCTTTTTTGTTGTTGTTGTTGCTTTGTTGGGTCACACCCGGCGATGCATTGGGGTTACTCCTGGCTCTGCACTCAGGAATCACTCCTGGCCGTGCTCGGGGGACCATATGGGATGCTGGGAATCGAACCCGGGTCGACCGCGTGCAAGGCAAACGCCCTACCCGCTGTGCTATCTCTCCAGCCCCCCTTTCAACGATTTCTACCTTCCTCCACGTTACCACGGGACGGAGTGCCCAGTCTCCCCGAAGAGCTCCCGGCCCCCAACACAGCACCCCCGGGCCCGTTCCCAGTCTGCACAGCTCATTCCCCACTCACATTTCTTCAAGAAAAACGGCCGGTGGCCCTCCTTGGCCTGCGCCCGCCGCTCCTGCTGCAGGGCCAGGCGTAGCTCCTGCTTCCGCTTGCGTTCCTGCTGGGCCAGCTCCTGCTGCTCCTGAGAAGCGAGGGGTGAGGGGCGGCGCTCCAGACCCGCCCTGCCACCCCCCCGCCGCTCCCCCCACGGCCGAGCCCCTCACCATTCGCTGGAGCAGCTGCTGCAGCTTCTCACGCTCCTCCCCGCCGCGCTGCTTCTTCAGCTGCTTCTTCACAAGCTTCACGGTGGGAAACGAAGGGGGCGGTTAACCCTCTGGGACGGCCACGGACGGGGACGGCGCGCCCAGTGCCATTCGGAGAGAGAACGTCCACGCACGTGCCGACTCAGTGACACTGGGCAGTAACGCCGTCCCCTTCCGGCAGGAGGCCAACACAGGGCCTGTACTTTGCGAGAGCCACACCACGAGCACGTCGCCGAGCCGGGACTTAGAGATACCAGGACCAGGCTGGGGCAGGCTAGAGACGGCGCGCAGACCAGTCTGCACGCTCTGAGGGAGGAGGCCTGGGTTCGATGCCTGGAATGCTCAGAATGGGTCCTGGGCGAGGAGCTGGGAGGAACCCTTGAGCACTACCAGTGTGGCCCTAAGACAGCAAACCCACTGAATTAGGGACAGGGGAGACAGAACAGAGGGAAGGGCGCTTGGCCTTGCATGTGGCTAACCTGGGTCTGATACTTGGCACCTCATGTGGTGTCCTCCCACAGGTGGCCCAAGCACAGAACCAAGCATTGGCAGAGTACCAGGTATGGCCCCAACCACCACCACCTCCAAACCCCTCCACCCCCAACCCATTAGGGCCAGGGGATAGCTAGCTCAAAGGACCTGGAGTCCCGGGTTCAATCTTTAGCGCCATGTGGTCCCCCAAGTACAAATGGGACTGACCCCCAAACAGAATACCCCCTGAATATCACCAGGTCACAGCCCTCAAACAAAAACACAGAACTAATTTAGGGACAGTTAAATTGAATTGCCTGCCAGTTTCCTCAGCCACACTTTTTTTTTTTTAAAAAAACTGAATCACCATGAGATACATTCAGCCCCACTTTTTAATCTATGTCCAAGGTTTCTGGGCCCCGGAGCACCGCCCCTCCTGCCCTGGGCGCCAGCATCGGGCAGCACACCTGTTTCTCCTTCGCACGGATGTCGTCAAGGAACTGGTATGTTTTGTCAAACACCTCAGGATTATACTCTCCTGACAGATCATCAAAGCGGGGGTCACGGGCTACCTTTGGAGAGAACAAAGAACTGCTCAGTCATCCTCCACATCAGAGAACTACTCAGTCACCTGCCACATCAGAGAACCGCTCAGTCACCCTCCACCTCAGAGAACTGCTCAGTCACCCTTCACATCAGAAAGCTGCTCAGTCACCCTCACCCTTCACTTCAGAGAACTGCTTGGTCACTCTTTTTCACGTCCGAGAACTGCTCAGTCATCCTTCACGGAGAAAACACCTCCTCACCTTTTTACTGACAGGCACAACCTGACGCAAAAATGGCACCCGCACCTTGGATGACATCTCCAGGGGCCTGTGGAGGCATGAAGGGCGAGGCTGAGAAGATGTCCGTCTTGCTCATGCTCCGTGCCTGAGCAAGCAGGGCCTGTGCCTCACCTGTGCTTGTCTGCCAGGCACACGCCTTGTGCGGGTGGCCTGGAGCCCTGCTTCTTCGTGCCGCTTCCAGACGGCACATGCTGGCCGGCCTTTATGCCCGCTTGCTTCTGCAACTCCAGCAGCTCCTCAAACGACAAGTGCGACGCGTCTGCAGAGTGGGGAAGGGGAGACGCAACTCAGGGTCTCCTACTGCAGCAAGACATCAGGCCCCTCTCACTCGGGTAACTGCCCGTTTCCAGTATTCCTTTGAGACCAGCCACCCGTCTCGCCAGCAGCCTGGCTTGGACTGGGCGATACAACCGTCCAACTTCCTCTCGATTCTAGCTGATTCCTGACATGTCCCCGGAATAAGGCGGGCATGAATATAAGATCAGCAGTGGAACCAGAAAGCCCCCCCCTTTTTCTTTTTCTTTTCTGGGGGTTACACCGGCGATGCACAGGGATTATTCCTGCCTCCACACTCAGGAATTACTCCTGGCAGTGCTCGGGGGACCAGATGGGATGCTGGGAATTGAACCTGGCTTGGTCATGTGCAAGGCAAACGCCTTACCCGCTGTGCTATCGCTCCAGCCCCAAGCCCTTCCTTTTTCACCCTGTCATCACTGGTAGATCTGTTGTTTTTTTTTTTGGGAGATCCTCCAAGCAGCATTCAGGAGATCCAGGGGCAACTCCCAGCGATACTTGTTCCAACTTGTGCGTGTCTAAATGTTCTGGGTTTCCGCCAGCTAGTGCTGGGGCCACCAAGGCCACACCTTGTCCAGGGAACCATATGTGGTGCCAGGGATCGAACCTAGGTTAGCTGCATACAAGGCAAGTATCCTACTCATTTTACTATCGCTCCAGTCCAAGAAATGCCATTCATTTATTTATTTGGGGTGGGGGCATACCCAGCAGTGCTCAGGGCTTACTCCTGGCAGAGATTGGGGGACCACATGGAGTGCCAGGGATGAAACCCTGGATGGTCACTTGCAAGGCAAGCGGACTACCTCCTGTACTATCATCCTGGTCCCCAAGCAACACCATTTTCTTGGGGGAGGAACCCCCCAAAAAGAAAGAGAAAGGGAAAGGAGAGGGAGGGAGAGAAGAGGAAGAAAGTCCCAAAGAACACCATTTTTTTTGTTTTTTTTTTTTTTGCTTTTTGGGTCACATGTGGCAATGCTCAGGGGTTACTCCTGGCTCTGCACTCAGGAGTTACTCCTGGTGGTGCTCAGGGGACCATATGGGATGCTGGGAATCGAACCCGGGTCGGCCGCGTGCAAGGCAAACGCCCTCCCGACTGTGCTATCACTCCAGTCCCTTTTTTCTTTTTTTGGGTTTTGGGCCACCCCAGGCCGTGCTCAGGGCTGACTCCTGGCTCTGTGCTCAGGGATCCCTCTAGGAGGGGCTCAGGGGACCATATGGGATGCTGGGAATCGAACCGGGGTCGGCCGCATGCAAGGCAGACGCCTTACCTGCTGTGCTATCGCTCCAGCCCCAGGAACACCATTTTAAACGACTCCTTCGCAGCTCTCCCAGGCTCTGTCTCCCCTGCCCAGTTTTCACTGCCAGCTTTCTGGTTCACGGCCTTGGCACCTCTGGCACCCTAACTGGTCTTACAATTCCCAAGCTCACTACTCAGCTCCAAGCAATGTGCCCAACTCTGCCCGAGAAGGATCTACAATGCACATCTGGTCGGCACATCAAATTCCAGTTGCTCCCCAACTCCAAGCTCCCCAACGGCTTCTATATGGTTCAAGAAAAAGCCGAAGTCTTTGAATGGATGGAGACACCACCCCCTGGCAGCTGACCTACACCTGCATGGTCTAATTTCACCTACTAACCTCACTCCGCCCAGTCAACCGCCCTCCTAGGACGTTCCTGCCTCAGTTCCTTTGCACTGGAATGTTGTCTTTGGAACATGTCCTCCAAATACTTTGTGCTGGCTCCCTTGCCTGATTCACAACGCACTGTTCAAATGCCACTGAGTCACAGAGGCCACCTTTGAATACCCATTAAGAATTACAACCCCTGGGGCGGAAACCACAGTACAGCAGGGAAGGCCCCTGCCTTGCACGTGACCGACCCAGATCCGATCTCCAGCATCCATGTTGCCGCCCTGCTGTCTCTCCTCTCTCCAACTCTCTTCTCTCTCAGACTCTCCAACTCCAGCCCCTCATGCCTTGATCCCAGCTCTCTGGACCCTTCCGCTCCTACTGGTCTCTCCACCCCTCTACACCTTGCCCTCTGGGCCCATGCTACACCCAGTCTGGTAGCAGAATCAACAGAAGAAAGCCCTTTCTGACTGCCAGCCCAAGGGCAGAAACATCACCCAGGGGTATTCCAAAGCCCTTCCTGACTACCCAAGGACAAAGTATCTCTTAAGATGTTTTTCTCCTTTCCTCAGTTATTTTTGTATGGACACAGTAAGAGACACATTGAGGCTTGTAGGGCAGCTCTCCTGGGAACATCTTGCCACAGACTCAGACTACAGTGCGTGCCCAGGCCAGATTAATCATTCCTAACCCTAGCAGGGTCCGAATCTAGTTATTACTGTTTGGATCATGACAGCATTTGTCCATGATTAAGCTCCTATAGTTAAGCATTAGGCACTTCGGCCAGGCCCATCTCCATGCCAGGGCAGCACATAGCTTACTGCTTGCCCTGGTTCCATCCACTCCCTCGTCGGGACCCTGCTTTTGGGGGTGCTAGGAAGTAAGGGCAGCCGAGGTGTAGGTCGAGAGAACAGATGCCCAGGAGGAAAATATCACTGAGAGTCACGTTACAAAAGCATAGCATATGCTGTCTTCTTGTATCCATACAAAAAGGACTTTGCTCTGAATAAACTAGGCAAAGGACTAGGCAAAGGGAGAAGAGAAAAACAATACTTACAAGTCAACAGAGCACAAAAAAAAGAAGTTACAAATAAACACAGCGGAATGGGAGCACTGTGATGGGAGCAACCCAATAAACCTAAACCACTTGAGGCTATGCAGGAAGGACAAAACAGTGTTATCCTACAGTCCCCCAGCCTACCAGGAGTAAATACTGAGTGCAAAACCAGGAGTAAGCCCTGAGGCACAGTCCGGTGTGTCCCCAAAGCAGCATAACACACACACACACACACACACACACACACACACACACACAATTACCACCCTCAATGGTCGCCACTCCAGGCAAAGCAGGCCTCTGGCTGCCATCACTGGGCCCACTTGGACTGGGAGGCAAAGTCCCTTCCTTCCCGCTAGATCCCAGCAGTCTCCACACCTGACCTGCACCAAGTATTAATGGCCCACACCACAACTTCGGAAGCATCTGGCCGAGTAAGTGGTCACGTGACAGATCTACTCAATAAATGACACGCTTCTTTCTCAGTTATGCCTCCTGTCTTTTGGTGAAGATGGGCAGAGAAGAAAGGGCAACCTCGACAATCCCTCAGCATCTTCCAGTGGGTCTGACTCCAAAGACTCACTGCGGCATTAGCAAGAACGCTAGAAAACCAATGGGGAAGACACACAGAAACCCACCAGGATCAATGAGCGAAATATCACTGGAGACAAACTCCACCAACCCACTCAGTAAATCCTCCAGCAATGACTTTAGTAACCCCAGAATGAGGATGTTGAAGAAACAATGGGGGGCTGGAGCGATAGAGCAGCAGGTAGGGCACTGCCTTACACGGAGCCGACCCGGGTTTGAGCCCCGACATTCGACAGAGTCCCCAGCACTGCCAAGAGTAATTCCTGAGTGCAGATTCAGGAGCAACCCCTGAGCATTGCCGGGTATGGCCCCCAAAATAACAAAACAAGACATCTTGATAGAAGCTCTAAACAGCAGAGTAAGAGCAGCTGAGCAAAAGAACCAAGGAACTCCAAGATGAGAAGGAAACTGCTAAGAAACAAGAAGGTGGAGAAAAAAAAAAAAAGGGGCTGGAGCAATAGCACAGCGGGTAGGGCGTTTGCCTTGCATGCAGCCAGCATGGCCAACACAGGTTCGATTCCCAGCATCCCATATGGTCCCCTGAGCACCGCCAGGAATAACTCCTGAGTGCAGAGCCAGGAGTGACCCCTGTGCATCGCCGGGTGTGACCCAAAAAGCAAACAAAAAAAAAAAAAGAAAAAGAAGGTGGAAAATAGTCTGAAATATGAACATCATACCAGAGGACTATGGGATATGCACAGGGACAATCTAAGAATCACAGGAGTCCCTGAAGAAAAGAAGGCAAGTATGATGAAGAAACAACAGTTGAAAGGAACTTACATACAAAGGACTATAAGCCCATAATACATACAGATCTATTCAACGAAGGGGTATGGTTCAAAAACTCAATGAAATGCACACCTCCCCAAGAACATGATATCCAGCAAGATCACCATTCAGATGAAAAGGACTCTACAGAGGTTCAGGGACAGGCAACGGCTTCGGGAATTTATAACCCTGAAACCAGTTTTGTAAGAAGCACTGAAAGTTTGTCATATGCTTGCCAAGAGGCAGGCTGGGGTGGGGTGGGAGGGAATCTGGGGATACTGGCGGTGGGATTGGGGCTGGAACGTTGTGCGCCTGAGAACAACTGTATTATGATCAACTTTGCAAATCACGTTGTCCTAATAAATTTTTTTTTTCAAAAAGAACCACAGAGATAATAGAACGAGAGAGAGCTATGCATGCTGGAGGTCCAGGTTCAATTCCAAGCACCAAAATCAAACATACAAAAATAATTGGGAATTTGGACCAGAGAAAGTACAGCACTCGCCATGAGGGTGACCTCAGTTCCTATCCCTGGCACTGCATATGCTCTGGGGAACATACCAGGAGTGATCCTTGAGCACAGTCATAAGCCCTGAGCAGGGGCTGGAGCGATAGCACAGCGGGTAGGGCGTTGGCCTTGCACGCGGCCGAGCCGGGTTCGATTCCCAGCATCCCATAGGGTCCCCTGAGCACCGCCAGGAGTAACTCCTGAGTGCATGAACCCCTGAGCATCTCCGGGTGTGACCCCCCCAAAAAAGAAAAAGCCCTGAGCAAAACCAGTGTGGCCCCACCACGCCCTGATGCAAACAATCGAGTCATGATACGGTGACACCAACCCTTTTAAGACATCAAATTGCCCTTGGCTTGTTGCTTTTGGAGCACTCGTGGCGGCGCTCAGGAATCTCTCCTGGCTGACTCTGGGGACCCCGAGGGCGGAAGCGGGGTGGGCGGCGCGGGCGCCCCGAGGGCTGTACCACCGCTGGGCCCCTGACTCAGGCTCGCCCCGGAACGAGGTGCTCGGCTCGCGTCCTTTCCCGTGGTGCCAGGGAGTCGACTCCGGGCTTCAGGCGCGCGAGGCCAAGTGCCCTCGGGGAGCCGCGCAGCCTCGCGGCTCCCGTCAAGCCGCCGGCCGGCCGGCCGGGGGGCGCGGCGGGCAGACCCCCGCCCCTGCCCCGGCGCCGGCCGCGCGGCCCAGACCCCCGCGGCGCCCGCCCTCGCTCCCTCGGACTCGCGCGCCCCGTGCCCATACCCTCGTCCGTCCGCAGCTCCGGGAGCCCGTCGCCGCCCCCGCGGCCGCTCACGCCGCGCGCAGACGCGGCGGCCGCCCCCACGCGACCACCCGCTCTCGGCATCGGGTCGCACGAAGCCCCTTCCGCCCGGCGGCCCCGCCCCTTCCGGCGCCGCGCCCCGCCCCTTCCGGCGCCCCAGCGGGCGGGCGGGGCCGGGCGCTGCCGGCGCCAGTGCGGGACCCGTCCAAGGGGCGCGGGGCTCCGCGCGAGAGAAACCGGGCTCGAGCCATGGGTCACACTTGGTTCCGAGTCCATACTTTTATTATTTTTAAGACATTTTATTTCAGGAGGGGGAGAACTGGGGCCACACCCGGCAATGGTCCTGGGGATACACCGGGGTCACCGCATGCAAAGCAAGGGCCTGAACCTCTGTGCTCTCTCCGGTACCCCGTGCTTACTTGAGGGGGTGCCGCGCACCGAACCCTGGGCTTCATTGGGGCCGATTGGGAGAACTGGGGATGGCAAAGGCAAGCTGGGTGCCCCGGATCTCCTGCCATCCCCGTGGTGGTATTGCGCGAAAACAGACAACAATGCATTGGGGTTTTTGACTCATTTTTATAAAATCCGGGCTGCTGAGCGCTTCAGAGTACAGCAGCAGCTCCAGGAAGGGTGAAATTATCTGCTGGTCCTGCCTCCCGGGTCAGGGAGAAGGTGGTTTCATGCCAACAGCTGTTAACTCCTCTCAGCTCCCAATCATGTCTCATGGCTCAAGCAGGGGGGTGGGGGGATGGGAGGGGAGCAGGGGTGAGGGAAGCTCCCGGGACTCTGACGCTGCAGGCTTCTCCCCTCTTCCCCTTTCTCTTCGTTTCCCGGCGGGGCCCTGGCTGGCTTGGGGCAGAGCAAGAAGCCCAGGAGCAGTTAGAGGGAGGTGGATAGGACAGAGCACCAAGGGGAAGGGGCCCTCGGCCCAAGGGGGAGGGACCTAACCCTCCCCCCTACAGCTCCCCAACTGAGTTCACAGCACGGAAAAAAAAAGAAGAAAAGAAAAAACACCTCTAGTCCAACAACTCCACGTGGAGGTATATCAAGTCCAGGGTCCAAGGGGACAGGCAGGTGAGAGGGGCAGGGGACAGCGAAGATGACGGCAGGCTCAGGAGGGGCGGCGGCGACATTTCCTCCTACCCATGGGAGGACACGATGGGGCGACTGATATTGCTGTTGGTGGTCATGGCATTCAGCTCCCACCTGGAAGGGCCAGAACGACAGGTCGACGACGGAACCAGGAGCATCTGCCCTCAAACCCAGAAGTGCTGTGACAAGGATTCTGAGCCCACTGGTTCCATCAGCTCCCTGAAGCTCAACCACCCGGAGCCGCCTCTCCTGGCTAGGAGCAGCTTTTGCTGAGTCAGGTCTCACCCACGCTGGTCATCCCCCACCCACTCCTCCAGCTCCACCTACAAGCTCGTGTGGACTTCCTGTTTATTCCTGAATGCACTCTTGTTCCGAACACCTGGAGGAAAGCATCTGTGTACCTACAGCCTACCTCTCCTCCTCCGCTTGGTTTCAACTAAGCAACTGCACCTCCTCAGCTTACCAAGAACGTGGATTTTGCTCCCAGTTACCACTCCAATCACCCCCTACACCCCATTTTCTTCTTGGCGAGCTAAGAGACAGAACACATGTATGAGGACTCCTATGTACAAGGCAAATGCTTCTATTGCTAAGCTGTACCTCCAGCCCTCAATTCCTCATGGTTTGTGTTTGTTTTGCTTTTGGGCTTGCGGACCACACCCGCCTATGCTCAGGGGTCACTCCAGGTGGGCTTGGGGGACCACGTCAAATCTTGGTCAGCCGCATGCAAGGCAAGCACGGTACCTGCTGTACTACCTCTTCGAAGTCCCCATCCTTGTAAGAATGTGATCGAGCTCTCCTGAGGCCTTAACCCCCTCAGCCCATGCGAAAATTAAATCCCTCTCGTTTTGAAAATTTTTTCTTCCTACAAAGACCAGATATCTCCTTATGCCAAGACCCTCACTACGTCACACTTGGTCCTTCAGGAGCTTTCACATGTGTCAATCTTGGGCCAGTCTGTGATCCTCCAGTACAACCTTGTACGTTCTTTGTTTTGGGGCCACATCGGCAACGCTCAGGGCTGACTCCTGGCAAGGCAAGCACCCTACCCACTGTACTATGGCTCTGGCACACACATTCTATCACCAAATACTGAACACACAGATCTTCAGCAACCAAGAATTAAGTGGAGGCAAGTGTGGTAGAATGACCCAGAAGGGCACAGTAAGACTCGTAACTAGCTTTCAGTGTTTCACTTGGGCCTAAGAAGAGAGTTCAAAGGGAAGGAGTGAGGAAGGCCTGCCTTTAATCCTGGAACTAATGTGATCCAGAGGGCACTAAACTTGTATCACCTTGCTGCGAGTCCCAACATTCTCTCTGCATGTTGACACCAGTCAACATACAGGCTCTGGTTTCAGGAAGTGCAGATACCCTTGCTCTGAAAAGCAGATTTTCTTCTTCATGTAATTTACCCAGCTAACAGTTTCCTCTCACCCACTACATCTCCAGTAGAACAAAACTTTCTATCTCCTCCAAACTAAGGCCAAGCTAATCAGGTCAGGGCTGTGCTACCAACCAAACCCTCCTTCCAACCACTCACGCTACCTGATGTCATGGGGCAAACAGGACTGGTCCAGGTTATACTGAATCACCGCCAGTTTGCACAGAGTCTTCAGACTAGGGCCTGTGAAGGAGAAGTGGGGGGGGAGGGAAATGAGTTTCAAGTCGTCCTGAATGTCGCCACCCAGAGACAGGGACCCCGATGGCTTTGGGAAGAACCATACTCACTAAAGTCCAAAATGTGTAAGTCCGAATGATCTATGAGGTCAAACTCATCTCCCAGGCCCTCCTCGGGAGATGGACTGTAGAGACGGAGGCAGAGGAGGTAAGACCACCTGAAAGACCCTTCCTCTCGTTCCCTCCCCTGCGGGTCCCAGACCTGGCTCCCTCCCTCTTTCCCCTGTACCTGGTACCCCCAAAGAGGACAATCTTGTCACCAACAATACAGCAGCACTGGCGTCGACGGGGACAGGGCCCCTTCCCCTTCGGTTCAATCTTTTTCCAGGTAAAAGATACTGAAAAGAAGTTGATACGGTGATTTAACAGCTACCTAATCCGGAGAGCCTCTCTGCCGTCCATGCAGCACCTACTCAAACTTAATTCTTTTCTTCTTCTCCCCCAAATGGCCCATTAGTCCCCCCCACCCCCGAAGACAGTGCTCTTTACCGGGGTTAAATTTCCAGAGATCGTGGAAGTGACGGTTCAGCCTTGCGTTATAGCCGCCAAAAATGTACAGCTCCCCGTTGTAGCCGACTGAAGGAAGAGAGGAACGAATGTGAGGGGTGGGAGAAGGGGGAGGCGGCGGCGGAGGGAGAGGAGGAAGGGGCACGCGGGAGACACCCCACGGACGCTTACAGGCCGAGTGGCTCCGGCGGCCCTCCGGCAGCACTAGCGTGTGCGGACAGTCCAGCCAGGCCTCGGTCTTGGTGTCAAAGACTCGGATGCGGTTGCAGTAGATCTCATTGTTGGAATGGAAGGGCCCAAAGCGGTCAGCGCGGCCCCCGAAGACATACATGTGGTTGCCCAGCATGGTGGCGGAGTGGAAGTCCCGCCAGCGCGCAGGGTTGCCCTGCACAGGAGACAGACGAGGGAGAAGGAGGGGGTCAGGGTGGCATCTGGGCTCGATGAGCTTCTCTGAGTGTTGGGGAGAAGGAAGAAGCGAGCAAACCTTGGTACAGATGAGGGTCCAGGTCATGGTGCTGGTATCCAGCTTGTGAATGTCATTGGAAAAGCAGTCCGCCTGTGCGGGCGGGAGGGGAAGGAAGTGAAGGGAGGAGGAATACCGAGGGCAGCACTGACCGCCCGGCTTTCGGCCCTTCCATCGCTCGCTCCCTTGGGTCCACAGCAGAGCCTCGAGTTCCACCCCACCCCGCGTCCCTCCCTCTCTTTCTACAAGGTTCGCCCCAGACTTACCAGCTGCTCATAGCCCCCAAAAATGTACATGATCTTGCCCAGGACACAAGCCGAGTGCCCGTCCCGGGCTCCAGGAACTGTTCCTGACACTCGGGGCGTGGACCATTTGTGAGTATCTGGACACGAGAGAATGGCCGATCAGCAACCTTTGACACTTCTTCCTACTCTCTGGGGCGCCCTTTCCCCAGGGCTGTTGGCGGCTCCCCTCCCCCACCCCCAACCGGGATGCTCTGGGAGACCCATACTCACTGACGTCAAAGGCGTAGAGCACATTGCACGCGCCTTCAGTATCGTTCCGCCCACCCCAAAGGAAGACCGTGTCATCAACCAGGACGGTCGAGTGTCCATAGCGCATGTAGGGTACCACGGGAGCCTGCCCGCGGACGGCAGGCCTCACTGGGGGCAGCTTTGTCCAACGCAAGGACACTGTGGGCATAGCAAGGCTCAGCCCAGGGGTCCTCCCTCCAGGCTGCCCACCGCCCCCCAAGCCAGATCTCCGTTCCGCATGCTCCCCCCCACCCAACCTCCCCCCTCCACCGCCCCTCTGGCTGCAGGAACCCCCTCCCTCCCACCTGTGGACAGCCACGAGGTACCTGCATTGAAGATGTGCACGTCAATCTGCCGCAGTGTCTCATAGTCCTCTCCTGAGCAGTAACCACCGAAGGAGTAGACCCGGTGTCCCACGGCCACGGCGGCATGGTTCACCCTGCGGGGCCCGCCCTCCAGGTGCACTGTCCACCGTAACATCCCCTGGCCACTGGTCACAGCAACATGCCCCCCCGGCACGGCCTGCTGCCTCTGCTACCTGCACACAGAAGGGCCGCGGGCTCCTCAGAGAACGCACGGGCGAGGCTCAGCGGGACTCTGGCAGGGCTGAGCCGGCCCCTCCCAGTGTCACCCTGGGGGCCCTCCCACGGCTCAGGTGGCTGGCCTGCCCTAGGGGAGCTCCGGAGGTCAGGAAGCCGGGGCTGGCTGGCAGGCTGCAGCAGCGTGGGGTGGGGCCTCTCTGACCTGAAAGCCAGCTCAGAACCAGAACGTGCTGATCAGGGACTCAAGGTGGGCGCCCCCGGGTCCCTTTGTCTGTTTCCCCCCTTGAGCCCCTCTGCAGCCCAGGAGTGTGCTCCTGTCCGCCTCGGCTCGGCTCTGCCTGTCCCACCTCTCGAAGAATTCCCTGTGCTCTTTAAGAGGAGGGCAGGGATCTCAAAATACTCCAGCGCTATTAATAACCAGCCGCAGACGGTCCATTGAAAGCTGGCACCCGTGCAGAGAGGCTCGGCTCTCGGGGCAGACCAGCGCAGGCTGGATGCCATCTAGGTCAGGGACCCTCCGGGCACCACGGGGGGGGGGGGGGGGGGATGGGGTGGGAGAGCTAAGCCCCTCACTGGAAGGCCTCTGCAAGCTGAGCGGAGGTGGGGGGGGGGCCACCAGGGTCAGTCGGGGGCGCTCCAGGGCACCGCGAGCTCCTTTGACAGTTGCGCCTGGGGGGCTGCCAGGCCCAGGAACTCCAGCAGGAAGGTCCGTGCGGGCTCCGCTCCCGACACCTGACACCGGGACACCGAGCCGGGAAGCCGCGCAGACGAAACCGTGTTGGGGCGGGTGAGGGGCTCCGGGCACCGACAAGCAAAGGGCCGCCCCCTTGGAGAGGACTGAGGAGGGGTCGCGCGGGAGGTGCGGGCAAACCTCACCGTCCGCGGCCACGCACCTGCCGCCGGGTCCGGCTGGGTCATCTGTGCCCGGCCACCCTGGTCCGGCCGGGTGGAACCTCGGGCCGGGAGGAGACGCCGGGAGGGACGCGCGCTGGGGAGGGGGAGCAGCAGGCGCTGTCAGCGGGGCCGACCCCGCGCCGCCCCCCGGCCGGCGCCGAGACCACGTGGGCGCGCGCCCCCGCCCGCGCCCGCCGCTCCATCACTGCCGCAGTCGCGGCGGCGGCTCCCGGGGCCATCTTCCGCCCCCAGCCCCAGCCCCAGCCCCAGCCCCGGGGCGGCGGTGCCCGGGGGGGACGCGCCGGAGGGCGCGGTCGCTCGCGCCCCGGCAGGCGAGCTGCAGCGTCACCCGGCCCGCGGCGGCAGGCCGGCCCCCGCCCGCTCCCGCCGGTCAGCGCCCGCCCGCCGCCGCCGCCCCCGCTCCCCCGCAGCCCGGCCCGCCGCGGGGGCCCGACCCCGGCCCCGCCGCCCAGCCCCCGCCGGGCCCCTCCCCACCCCCACCGCATCGCTCGCCCGGGCCCCTCCCCCACGGCTTGACGCTCGGCCCGGGGCGCCCCCAGACCCTCGGCTTTCCCGCGCCCTCCGGCCCGCCTCGGACTACCTGCCAGGCCGGGCCGGGGCGGGGCCGCGGGTCCTCGCGCTGCCTGCAGCCTCGAACCCGTTGCGCGCCAACCGACGACTCCAGGGTCCAACGAGATAAACACAGCTCGGCTGGGTGCTTCCGGCGGCCGCCGTCTGCGCACGCGCAGCCGGGCCCCGGGCCGCGGCGCCTGCCGGGACTTGTAGTCCGCGGCGGGAAAGGGGCGGGGCGGGGCGGGGCGGGGCGGAGGGCGCCCGCGGGGGGCGGTTCCTCTCGGACGGCCGGGTAGTCCCCGGGGCGCATGCGCGGCTCTGCGTCCCGCGTCGCCCTTCGTTACGGGGCCGCGGGGCGGAGCGCGGCGCTGGCGCCTGCCCCTCCCGGGCGGGGGCGGGGCCGGCCGCGGCTGCTGCCCACGGCCCCGCCGCCGGCCGGAAGTGGAGGTGCGGGCTGCGGCCGCGGGCTCGGAGCGGGTGAGGCGCGCGGGGCGCCGGCTCCGAGACTCGGCGGGGGGCGCTGGGGGACGCCGCCGCCGCCGCGGCCACTCGACGGGAGCCCCCGGGGGTCTGGAGGGCGCTCGTCGGCGGTACAGGGGGCCCCTCGGCTGCCCCGGCCTGGCGCCCCGGACTCGCGGGAGGACGCGGGAAGGGACGCCCGGGCGGGGCCGCGGCGCCGGCGCTCGGTGCCAGGCGGGTGACCCCACGGCGCGGAGGGCCCGCTGCGCCCCCACCCACCCCGGGCCCCGCCTCCCGGTTCTTGCAGCCCTGCCCGGATGGCAGCAGCGGTCCTGGCGGGAGACACCATGGGCCCCGAGCGCATCTTCCCCGGCCAGAGCGAGGAGCTGGAGCCGCAGCAGGGCCCCGCCGAGGGCACGGGGGACTGGAGCGGGGAGGAGCCCGAGGAAGAGCCGGAGGACCCGGGCTCCGGGCCCGCGGGCTACTCGTACCAGCCCCTGAACCAGGACCCCGAGCCCGAGGAGGTGGAGCTGGGCCCCGTGGGGGATGGAGAGGATGCGGCCGCCGACATCCAGGATCGGATCCAGGTCTGGGGGGGGGGGGGGTCCCCGGAGCGGGCGAGGGGGGAGCGGGGACCCGCGCCCGCGCGGGCCCTCAACTGCCCCTTGTGGCCCCACAGGCCTTGGGGCTGCACTTGCCAGACCCGCCGTTAGAGAGCGAGGACGAGGAGGAGGCGGGCGCCGCGGCCCTGAGCAGCCACAGCTCTATCCCCATGGACCCAGGTAGGCGCCCGCCCGGCCTCTCCGTGGGGTCGCGGTGGAGGAAGGGGCCCGCCACAGCCGCCAGGGCCCCAGGGGAACGCCAGGGCTTTCGGAAACGGTCATTCTTTTAAGCCCTAAGAGTTTGCACACTGAGGCCAGAGCCACAGTTCAGCCTTGCATGCAGCCACCCCGGGTTTGGCAGTCCCTGTGGTCCCCCGAGCCCGCCAGGAGTAAGCCCAGAGCACCATCTGGTGTGCACCACCCCAAACAACAACAGAAAAAAAAAACCCCAGAAAACCAGGAGAAATGCAACCGGGTGAAATGCTGCCTGGGGTGACCCAGACTAAGAAGATGGACTTGGCATTCAGGGCACTGGGTTAATTCAGGCAGGGGTGGGCGCTTGGTCCCTGTTCCGGCTCCCTAACCCGACTCTGGCTGTGATTTCAGAGCACGTAGAGCTGGTGAAAAGGACGATGGCTGGAGTAAGCCTGCCTGCACCCGGGGTTCCTGCCTGGGCCCGGGAGATCTCAGATGCTCAGTGGGAAGATGTGGTACAGAAGGCCCTCCAAGCCCGGCAGGCCTCCCCGGCCTGGAAGTGAGGCCTCACCCCCCTGCCCCCACACTCCGGAGAGCTGCCTTAGCTCCTGGCACTCCGGGCCAGAGCCAGCACGGGACTGAACACGCCCCCGGTTACCGCCTCCGTCTCATCCTCCTCGGCCCCCTGCCACGGAAAGGCAAAGTCAGACTTCTTAGAGACCCACTTTATTCGGTTCTGTACATATGGGGACACCGGCCCACGCCCAGCCCACCTCAGCATGTATCACTCTGTGGAGAATAAAGCCCCCCATGTACACAGCCGGGAGCTGCCCGTGCCCCTCGGCCTGGGTCTGTCTCTCCGGTCCCTTGCCGCCCTGCTCTGTGGTGTCAGGAGGGACCTTGGGGCCTGCCCCGCATTGGCTCAGAATGAACTGGCGCCGTGGGGAGCCACCCTGGGCTCTGCGTCCTGCTTCTGTCCTCCTGGGAACCAACAGCACGAGCCAGCGATCAGCAGCCCCCCTGGTCCCCTCACGTCTGATTCCAGGGCTGCTGCCCACCAAAAAGGGCGGCATGGGGGGGGCACGTCCTGCTCACCCCCTTCTCTTGAGCCACCTGGGCCCTGTGGCCATCACCTATTGTCCTGTAATTCATTTTCCTCCCTTTGACCTCTCCTTGACTCGGTCAAACGAGGGAGTGTATACGTGTATGTGTGTGTGTGTGGGGGGGTATCAGGGGAAATAAAATGAGCCCAGACCCTGCCAGACCCTGTCAGTCTGCAGCTGGGGCTGGGGGAGAGGGACGGACGGGGGGGGGGGGGGGGGGGGGGGGGGGGGTGTTTGTGCTGTTGGGGGTCGGCCCCTCCAGCCACTCCAAGGGGCCACTGGGACTTATTACATAACTTTGGTGAGAATCATCTCCTGCTGCTCCCCGGATCACCCCTTGGAGGGAGGAGAGGAGGAGCCCCCTGGAGTTCCGGGGAGGGAGGGAGGAGCGGTGCTCGCTGCAGCGGTGGGGTTAGGAGCGGGAGGGGGGCCGGGCATCCCCAGGTCGCCTGAGCACCGGGCGTGGCAGCGCTCAGCCTGTCAGGACTAGCCACGGGGAGGCAAGAACACACTTGAGGGAGAAGCGGGGCCACCGGAGTGTGTCCCAGCTTCAAGTGTCGGGCCCCCCTCCCCCTCCCTCAGAGTAGCCAGAGAGGCACGGCCTTGCCCCGAGTCGGGTCAGCCAGTGGGGAGCGGAGGGTGGGGGCTCGGGTGGGCTGTGGCCCCGCGAGGGGGGCCAGGGGGTCAGAGCGCCTCCTGGCTGGCCGTCAGGAACTCTTCCGCCCGCTTGTGCGCCTCCAGAGCCTTGATGGTGTACACGTCCTGGGGCAGCTCGGACTTCCGCCGGAGCAGCACTTTCTCCTTCTTGATGTCCTTCAGCATCTGGGGGCACAGGGCGAGGTCACGGGGGGCCCAGGGGCGCTGTCGGTTCCTCCCCTCCCTCCAGGAGCTCGCTCGGATTTCTGCATTTCACCTGCACAGCCTCGGTCTCCACTGTCCTCTTCAGGAGCTGGATGTCCTCTGCCGTGGGGGTCTCTGTCTCCATGGAGTACACGGGAGGCAGAGGTGGGGGCGTTCGGAACATGGGGTACTGCAGGGGGCGGGCGGGAGGGCCATGAGCAGGGCGCCAGCCCGTCCTTGGCGACCGAGCCCTCCCGCCGCCCAAACCGGGCCCCGCCATGCTCCGTGCGGCCAGACGCTCACCTGGGGATTCATTCGGGCCAGCTCCTCGATCTTTTGCCACATCTCTTCTTTTTCCTTCATTCGGAACCGGCCCCTGGGGGAGGGGGTGTGGCAAGGACAGGGTTGGGCATGGGGCTCAGGGCACTGGCAGTGGACCAGGGCAGCGGCTCCCCCCAGGGAGTGGGGCATTGTTACTCACTTCTGCTTCTCGGCCTTGTACTGTTGGGTGCAATCATCAAACAGCTTCTGATTCATCTCCATAAACAGCTTCAGGGCGTTGTAGATCAGTCCGTGGATTGTCCTGTAACCGGAAGACACAGGACGTGGAGGGGCCGGAGCCAGCCCTCGGTCACAGGACCCCAGCGCGCGCTCTTCTGGGTAGCGTCTTTGCGAAGAACTTTTTCTTTCTCTTTTTTTTTTTTTAAGTTTTAGGGTCATGCCTGGCAGTGTGTTCAGGGCTTATTCCTGGCACTGCTCTGGGGACCATATAGGCAACGGAGGACCAACCCTGGGGCAGGCATGTGCAGAGCAAGTGCCCTGACCACTGTACCATCACTCCAGCCCCAGACTTTCTCGTTCTTTGCTACCATGTTACCAACCTGTAGTTCCAGCTCAGCCCCTGGGCTTCCAATGGGCCTTTCGAGGCCTTCCCGGATGCCAGGCTGGCCTTCCCACCCTTCCCAGCCGCCAGAGGCAGCTCCCAGAACACGGGCTTTCGGCGGGAACGCCTTTTATCACGCGGGGGTTCCACACCAACTCCCCAAGGCTCGCACCGGCAGAGCAGAACTAAGGCTCCAAAGCTGAGTGCGGGCTGGGACGCATGACGGGGCTGGCGCTGCTGCTCAGCTGGTGCTGACAAGCGCCCAAGTTCCCCTCGACCCCTGGCCGGCTCTGCGGACCCTGAGCGCCCCCCTGGCCCCCTACTTGTTCCAGTGGCTCTTGGAGTTCCTGTAGAGCGCGGGGAACATGATGGGGAGGACCCGGGCGGCGTTGTCGCTGATGAGGCTCATGATGTACTCGTTGTTCCAGTAGTAGAGCGCGCGCTCCGCCACCTGGGGGGGGGGACAGGCGGCACTCGGTGGGCACCGGCCCTCCGTGCGTTCTGGGAGGCACGGGGAGAGGACCCGCTGGGGCTGGGCCTCACCTGGAAGTGGGGGCTGGACACGCACTTGGCCAGCTGGCGGAAGAGCGGCTCCATCACCTTGCTGAACTCGGAAGGCTCGATGACATCCAGGATCTCCTCCAGCTCGTTCAGGAACATCACCTCCTTGGGGCTGTGCGTCTTGGGCCAGAACTTGAGGAGGCCCACGATCACCTGCGGGAAGAGGACGGGGGTCAGGCAGCTGCCCACTCGGAACCTGCGCACACTCCGCGCCCGCCTGGGCCCGCTGGAGCAGCCTCTGCTTTCGGCTGGCATCTGGCTCGGAGGGGCTCGTGGGCGCCCGCGGGGGAGGCCTCGCTTCTCCCGAGGGGAAGGAAACCCGTCCGTCGGCCGGGTCAGAGCGGGAGGGCACGGCTGGGAATTACCGGCTCCGTCAGGCTGCTCTCCTTCTCCAGGAACTGGACCACGCAGTAGGCCAGCTGCGGGAGGTGGAGGGGAGAAAGGTGAGGCCGAGGGCACAGAGACAGGAGCAACGCCCCAGCGCGGGCACGGGGAGGGAGGGAGGCATTCCCTCTCTCTGGCGGCGGCTCACCTGCGGGTGGTAGACACTCAGGGACTTGACCTTGTGGAGGGGCAGCAGGACCCGGATGAGGAACATCTTATGCTCTTCCTTCAGGGGCAGGGCAAAGCCGTTGATGATGCTAGGAGCCAAGGGAGGGTGGTGAGGACCCCCGGGCCAGGCCCGGGCTCAGCTCACCCGTCCTCCCGTCGCCCGAATCCCCCGCCCTACCTGCCCAGGATCTCCAGGAGCTCGGCAATCCCGTTATGGTGCTCTGTCTCATAGATAAACCTGCGGGGTGGGCGAAGACACTCCTGAACCTGCCGTCCTGCCGGGTGCCCACACTGGGCCCGGCACCCTCCGGGGGCTGGCCCTGCTCCTCAGCCCGGCTCCCGGCCTCACCTGTAGAAGATGTGGTTGATCTGCCTGCGGATGTAAGCCCGGAGCCCCAGGAACTTGCCGTAGATGCGATGCAGGATGGTCTTGAGGAAGTCCCGCTCTCGAGGGTCCTCGCTGTCGAACAGGTCGAGGAGCTGGGGGCAGGCGTGAGGAGGGGGCCGGTGAGGCTTGTTCCGGGAAGGGCGGGGGCTGGGGGGAGCCCGACGTCCTCTGGGGAGACGGCGTCTAGGGGCACGTCTGCTTACTGGGCTGTTGCTGTTTCGTTTCCTCCCACTTGGCCAGAATCTTTATTTTTTTATTTTTTACGACTGTGGGCCACACCAAGCAGAGCTCAGGGATCACTCCTGGCAGCGCTTGGGGGACCAGATGGAATGCCAGGGATCCAACTTGGGTTGGCGGCGTGCGAGGCAGACGCCCTCCATGCTGGGCTGTCTCTCCGCCCCTCGTGGGCTGTTTGTTGGGGCCACGGGACAGTGTGTGGTGCTGGGGACCCAAGCGGGGTCCTGCACTGCCCCCTGGACTCTCGGGCCTGGAAGCTGCTTTTTCACGTGAATGGTGAAAAAGGGCCTCACCGAGCTCCACGCCCAACCCTGGAAGCTTCAGAAGGACCGAGTGGGTTCGTGTGCCTGTCGGACCCTCTTCATAGGACACACGGGCAACCCAGGGCTTCATGTACAGAGAAAACCGGGAGCAGAGCACGGGGGCCCTGGCTCGGGGAAGAGGACATTGGGACTCACAGCAAGGACGAACTTCTGGTCAATGTACTTCTTGGCTATATTTGGCTGGAAATCAGGAGACTCGAGGAAACGTAAGAAAAACTCATACACGAGCTGTGATGGGGGGAGAGGAAGAAGTCTCCCCTGAGGGGGTGCCCCCGGGCCGGGACACACCCCTGCCCCTGCTGCAGTGCTCGGCATGCCCAGGCCCGGGTACCTGGAGATGGGGCCAGGCAGCCTCCAGAGTGGGCTCGTCCTCCTCGGGGTCAAACTCGGCCCCGGTGGGGTTGGACGAAGGAGGCAGCGTCCGGAAGAGGTTGACGGAGAACTGCATGGCCGGGGGGGTGGGGGGGAGCAGGTGAGAGCCGGGGCTGGCACTGAGCTTCTCCAGGGAGACCCTCCCACCCTGCCACCCCGTGCCCCGTCCCCCGCAGCGCCCACCATGGTGACGGCCTCTGGGTAGATGGCGTCGGTGACCACGTCGCGGCTGTGGGTGATGTACTCCACCATCTCGTTGAGCCCTGCCCGCTTCACCTCCTTGAACTTGAGGTCGCTGAGGGGGTCCGACACGAAGTCGAAGAGGACGCAGCACTGGCGCAGCTTCTGGATGAACAGCTCCTCCCGCTCCTGGGTGGGCGAGTCTGCGGGGGGCTCCTCCATCAGCGTCTTCTCCCCAGTCCTCAACGCTATGCCTGCATCACCTTCCAGGGCTTTCCCCCTACCCCCCCCCCCTCAGCCTTGTAGCTCCCTCGGCCCCCCAGGCCCAGTGGAACGTTCCCTAGAACTCATCTTCCCCACCCACAGCAGCCCCCCGGGGTCTGGCGCACCAGCACCCCCCAAGCCTTTCCAAGTACCTTTCAGGGCCGGAAGTTTCTGCAGCTCCCGGTTCTTGCTGAGGTTGAAGCGGGAGGAGCTTTGCCTGCGCTCCTTCTTCACGATCTGGGGGCCCCCCGAGTACTTGATCTTGCTGAGCTGTGTGGGGGGCGGCGTGCTGTTGCTGGGGCGCTTGTTGGACGATGGCGGCTGTGGCTGTGGCTGCGGCTGCGGCTGGGCCTGGTCGGACGGGGTGGGGGGGTCGTGTCAGCCCACCCCCACACACGCTCCTGGAGTCCGGGCCCGCGGTGACCCCCACCACCCTCCACACGGCCCCTGTTTCCTGGGTAGAGACGGGGGTCGTTGCATCCTGTCCTGGACAGGGTGCAAACTGCGTCCTGCGTCTGAGCAAACTCCTGGTTCTTGCCAGAGCACAGGCCGAGGACGCTGCCCACTGCCTGTGCACTGGGAGCCTTCCGTGGGACCCGGCCAGATGACTCGGTGACCGAAGAGGGAAACTCTCCCCGCTGCAACCCCACGGAGAGACCCCAAGGGGGCGCTACTGTGACCTACGGCAGATGTCCAAGCTCACTCCCAGATACATGCCCAAGAAAACACAAAAGCCCTTCCCAGGTGAAGAACAAAACAGCAGCTACCAGAAGGAAGAGGAACGGGTAAGCCGGATATATGGGATCAAATGCACAGAGGACAGGAGTAACCCCTGGTGCTGATCTCAGGGTGGCAGGCACAGATGGCAGTGTCTAAAGCTGAAACCCAGGGGCTGGAGCGATAGCACAGCGGGTAGGGCGTTTGCCTTGCACGCAGCAAACATGGCCAACACAGGTTCGATTCCCAGCATCCCAAATGGTCCCCTGAGCACCGCCAGGAGCGATTCCTGAGTGCATGAGCCAGGAGTAACCCCTGAACTCCACTGGGTATGGCCCGCTTGCCCACCCTACCCCCCCAAAAAAAGTGAAGGAGAGACATTCTAGTTTTTCTGGAGCGTGGACTCACACTTGTGGTTCTCGGGGGACCTGCAGCACTGGGTGGAACCCGGGGCCCCTGAGTGCACAGCCTGTGTGTCACCCCTTGGAGCCGGCTCCCTAGCCCCTCAGTCTGAGTAGGTCAGAGACCGAACTAGTGGCAAGAGATGCAGCAGGAGTGGGAGTGACGAGACGCAGAGTGCTCCCAGATCACCGGGCACCTCCTCTCTCCACCAGATTGGGGACGACTCAGTGTGCGATGCACCACAGGCTACGACCCACCCAACTTATCACCAGGGTGGTGACCGTTTCTCCACGGAAAGTCACAGAACAGTGGCATGAAGGCTCTTGCCTTGCATGCATGCGTGCTGCCACCATGCACCAGAGCGGGGTGTGACCCCTTCGCAAAGGGCTGAGTAGCCCCTGAGCACCAGTGGGTATGGCTCTAGTGGAACGATAGCACAGCGGTAGGGCGTTTGCCCTGTGCGCAGCTAGCCTGGCTGAGCTGGGTTCGATTCCTCCACCCCTCTCGGAGAGCCCAGCAAGCTACCGAGAGTATCTCGCCCACACGGCAGAGCCTGGCCAGCTCCCCGTGACGTATTTGATATGCCAAACACAGTAACAAGAAGTCTCACGATGGAGACGTTACTGGGCCCGCTCCAGCAAATCGATGAACAGTGGGAGGACCGTGACCGTGACCCCCACCCCAAAACAACGGTGGAGGGGCTGGAGGCTAGTACAGCAGGCAGGGCGCTTGCCTTGCACCCGGCCGACCCAGATTTGGTTCTCAGCACCTCGTATGATCCTCCTCCGAGCCTTGCCGGGAGTGATCTCTCAGCATAGAGCCAGGGGTAAGCCCTGAGCACAGACAAGTGTGGCCTAAAGACCAAAATAAATTTTAGGGACTGGAGCGATAGCACAGCGGGTAGGGCATCTGCCTTGCACGCAGCCGCCACAGGTTCGATTCCCAGCATCCCATATGGTCCCCCGGGCACTGCCAGGAGCAATTCTTGAGTGCATGAGCCAGGAGTAACCCCTGTGCATCGCCGGGAGTGACCCAAAAAGCAAAAAAAAAAAACAAAATCCAAAATAAAGTTTAAAAGTATATAAAGGTTAAGAGAAAGAAATTATTCTCAGGTTTCAGTAGTTTAATCACTAGAGAGATTGTTTTTTTTAAAGGCTTGGTATACAATCCTTTTTATAATAACCCTCATAAACAACCCTTACTTATAATAGGAAATAAAGAAATGGATAGAATATTATGGAGTTCAAATTATATTATACCCACGAAAACTATGTATTAAATGTAACCAGACATGGTTCAGCTGTGAAAATATTTACATAGGAATAATGATTTACCCAAACTGGTGATAAGTAATTTGAAAGGAGGGGATATGTCTGAGTGGAAGTAGAAGAAACACTGACATCTCAATTTCCTACAAGTAGGAAGTCGCCAGATACTACCTAAATCTCAAAAAGTTCCGTTTTCTTTGTCTTCGGGCCACACCCTCAGGACTCCGTGCTCACAGGTCAGTTCTGGCAGAGCTTGGGGAACGGCACCAGGGGCCAGGCAGGCACCTTCTCCCCTGTACTCACTCTCTGGCTCCTTAAAAGATTCTTAAAAAGCAAAGTGAGGGCCGGAGAGAGAGTACCGCAGGCAGGGCGCTTGTCTTCCGCGTGGCCAACCGGGTTCAATCCCCACAGGGTCCCCCGAGTCTGCCAGGAGTGACTCCAGAGTGCAGAGCCAGGAGGAGCCCCTGAGCACAGCCAGGTGAGGCCCCTGAAAAATAACAACCACCCCCAAAAGCAGCAAAGGGTTTTATTTGAAAATATGGAAGTCGGTCCCCAAAGAGGTGAAAATGAGGTTTCGAGGGTGAAAGCGGCAGCCGAGGTCAACGGGGAGGGGCGCAGGGCAGGAGCACCCACTCCTCGCTGCAGGCCCACGCACTTGCCCCACGGCATGATGGTGGAGGCCTGGCAGCGTGTTGACAACGTTTTTCGATCAAATGGAAAGCCTGAAATGATGTCATGACAGAAAACAGCTTCCTGGCTGGGGGTAAAGATCAACAGTCAAGCAGCATTTGCCTTCTGTGTATTAGGCCCTAATCGCACCCCCCCCCCCCCGCCTGTCTGTCTCTGTCTCTCTCTCTGTCTGTCTCTCTCTCTCTCTGTCTGTCTCTCTCTCTCACACACACACACACATACACACACACACACACACACACACACACACACACACACACACACAGAGCTTCCAGGGCCAGAGACAGTACAGCAGCAGCTGGTAAGGCACTGGCCTTGCAAGTGGGTCCCGTCCCGTCCCAGACACCCTAGATGGTCCCCCGAGCCCCGCCAGGAGTGATCTCTGAGCACAGAGCCAGAAGTAAACCCTAAGCAGCACTGGGTGTGGCCCAGAAACAAAAACAGATTAAAAAAAAAAAGAGGTGCTTCCTGTGCCAGATTAAGTACGGGTGGTGCAAAACTGTATGCAAAATGAGTTGAATGCACAGAGCCCCAAAACCCAGGTTAGAAAAGGAAGAGTCGGCACCATGGGGATGCAGGTTCCCAGGGCTGCAGCGCCCACTGTGCCCGGGGGAACCCCAGCTTGGGCAGGGCAGGGCGCTGGGTGTGCCTCCCTCCTGCGGAGAGGACAGGAAGTCCTTCACGGTGTGAATGACTCTCCTGCTTAGTAGAGAGTAATATGTGCCTTTTTTTTTTCTTACTTTGCTAAATTGTCTGCAAGCTGACACTGTTTTTATTAGTTTTTGTTTGGCTGTTTTGACACTGTTTCTATAATGAGAGAAATGCTGTTGGTGTTCAAAAGCTTCGGCTCTCCACTGAGGGCATGCTTTCCAGGCAGCAGCCCCACGTCTGAGCCTGGCACTACAAGGTCTGCCAGGCGGCGCGTTGAGAAGCACCCAAGCCCTGAGCCAGCAGCAGCAAGAGAGAGAGAGAGAGAGAGGACGAAGGCTCTGTCCTGCTGCATGCATCACCCAGGAAAAGCTGCTCCCTGTTCCCTCCCCCTCTCCCCACCATGAGAGGGCACAACGTGAGCACCTCCGTCCCAGAGGCGGGCAGGCCAGCAGGCAGGAACGCCAGGCTTCGTGGGTTATGTCCAGCTCGGCCCTACGGGGGATCAGAACCAAGTGCCACCGTCTACCCACAAGCCTCCTCAGTCACTCCAGCACCGGTATCCACCCCGTCCCTCGAGCCCATCCAACGCCCCCCTTCTTGTCCTCCACATGTCGTCGCACACACACTAGGCCGTGTGTCCTCAAAGCAAGGACCTAACTTGCACCCTCTTGGGCCACCAGGGCACCGGCACCTAACTGGCACTCACAGCGTACTGGCTTGAGTGACAGGAGACCACGCGCAGCCCTGCCCCCAGGCCCTGCTGTCACAAGTCAGGGGCCCTTGGGACAGAGCGCAGAGGGAGGGAGGGGCACGCGTGGTAGTAGGGCAAGGGGCTTGGCGGCAGCAAAAAAGCCTCTGGGGCCTGGGAGATAGCTCAGTGGGTAGAGCACAGACGCTGCAAGCAGGAGGCCCAGGTTCAATCCTGGCACGGGGGGTCAGAGCGACAGTACAGCGAGGAGGGCATTTGCCTTGCACGTGGGTTCGATCCCCGGCATCCTACATGGTCCCCCCCAAGCACCGCCAGGAGTAATTCCTGAGGGCAGAGCCAGGAGGAACCCCTGAGCATCACTGGGTGTGATCCGAAAAGCAAAAATAAATAAAATGCATTTAAAAAAAAATCCCTGGCACTGCTTGGTCCTGTGAGCACCACCAGGTGTGACTCCAGAGTACAGGTCTGGGAGAAAGCCCCTGAGCACTGCCTGCTGGCTGATCCCAGACTAATGACGCCTCCTTCACTGACCTTCACTGATGGAGACAGGAGACGAACTTAGTCCGCAACAGCTCCTGTGGCCAGCAGAGCGTGGGGCGTGCTGCTCCCAGCTCCGAAGGGAGCTCCCCTCAGTCTGAAGCCCCTCCCGTCCCCCCTTGGAACCCTCGAGGGACCCGAAGTGCAAGACACCTTCGTCCAATCTGGCAGCTGGAGTGATCACTCAGGAGACCGCAGAGCCACTTGGCCAGCTCTGGTCTAGCCAACGCGGCCACCACAAGTAAACCCCGACAGGCCCTAGAAACACGATTCAGGGACGCATCGCACCGTGCCAAGTACAGCGAGGGAAAAACGGACAGCGATAGACGCACAGATGAACGTGTGATTCCAAGCCGCATCAACGAGCGAGAGAGGGTTTTGGTGGAGGCCCCGGTCACGGAGGCAGCCTCTCCTGTCCCGGGCCACTGGAGTCAGGAGCTCCGCTGACCCTTTCCCTCCTTCCATTTCCTCCGTAAACACGCAGGCAGCGGGAACTCGGGATGAGCAGGGCCGTGAGACCTGCCCTTGGCCTCCAAAGCTCACGGTGCAGTGGGTCAGACAGACACAAGGGCAGCGCGGAACAGACTGGGGCCTGCCTGCCTGCCAGGAGAACCAGGGGAGAGGTCCCCGGAGGATCCCACTCGGGGTGGGGCTCTTAAAGGAACAGGAGTTTGTTTCAGTTAGTTTGTTTATGGACCACACCCAGCGGTGCTCAGAGATCACTCCTGAAGGGGCTCCCGGGAACCACAGGAGGGGCCCGGATCGAACCTTGAACCAGAGTCAGCTGTGTGCAAAGCCAAGTGCCCTGCCTGCCGCACGATCTCCCTGGCCCACAAACATGAGTCTACTGGCTAAAAGGAAAAAGCGGGGAAGGGGTGTGTGTGTGGGGGGGGGAGGGGGTGTCCAGAAATACGGCAGCCTCGTCTAACGCAGTCAGAAAGGAAAGGGCCTGCAGTGGGCCGGGAGGGTGCAAAGACCTGGGTTGCATGCTGGACAGAGGAGGCCCCGAAGCCAATGCCCGACCCGCATGATCCCCCCTGGCACTTCTGGGAGGGACTCCCCCACCCCCCAGCAAATAAACGAGGGCCCGGCTACGTATAAGGGATTGTATCAGGAGATGGGGGGGGGGGGAAATTAACCCCGGGAAGGTGCTAGAATAATGGATAGTGGCAGAGAACCAGCTCAGGAGGGTCGTTAGAATTCACCTGAATTCTAACTTGTCAACCATGAGATGCCAAAAGAGGCTTTTTTTTGGGGGGTGAGGGGGGGAGGTCGGGCAGGGGTAAGGGGTTTGGGTCACACCCAGCAGTGCTCAGGGGACCATATGGGATGCCGGGGGTCGAGCCCTGGTCAGCCACGCGCGAAGCAAGAGCCCGAACCCGCTGCACTTTTCACTCTGGCTCCGCAACGGAGGCTCTTACGAGGGGGAATCTTCTAGGACCAGAATTACTGCCAGGGTCCAGTGGGCCCGGCAGGGCGTGATGAAATGGAGGGACTGAGGCTTCCTCCTCCCTCCGTCCACTCTGGCAACTGAGAAGCGGGCAAAGCCACAGCACTGAGCTGCCTTCTCCACGGCGGGGCGAGGTGTGTGCTGGCCGCCCGGGGCACCCTTCCTGTCATCGGCTTCTGCCCCGGAGCTAAGAGGCAGCAGACGGTCACTGCAGACACGAGGGGGCAGGTTCCCGGGCCGCACAGGCGGGACCTCAGCTCGACCGCTTGGGCCGCTAAAAGCCACTAGACATTGCGAAGCCTCAGTTTCATCTGTCAGACGGGGGTGACAGTGACCGCAGGGCAGAGGGCTGCAAAGCGCAGACAGGACGAGGGGAGGGTACAAGGCACGGGAGCAGAGCCGAGGGAAGAGCGTCTCCCCAAAACCACCTCAGTCCAACAGCCCTCAGCGGGACCTGCCCCCCGACACCTGCCGCGGGGGGAGGGGCTCCCACCCTCCAGGCATCGGAGAGACACCCCAGCTCCAGTGTGGCCTTTCTCGGGAATAAGCTTTGCAGATTCAGTGAGGAAGAGGCGGACGTGCTGGCCTGACAGCCCACCGCAGGCGTCCTTTCAAAGAGGGAAATTTGTTCTAGACGCAGGCTGGGTGACAGGAGGGAAAGGGGGGGCCCTGGTGGGGGGGCGGGGGCATGTTGCGTATCTGAAACTTAATAATGAGTAACTGTGGGGCCCGAGTAATAGCACGGCATGTAGGGCGCTCGCCTTGCACGCGGCCGACCTGAATTCCATCCCCAACATCCGACATGGCCCCTCAAGCCCGTCCAGGAGTGATTCCTAAGGGCAAGAGTCAGGAGTGACCCTTGAGCATCGCTGCAATTCACGATGATTAGAACATTTTTCATTATTAAAAAAGAGGAAAACTTTTGGGGCTGGAGCGATAGCACAGCGGGTAGGGCGTTTGCCTTGCATGTGGCTGACCCAGGTTCGATTCCCAGCAACCCACATGGTCCCCGGAGCACCGCCAGGAGTAATTCCTGGGTGCAGAGCCAGGAGTAACTTCTGTGCATCGCTGGGTGTGACCCAAAAAGCATTAAAAAAAGAAAATAAATTAAAAAATAAAAAAGAGGAAAACTTTGGAGCCAGAGACAGGCAGACCCATGGTGGGGAACACTAGGTGGAGACAGAGACGAAGGGGTCACGCCTGGACAGTAGAGCCCCAGCTCCCACGTGCTGTGGAAGTCCCGGAAGCCTGGCGAGAGGCACTGGGGCCTCCTCCTCCCGCTGACAGTTCCTGCCTTCCAGCTCCAGGACCCAGGCAGGAGGCGATTCGGCCCTGGCCGGCAGGGGAGGTGGCAGACTCGTCAGGGCGGCGCTAAGAAAGGGCGCAGGGGTCACAGGAGTCACTGCTTCACAGGCTGGCCGCAGTCAACGAGGACCAAGCAGAAAGGCTCTGGGCAGATGTTTAACGCTGTCTGGGAAAACCCCACATTCTGGACTCTCAAGAGGGCAGGGGAAGACGGTCACGCAGCTTCTGCTGACCCGGGCCTCAACTTTCCCGCCGCCCCTCCATCCCCGGCAAACCCCACCATTCTCCTCTCCCAGAGCAGCGGCCGTCCTGTCCCACCTGCACAGGCAAACCCCGTGGGGATTCTCGGCCACCTCCTCAGCCTTTGAGTCCTGGCTTCCCCCCGGGAGAGGAGAGGGCCAGCCCCCAGGGCTCCTTGCAGCTCCGGCTGCAGTGGGCTCATTCCCCACTGCCAGCACTGATCCAGGGCAGCGGGCCCACTCGAGAAGCTTCTGCTCCCACTCTGGGGGCACGCATGCTTGGGGGAGCACAGAGCAGGGACCCAGCAGCCTGGGGGCAGGGGGCTGCGGACAGACAACCTCCTGGCCACCCAGGAACTGGACTGGCCAGCGGCTGCCGCAGGCCCCTATACCTCCTGTTCTCTGTCTCTCTTGCTACTCTGGGCACCAGGTGACAGGCCCCCAGCCACTGTCCCCATGGGTCCCCTGCCCAGGTCACTGTTTCTCAAGGGGGCCTGAACGTTCCCCGAAGCTCTGATTCCTCCCTCCTCCAAGGCCAGCACACGAGCACACACAAGCAGAGCCTCCCCCCCCAGACCCCAGCGGCGCGGGGTCCCCGGGAGACACGGCACGGCAGCAGCCCCACAGGGCGGGGGCCCAGGCCCTGCTCTTGGGGCGCGCGTGGCCCTGCCCCTTCCCAGCATTCAGCAAGGCCTAAACAATGGTCCTGGGGAACGGAAACCGCTTGCCTCTCTCGGGAGGGGACGGAGACCAGAAGTGCCCAAATCAGAAACCCAGAAAATCCAGCGAACCTCGGGGCCCATGACTGAGGTTGGCCGGCTGTCCAGGAATGTTCCCCAGCCCTCGGAGGGCTTCCAGCCTCCAGGAAGGACACGCGCCGGGGGCCCCTCGGAGCAGCCCACACTCCCGCGGGCACACCCTGCCCTTCCTTCAGCCCCCCCCCCCCACGAAGGCTGCCCTTGTCCTTTATTGCTTTACAGCCGAGACGGCCGCACTGACCTCTGCCCGCCCGTCCTTCCGCAGTGCCTGTTCACTCACTGGCATGTTTATTTTCCAGAGGCCACACCCAACAGTGCTCAGGGGGCCCTGGGTGCTGGGCACGGGGCTCGGAACTCACAGAGACAACCTGAGCACGCGGCCATCTGAGCCGCCTCCCGGCCCCCCGGCAGACCCCCAGCTTTTGCCCAAAGCCAAAAAAGGAACAGAGGGGGCTGGAGTGATAGCACAGCGGGTCGGGCGTTTGCCTTGCACGTGGCCCGACCCGGGTTCGATTCCCAGCATCCCATAGGGTCCCCCGAGCACGGCCAGGTGTAATTCCTGAGTGCATGAACCAGAAGGAACCCCTGTGCATTGCCGGGTGTGACCCAAAAAGCAAAAAAAAAAAAAAACCCAAAAAGGAACAGAGAGGCAAAGCTGGCGGCCTCGGAAAGACCAGGGCCTGAGGCCTGGGAGCTTCTGTGGCCAGTGCTGGCCAGCCCCTCCCGCGGTGGACACCTCTTCCCTTTTGCCCCAATCCCTTTCGGCTTCTGGGCTCTCACCCCACTGGCCCTCCGGCAGCCGACCTGAAGCCGGCCCCACGCTCCTTACCTCCTCGGTGTTCTCTCCGCCACCATCCTTGCCAGAGCTGCTGGGCTTGGCTGCGCCTTTGGCAAGCTTGGGGGGCTCCTGAGGGAGAAGATGGAGGAGGAGTGAGCACGGGGACAGAGAAGGTCCTCTCTGGCTCGTCCCTCTGACCATCCTCCCTCCAAGGGGCTGAACTGATCCACCAACTTGGTGCCTCCCTGGGGGGCTGACTGGGGGGGTGGGGTGGGGTGGGCTGGCGGGAGCTACTGGACACAAAGAGAGATCTCTTCTCCTGGTGAGGAGCTTGGAATTTGGTTAGTGAGCCATCCCCAACACACAATAATTAAACAGGAGAACGCTCTTTCCTCCAGCAAGGCTGGCGGAGGAGGAGGAAGGGCCTCTGTCAAGTCAGAATCAAGGTGAGACGACTTCAGGGGTAAAAGCAACCAGGAACACGGGGGAACAGGGGGCACCAGAGTGATGGGACATGGGTGGGGCACTTGCCCTGGGTTTGATCCCCAACACCGCCAGGAGTAAGTCCTGAGCACTGCCTGGTGTGGCCCCCAAAACCAATAGGAAAAATAGCAACCAGGAGCAAGTCGCGGAGCTGGGGAGGGCCTGGCTGAAGGGGAGAGGGCGGCTTGAGGCTCTCGGAGGGAAGGAAGTCCCTGCCCCCCCCCAGCCCCACACACACAAAGGCCATCTGGAGGGAGCTGCAGGGATGGGGGTGGGGTGACCGATCACACCCAGACTAAAGGGGTGCTGCTGGCATGATCAGGGCGGCCCGGGGTATCTCAAGAGCACGGGAGTGGGCAAGCCCCGGGGCTGGGCTGAGCTGAGGTCCCCTTGGGGCCCTGCCACCTGGCTGCGGGCCCTGGCCTGCCCAATGGCTCTTCCTATGCTTCGGGCCAAAAAAAGCAACTGCACAGGGACAGGCTGGGGGAAACGTGAAAAAAGCCTTGGCTGACTGCAAGTTCAACACAAATCACACGCACGCCACGGCCGCAGAGGCAGCGCGGTGAGGAAACCCAGGGCAGGAACGGAGAGCGAGCGAGCGAGCGAGCACAGGGCTCAGGGCACTTGCCATGGTTCAACCTCAGGCCTGGCTGGAGAGGGGCCCCTGGGCACCACCAGGTGCAACCCCGGGGTGTGGCCAAAAAGCAAGAAGAAGAAGAAACCTGGGGGCATGAGGAAGGCAGGCAGGCCCGGGGAGTGGCGCAGAGGGCTGGGCATGGGGTTTGCATGTGGGAGCCCTGGGTTGGATCCCCGACACCTCACTGCAGAGAACGATCAACTCTACAACACCGAGCCAGGATCAGTTCACAAGTGCCACCCTGGGCACCACGCTGCCCACCGCCCTCAGCCCTGGGACACTGAGGCTGCCTGTCCTTGGAGCTGATGACGACCTGAAGCATCTGGTTCCAGCCCGGAGCACCAGGATTCAGGGCAGATGACAACCCCAGCTTTGCTTCCCATCGTTTTAGCTTGGTTGGGGGGGGGGGGGGGGAGTCACATGCAGCGGTGCTCAGGAGAACTCTTGCAGTGCTAGGGAGCACGGCTGGGGTTCCTGGGTGCAGCGCCCGAGCCCCAGCCCTCTGAGCCATCTCCCCAGCTCCAATCCTAGTTTTCCTTTCTGGGGAAACCTAACCCAGACGGCGATTCCCGCAAACACCTGTCCAGAGAGCAACAGCTGCAGGGGGGGGGGGGGGGGGGGGGGGCAGGGCGCAGTGGGAGGGAGGAGCCTGGGAGGGAGCTGGGGGCTTCTTACCAGGGGCTGCCCTGTGCGCCCAAGATGCCCCAAATTGTCAGGGGTGAACCCAGGGGCCCAAGGGCTCTGGGCGGAAGTGTCAGGCAGACAGGCGGAGGTGCCGAACGGGAGAGAATGTTCTCCAGAGTTCACACGGAAACAGACGGCCTTAGGAAGGTGCGGGCTCCCCCACGAGCAGAGCGGCCCAGCCTCGAACCCTGTCTCGGGCATGTGAGAGGAGGGGCTCCAGCCCTCAGTGACCATATTCGGGGGTGGGGGTGCCTGGAACCCCCCGCCAGTGGTGAGAGCCTGCAGCTCTGCAGCACGGAGCCCCTTCAAGTGACAAGTGTTAAGTCAAGTGATCGTGACTACAGGGCAAGAGGATTTCAGGGAGCCGAGAGAGAGAGAGCGAGCGAGCTGTGTGGGCTGGAGCGGGGAGCGAGGTGGGGGCGGGGAGGAAGCCTTTCCAGGTGTGCTACAGCTCAGCTCGGCTCCGAGGAGCACGGGGAGCTCCTGCGAGCACACGCGTCTCCCGCGGCCCGCCACGCTGCCCCGGCACCCAGGGCCTGAGGTGACCGTATGGCATGCATGCACGCCCCTCTCCCCCAGGTGTGGGCTGCTCCTCGAGCCAAGCAGACACCCCCTCCCCCTCATCTGGAAGCTTCTCGTCTCCCGTCTCCTCGCTCTACCTGCTCTCAACTCGCTGCTCCTTCCTGCAGGCCTCCCACCCGCCCCGCGGCAGAGGCACGTCTCCTAGGGAATGCACCTAAGACACATCCCAGCTGCCTGAGTGTGTGTGCACGTGGGTGTGGGTGTGGGTGTGCGTGCGGGGAGGGAGGGGGAGCCTGGGGAACAGGTGAGGCACGCACGTTTTGGCCCCGCGGGCCTGAGCTGCGCTCCCACTACAGGACAGCCCGAGCCTCGGTTTGCCCACTAAAATGACACCGTCCACCACCGAACCAAACTCCCCTGGACTCAGCGGCTGACCATGCAAACCCGACGATTAGGAACCAGAAGAGAGTGAGGGAAGGGGGGGGCAGGGGCACGCCCGTTGGGAGCACGAAGGAACCAAATCCCAGACAAGAGGGACAGGAGGGATGGAAAACCAGCCCCACGCTACTGCCAGGGAGAGAGCACGGCAGGTAAGCTGCTTGCCTTGCGGATGGCCAACCCCAGTTCGATCCCTGGCATCCTTATGGTCCCCTGAGCACCGCCAGGAGTGATGACTGGGTGCAGAGCCAGGAGTAAGCATTGAGCATTGCCACGTGTGGCCCCCAAGCTCAAATAAATATATATTACGTGTGTGTGTGTGTGTGTGTGTGTGTGTGTGTGTTCCCTGAACCAGGGATGACCAGAGAAGTAGTTTGATGATAAAGCACCTACTGTGTGCAGAGGAGATGCCAAATGGAACTTAGTGGTTCTCTCCCTGGGGGAAGAAAGGACTGGTCCACGATTAGTTCCAGCCCAAGGGAACACAAAAGGGCTCGAAGTGACCTGCCAAGTGTCCTGCAGATCCCGGAGAGAAGGGAGCTCTGCCTGCCTGAGGGCTGGGGACAGGCTGCAGGGTGGAGGCTGGGAAGGATGGCCAGACTTGGGAGCGGAGGGAAAAGGGAAGAAGTAATGCGTGAGCAATTAAGACCCTCCACCTACCCCTCCCCTCTGCTCCAAATCCCATCAGGGCCAGCCTGGTCACATCGTCACCTCCCTCCCTGCAGGACCTGCCAAGACCTGAAGGTGGCCCAACACAGCTGCGAGTCAAAGGCAGCAAAAGAAGCGAGAGGTGTTTGGCCCTTGTAGCCAGACCCTTCCCACCAGCCCGACTCTCCTGCCTAGGGTCTCAGCAAGCCTAGTCAAGAATGTTTTTTGCCCCTGGGCTAGAGAAATGGCTCAAAGGGCCCAGGTTTTGCATTGAGGGGGCCTGGGTTCCATCCCTGCCACCGTATGGTGCCCAGGAACACCAACAGGAACAACCCGATGGCCAGCACTTAGCCTGAGCATTGCCCAGTGTGGCCTAAAGAAAAAAACAAGGACACCAGAGTGGTAGCACAGCAGGCAGGCCACTTGCCTTGCACACAGCCGACCCTAGTTGGGTCCCCGGCATCCCACAAGGTCCCCTGAGCACCACCAGGAGTGATTCCTGAGTACAGAGCCAAGAATAAGCCCTGAGCATTGCCAGGTGTGACCCCCAAATTCAAATAAACATATATTATATATATATATGCCTATTTACATGTACCCCTCGGACTAGGGATGCTGTTTCATGGTAAAGACTCTTCTTGCCTTGCATGCCTGAGATCTCCATTAAAGCCCACCCTCAAGAAATATACAAAAAGAAGTGTTGGAGAACTATTTTCTTCTCAATCATCTAGAAGAGAAAGGCTTTTTGTGGATGGGACTGGAGCTGACAGATGGGTGCTGAGGACCTCGGCAGGCTCCCAGGCCCCCTGCACCCCTGGGAGGGACTGACCTGTATGTGAATGACGGCAGCTAAGCTGCCCAAACCACCCAAGCACGCCCACTCCCCGGCTCAGGGCCCAGGCAGGCCCCGTAACCCTGCCCTGCGGCTGGCTGCCCATCACCAACCCTGCACACAGGTCCTGCGAGGCGATTCCCCCCATCCCTGACCCCCCCAAATCTCCAGCAGCCCCTGCAGAAAGAGTTTCATAGATAGATAAGGTCAGAGAGGGTAGCCTGACAACCCGATGCGTGGAGAGGTGCGAGGGAAGAGGCAAAGAAACCAAGACACCTCTGAGAAGCGGGCCAGAGGCAGCCCCCACCGCAAGGGGCCAGGCGGGAGGAGGGAGGGCGGCTGGTACCCTAGCATCCTGGTGCCAGTCTACCTCAAAGGCACCACACCTCTGACTCAGACCTCTCTGCCACAGCAGGAAACAGGGGAGAGCGAGGAGGCAAGGATGGGGAGCCGGGCAAGGCCGTGTGGAGAGAAAAGAGGCAGGAAGCCCTCGGCCGGGCATCAGCTCCCCAGGACAGAGGCAAAGGTGTTGGGGAGGGCCTGTGGCGAAGAAGGAAAAGGACTGTGACAGAGAGGGCAGGTTTCCTATTTGAGAAGCCAGACAGAAGCCAAGCACCACGGGGGAACAAAAAAACCCCCGAAAAAACCCCAAAAAAACGTGGGGGGGGGAATCTGCAAAGGCGACCTCAGGATTAGGAGCAAGGGGGGGGTGGATGGAGCCCGTGGCCCAGAGGAGGCATGCAAATCAGGGCACCGGCAGGCAGTGTGACCTTGGCCAAGTCCCTTGCCCTGCTGGGGCCTCGGTCTCCTCCTGGGTACCTGGAGGGGGGCCCTGCGTGCCAGGGAGGTGCCTTCCAGCACAGCCAGGCGGAGGGCTCCCTGCACGCTCCGAGCAGCAGCTCACAAGTTGGTGTGGAAGGGAGAGCTGGAGGGAGGGGCCTAGGCCAGATCTGGAGGAGAGAGCGAGCGGGCTGGCCTCGGCACGCAGCCTGGCGGGCGGGCGGGCAGGAGCAGGGGCTGGAGGGGCCCGCGGAGAGGCCGGCCCAGGCCCCGGCGGGCGAGCAGAGGGGCGAAGGGGCCGAGCCGGGGAGCGGGGGAGGGGGCGCAGAGGGGCAGATCTGGAGGGAGGTGCGGTCCCAGGCGGGGAGGGGGAGGGGGCAACGGAGCCGGGGGCAGCGGGGGAAGCCGAGGAGTGCCCCGGGATGGGCAGCGGCGGGGGAGGAGGCTGCCCTGGGCCCCCGGCCGGCCGGGCAGGCGGTGGGGGGGGGGCGGGGGGAGGTGCACGCGGGGCGATTCTCGCCCGGGCAGGGCGGGGGGCTCCCCCGCGGCGGCCCGGGCCCGGGTGCGCGCAGCGGCGAGGGCGGGGGGCTGGCCCCGGAGTCCTGCGGGGGCCGGACGGGAGGGTCAGTCCGGGGCTGTCCCGGGCCTGGCGCGGGCCCCTCCCAGAGGCGCGCGCAGGCCGCGAGGCGGAAGCGCGCGGGGAAAGGGCCAGGCTCACCTTCTCTTTCTTCAGTTTGTAGGGCATCTCGGCCCGTCCGGCCCGGCCCGGCGCCCGCGGCCCCGCTCCGGCTCCTGCTCGGCCGCACTCGGCCCGCTCGGCGTCTCTTCGCCGCCGCCTGCGCGCTGCGCCCGGGTCGAGCGGCGTCTGCGCCTCCGATTGGCCGGGACTCCGGCAAACCTGCCTGACAACCCGGCGCCGCCGCCTGCCATTGGCCACCGGAGCCCAGCGGCGGCCTTTTTTTCTCATTGGGAAGGAAGAGTACAAACCGCCAGGGTTCGGCGCCTGGGATTGGCTGGGGCGGCTGGTCCCGCCCTCCGGGGGGCGGGCCTGGAGGAGGAGGCGGGGCCAGGGAAGCCCGAGCCGAGCCCGGCTGCCGCACTCGGGCGTCTCGGCTGCCTCCGTCGTCCCCAGCCCCAGGAACCGGGCTCCTTCCCTGGGCGCCCTTCGCCCCCTGTTGCCTGCCAGTCGGCCCGATCCGAATGCAAGGAGACCCAACACGCAGGGTCCCTTTCTTCATCGGGATAAGGCAGCCCTCGCTGCACACTCAGAGCCGGCGTGCGAGCCCCCGGGAGTCCTGGAGAGCCCCCGTTTCCCTGGACAGGGTTGCAGAGGGAGAGCCTGGCCGGAGGGGGGCTGGGTGAGAGAGGAGAGGAGAATCCGCGTCTGTGCGACTTGGGAGGGAGGGTCTCGGGTCGCTGGCTGCGGGGTCCTGGAATTGGAGAACCAAGTTGAGCACTTTGGGAAGAAGCACTGTGGAAGCGCAACCTCACGTGAGAGGCTCCGAAAATACACCCCCTGCTCCTCTCACTGCGCAAACCAGGGCCCTAGCGGATAAGATCAGTTCCTGCCTTCAAGGAATGAACTTGACCGGTGGTGAAGTTCACAGATAGGTGTTAACTGGTGATTAAGATGCGATGTACTAAACTACAGGGACCTAGAAGTGGCTGAAGGAATATTTTTTTTTTGCTTTTGGGGTCACACCTGGCGATGCACAGGGGTTACTCCTGTCTCTGCACTCAGGAGTTACTCCTGGCGGTGCTCAGGGGACCATATGGGATGCTGGGAATTGAACCCGGGTCGGCTGCGTGCAAGGTAAACGCCCTACCTGCTGTGCTATCTCTCCAGCCCCTGAAGGAATATGTTTGAAAAAGGAGTTCTGCCATTAGGTTCTCACTCACCGCTGCTAGTCGTACTTTCTGGCCTTGGCAGCCAGCACATTTTTTATTGAGTTGTGGTGCTCACTGAGGGCACCACACACACGCACACTTGGCTGCACACCCACTGCAGAACTGACGTGTGCAAACATCGGGGCGCCAGGATCATGCCTGGTGCACTGATAAGACTGCGGCCTTGACCTCATGACCGTATGCAGCATTCCAAGCTGCTGTACAATTCAGCCTTAGCTTGATTTGGCACCGCCAAAGTCATACGTGTGGACCTGAGAGAGTAGCACTGTCCTCCCGTTGCTCATTGATTTGCTCGAGCAGGCACGAGTAATGTCTCCATCATGAGACTTGTTACTGTTTTTTGGCATATCGAATACCTCACGGGTAGCTTGCCAGGCTTTGCTATGCAGGCGGGATACTCTCAGTCGCTTGCCGGGCTCTCTGAAAGGGGCGGAGGAATCGAACCCGGGTCGACCAGGTGCCAGGCAAACGCCCTACCAACTGTGCTATCGCTCCAGCTCCAGAGTATAAGAAGTAAATCTTAGACTTGACGTGCAGCAGACCTGTTCAAATCCCCAGCATCCCAAATGGTCCCCCAAGCACCGCCAGGAGTAATTTCTGAGTGCAGAGTAGTAGTAACCCCTAAGCATCATCAGATGTCACCCGAAAAGCAAAATAAAAAAAATTAAAAAGTGTTTGTCACAGGGGCTGGAGAGATAGTACAGTGGGTAAGCCACTTGCCTTGCACACAGTCTACACAGGTTTAATCCCCCGTATCTCATAGGGTCCCCCAAGCACAGCCAGGAATGATTCCTGAGCAAAGCCAGGGGTAACCCCTGAGAATTGCCAGGTGAGGCCAAACAACAACCAGAGTGTTTATACCTACCTTAATTGTACTTTTCTTGCAGAGCTTGCACTTTAATAAATCCCAAGCAAGGAAGGGACAGAAGGAGAGAAAACTCCAGTAGCAGACTGACCACATGAAGAAAATGGAGAAGGGCCAAAAAAAAAAAAAAAGCATATGCTCCTTGCCCACGAAAGCAATGGAGAAGAACGGATTGAATTGGAAAATGTGTGGGATTTGGTGGTTTATTGGATTATGCAGAGGGTGAAAAGGAAGAGAAGGGTGTTGAGGATGACTTCAGGGAGCTGTCAAAGATGTAGGAGGAAAAGTGATAGCATGATATCAAAGAAGCAAAGGAAGATCCGTTAACAGGGTCAGATTCCAGAGAAAAAATCAGTAAGATCAAACAGCATCTCCTTGATTCTGCGGGTAAGAGGTTGTGGGTGATCTTTGCAGTGGGTGAGAGAGTGAGCAGGAAGAGATTGGGGAAATGACTCAGAAAGGCTGAAGTGCGTGCTTGGCATGTGGGAATCCCAGCTCCAATTCCCAGCACTTCATGGTTCCCTGAGCATTGCCAGGGGTGGTCGCCCTCCCCACCACCCCTAGCCCCCACAAACAGACAGAAGTGAACAGGATTTTTTTCATTCATTCATTCATTCATCATCCTGTTATTCGTCGATTGCCTCGAGCAGGCCCCAGTAACGTCTCTTTCAGGATTTATGGGATTAAAAACAACATTTGGAGGGGCTAGAGCGATAGCACAGCAGGTAGGGCATTTACCTTGCACGTGGCCAACCCGGGTTCGATTCCCAGCATCCCATATAGTCCCCTGAGCACAGCCAGGAGTAATTCCTGAGTTCATGAGCCAGAAGTAACCTCTATGCATCGCTGGGTGTGACCCCAGAAGCAAAAGAACGAAACAACACTTGAAGGCTCTGGCTAGCTTACAAAAGTAGTGCTTGGGGGCCAGAGACGTGGTGCTAGAGCATCTGCCTTGCTTATGTGAGGCCCTGGGTTCAATCCCCAGCACTGAAAAAGAAAAGAAGCACTTGGTTTTCAATGCCTAATGATGATTTCAAGGTAATACAATACGAACTTTATGCCAACCATTATTCAGTGGGGGAAATCCTAGGAAGAAAACACACTTATCTGTGAATGGACATCGCTCTCTGAATAGTTATTGGCCCAGGCTGGAGATGATAGATTCCCATTAACTAGGTCTCAGTGAACCACGCCTGAGGGTGCTCAGGAGAATTTTGCTGAGCAGATACTTTGCATACAGGCCAGGTTTGATCTGTGGTGCTGCCTCTGGTCCCCAGGCACCGCCAGGAGTGATCCCTGAGCACAGCTCCAGAAGCAGCTCCCAAGGTTGTCAGCAGATGGAACTTCCACTGGGTTGTCCTCAACTGTTATGTGGTTCTGTCCCCTCTCTCCCCAAAACAAATAAAAAACTAAAGATATAACACTGAGAAATATCAAAGGTACTATCTATTTTTGTTTTGTTTTATGGGATACACCCAGCGGTGCTCAGGGCTTACTCCTGGCAGGGACTGGGGGAACCATATGCAATTCCAGGGATTGAACCTGGGTTGGCCACATGCAAGGCAAGTGTCCTGACCACTGTACTATCACTCTGACCAAGAAATTTCTATATTATTACTGGGGAGACTAGGCCACACCCAGGGGTGCTGAAAGGAATGCTGGCTCTGTGCTCAGGGATTATTACTGGCAGTACTCAGAGATAGAACTAGGATAAAACAAATGGAAGACAAGTGCCTTAACCCCTGGACTATTTCTCTAGCCCTTGTGATTGATCTTATTTTGTTTTGGGGTCATACCTGATGGTACAAAGGGGCTCCTCCTGGCTTTGTGCTCAGTAGTGACCCCTGATGATGTTTGGGAGACTTTATGTGGTGCCAGGGATTTTAGCTGGAGTTGACCACGTGCAAGGCAATAGGCCTTACCTCCTATTCTATTGTATTTTCATTGTTGTTTATAAGCTGCATCTGGTGGTGCTCAGAACTTACTCCTGGCTCTGCACTCAGGATCACTCCTGGCATTAATGGGTGGGGGGGATTAATGTGGTGCCAGGGACCAAACGCAGGTCAGCTGCATTCGAGGCAAGCACAATGCTCACTGTACTATTTGGACAACACCCAGCAATGTTCAGGGGTTTGCTCTCTGCAGTGTTCAGGGGATTATGCAGTGCCAAGAATCGAACCTGGGCTTTCTGAATGCAAAGCACACACATCACAGGCAGATGTAGGCCAAAGAGGCAAGACCCAATTCATTGATTCTTATTCTTAATGCATGCTGAAAGTGTGGTCTATCAGTGCTTTCAAGTATCTTGCAAAGAGCAGTGGAGGTAAAAGAGAAGAACGGAATCTAAGTGACAGTACAAGTAGGATGCAGGCTGTTGGGGCCCTGCTCTTTCTTGGGTGTGTGTTGTGGCAGGGCCACACGAAACAGTGCTGGGGGCTACTCCTGGCTCAGTATTCAGGGGACCTTGTGATGCCAGGGATCAATCTTGGCTCTCTGGCATGCAAAAAATAGAATTCCGTTGATCTGTCTCTCTGACCCTACTGCTTTGCTCTCTCTTCTGCCTGCTCTGCTACCTGACCCAAATCTAGGGGAGAAACTGCAAGTGGGCTTCTCTGCAAAGATCGGGGGCTGGAAGCAGGTGGGGAGAACAACTGCTTCTGGAAGGCTGAAAAAAGCAATGCCGGTTTGTCTTCGTTTCAAGCTTAATGAGAGTAGAACGACTAGGACCAGAAACCTTGGAACGTGGGTTTCGTGTAGGATGTACTGGAACAGGTGTGGCAGTACCCAGCCTCCCAGTGCTACATGAATCACGAGGCAATTCAGCCAACTGCTACTACAGATCCACGGCGCTCCTGGGACCGTTTTATAATCCTACTATTCGCTCCTGCAACGTTCCCCGCAACCCCCGGACCTCGGTGCCTCCCGTTCCAGAGCAGAACTTGTAGGAGTTCCACGGAGGAGTGAACTTCCTCAACACTCCACTCACAGCTCCCAGTTACGAGGCTGAGCTGGCCCAGACCGTTCACGGCTTACCCCAGTGAACAGTTAAGTACATGCTCTGGGCATAATAGCTAAAAGGCCATTCTATCCCCGGCAGGCGCCAAAGGCAAATCTCTGAAAGCTGTCAAACGGCGCGCGAGGACCGGCTAAGCCACCGCAGGGCGTTGCTGCAACAAAGAACCGCCCGGATCACTCCCAGGTGCCACGCTCCTGCTCCGAGCATGCGCGGGACCGCGGGCTCCGCCCACTCCCCTCGCCCCGCCCCCGGCGGAAGCGGAAGCGGCATGTGCCCCGCCCCGGAAGCGCGCCTGCGAGCCCCGGAAGCCGCGCGCCTGCGTGGTCTCCTGTCATCATGGCTCTGGCCGTGCTGCGCCTCCTGGACCCCTTCCCGGCCGAGACTCCCCCGCTGGCGGTGCTGGTGCCGCCGGGGGGCCCGTGGCCGGCGGCGGGGCCGGGCCTGGTGCTGGCCCTGCGGCCCGCGGGGGAGAGCCCGGCCGGCCCGGCGCTGCTCGTGGCGGCCGTGGAGGGCCCGGGCGCGGGGCCCGCGGAGCAGCGCCCCGGGCCGCCGCCGCTGCTGGTCAGCCGCGCGCTGCTCCGGCTCCTGGCCCTGGGCTCCGGGACGTGGGTGCGGGCGCGGCCCGTGCGCCGGCCGCCCGCGCTCAGCTGGGCGCTGCTGGGCACGGGGCCGGGCCCCGCGCTCGCGCCGCGGGTCGGGCCGCTGCTGGTGCGGCGCGGAGAGACGCTGCCGGCGGCCGGCCCGCGGGTGCTGGAGACGCGGCCGGCGCTGCAAGGGCTGCTGGGGCCAGGGACGCGGCTGGCCGTGACCGAGCTCCGGGGCCGGGCCAAGCCGGGCCCCGAGACGGGGGACGTCGGCCGGCCCCCGCCTCCGCCGCTGGTGTCCTCCTTCGCGGCTTGCCCCACCGCCCGGCGGCTTCGGGGCGTGCTGGGAGGGACGGGCGAGTCCCTGGGCGTGAGCCGGCGCTGTCTCCGGAACCTCGGCCTCTTCCAGGGGGAGTGGGTGTGGGTGACCCGGGCTGGGGAGGCGGCCAGCACTGGCCAGCCGCACCTGGCCACGGTGCAGGCGATCGAGCCTCCCTGGGACCTCGCCGGGAGACTGGGCCCCGGCGCTGGGCAGCTGGAGGAGCCCCTCGCCGACGAACTGGCCTTCTTGCCTGCCACTCTGGTTTTTAATCTTGGCTGTGATCCCTTGGAAGTGGGAGAGCTCAGAATTCAGGTAGGACCCAGGGCTGGGTCAGAAAGGTCCTCCTTATCCCCACTGCTGCTGCTTTAAAATAATAATAATAATAATAATAATAATAATTGACACGAGAACCGTGATTTCAAGTTAGGACAGTAGAGTTTCAGGCATACAGTGTTCTGGTACCAATCCCACCACCACTGTCAACTTCCTTCCTCCGGTGTTCAAGTTTCCTGCCAGCTGCCATCTCTTTTTTTTTTGTTTTGTTTGCTTTGGGGCCACATCCTGCGGTGCTCAGGGATTACAGGAATAACTTCCGGTGGTCTACAGGGACCAGATGGGATGCTGAGGATTGAACCTGGGTGGGCCGAATGCTAGACAAAGGGCGCAGCCTTCTGTGCTGTCACTCCAAGTCCCCAGCCTCCATCTTGACAGGCACATTTTAATGTTCGGTGCTTGTAATTTTTTTTTTTTTTGCTTTTTTGGGTCATACCCCGCGATGCACAGGAGTTACTCCTGGTTCATGCACTCAGGAATTAACTCCTGGTGGTGCTCGGGGAGCCATATGGGATGCTGGGAATCGAATCTGGGTCGGCCACGTGCAAGGCAACCGCCCTCCCCGCTGTTGTGCTATTGCTCCAGCCCCGGTGCTTGTAATTTGGAGCTCATGTGTTCAGTGTTGTTGACTCTGCGATTTGGGGATGCAGCTCCACCACTCCCCAACATTACCAGAGTTCCTGAGGCCCCTGACCATAGCTGGTGAGTGGAGGGCCCTTACGCCTTAGGGCTTGGGCCTCGGGATCTCTCCCAGCCTTATTCCTCCAGTCTCCGAGGAGGCGGTGCAGTGAGAAGGGCTTTCACCTATTCAGCCTGGAAGTCAGTCTGCAGACTGTATTGATCTCGGTTCTTGGTTGAATTGCAAATATATCAGGGCTTCTGCTGGGTAGTAATGGAGAATAGTACTTCAGTCCATTTGCTCTTGCTTATCTTTTTTTTATTTTGGTGGGGAGGGGTGGGGGGGGTCCACATGCAACTGTGCTCAGGGCTTACCCCTGGCCCTGTGCTCAGGAAATAAGCCTGGATGGGCCCAAATCCAGATCTTCTCTGTGGAAGGCAAGCACCCGACCCCCTGTGTTGTCTCTCTAGCCCCTGCTTTTGCTTATCTTTGAGTTCAGATGCCTTCCTATTTGTTAAGATCTTGCCTTCTCCTTAAGGTCCATCTAAAGATGTCACTTTTTTTAAAACCTAGGACCACTTCTGGCAGTGCATTGGGGGGTGAAAAAGAGGGGTTATGCAATGCTGTGCTGGGGATAAATTTGCTCGACTTGTGCTCTGTCACAGCCTTTGAACTACCCCACTGCACCTCTTCTGTTTTTTCCCAACTGGGCTCATACGGTGTAGGGCCAAGGCACTATACTGCTGAGCTGGGCTGCCTCCCAAGACGCCCCCCACAAAGCCACGCATGTTCCTGTCACCACACTTGTCACAGGCCCCTCCTTTCTCTTAGAGCTTTTTGTCTCTGCCCAGGGCATTTGTTTTGTTCTTCCATAGGCTAGAGGATGTGAGTCAGTGGTAGAGCACATGCCTTGAATGTGTGAGCCTGAGTTCCGCAATCAGTACTGCAAAAAAAAAAAAATAAAATAATCTATTTCCAAGAGTTTTTTTTTTAATTTCCTGCCTTCAAGTTGCTTAATTAAAAAATAATTGTATTTGGGGAGACAGATACAGTTTTAAAGTTTCATTAAATATATGGATGGATGATTTACATCTGTAGGGTCCAGTATGAAAAGCCACTGGCCACATCGTGGCTCGTAAATTAATTAAAATTGAAACCTGAGTTCCTGGGGGTGCTTTAGTCACATGTCGGGTGCTCCGCTGGCTCACGCAGATGGATGGGGAACCTTTCTGTCACTGGCGAAGCTGCACGTACTGATGTTGGCAGAGATCGGGCAGCCTAAGCTCGGCAGGAGTGGGAATGGACTTAGAGCTCACACAATGGTGCTCGTCCACTCACTCAATTCTTTTACCTTCCCTGAGGCTAGACCCTGCCCCACAGCCTGAATTCAGTGTCCCCAGTAACGCCTACTTGCCCTCAATCCACTGGTCCCTTGTGTCATTCCAGGAACTTGTGGGACAAAGGTGTTTCTACTGTCTCACTGACCCCCAATCAACCTAAAGATGTTCTTGTTGTCTGCTCTTCTCTCTCTCTCTCTCTCTCTCTCTCTCTCTCTCTCTCTCTCTCTCTCATTTTTTGGGCCACACCCAGTGGAGTTCAGGGCTTACTCCTGAATCAACACTCAGGGATCACTCCTGGCTGGGCTTGAGGGACTGTATGGGGTGCTAGAAATAGAACCTGGTTCAAGGCAAGGGCCCTCCCAGCTGTACTATCTCTCCAACCCCTGGTCTCTGAGTTGTCAGGATTATGGGACTTCTGGGACCTAGGCCACACCTTGTACAGGATAACTTGTTATGGGAAGGATGGAGGATGAAAATAGATGAGGGGGGGCTGGAGCGATAGCACAGCGGGGAGGGCGTCTGCCTTGCACGTGGCCCACCCAGGTTTGACTCCCAGCATCCCCTATGGTCCCCCGAGCACCGCCAGGAGTAATTCCTGAGTGCAGAGCCAGGAGGAACCCCTGAGCATCACCGGGTGTGACCCAAAAAGAAAAAAAAAAGAAAGAATAGATGAGCGGCTCAGAGAGGGCCGAGCTGACTCCCTGGCAGCAGGTTATAAAGTGGCAGTTATTTCTTGGCTAGAGGTTCTCGGAAAGCAGCAGCACCCCTGAAGACCAGAGAAGCTGCTCCATGCTGTCTGGGCCACCGTTTGCTAAAGAGCTGCACGTCGAGATCGTGTCCTCTCCCCATTACAGCACTAGCGGGAACTATGACCGTGTTCTCTACCGGCACTTTCAGACGCCCAGGTTAGCGGCACAGTGCTGTCAGGAAGGTGGCACACCACCTGGCTACTCCCTCTCCTTCCCTCCCCATCTTCGAGCCTCTATCCTTTCCTTCCTGGATCATATATTTATGTGGAGGGCACATCCGGCAGTGCCGGGGAGGGAACCCAGAGCCTTGCATATGCCAGGCCACTTCCCCAAACCCTGAACCACTGGTGCCACACCTGACGTTACTTAGAGCTTACTCTGACTCTGCACTCAGAGATCACTCCTGTTGGGGCTCAGGGGACCACAGGGGGTATTGGGGATAGAACCCGGGTACAGCTTACCAACTTTTACCCTCTAACTTTTTATACCCTCTATTTTTTTTTTTTTTTTTTTTTTTGCTTTTTGGGTCACACCTGGCACTGCTCAGGGGTTACTCCTGGCTCCTCACTCAGGAATTACTCCTGGCGGTGCTCGGGGGACCATATGGGATGCTGGGAATCGAACCCATGTCGGCCATGTTGGCTGCATGCAAGGCAAACGCCCTACCCGCTGTGCTACTGCTCCAGCCCCTACCCTCTAACTTTTTAAGAGGTTTAAAAAATTTTTCAAGGCACCATTTCAGGGGCTATTGTGGCTCGAAACTTCTTTCTTTTTTTTTTTTTTTTTTTTTTTTTGCTTTTTTGGGTCACATCCGGCGATACACAGGGGTCACTCTTGGCTCATGCACTCAGGAATTAACTCCTGGCAGTGCTCGGGGGACCCTATGGGATGCTGGGAATCGAACCCGGGTCGGCCGCGTGCAAGGCAAACGCTCTACCCGCTGTGCTATCGCTCCAGCCCCGTGGCTCAAAACTTCTTGTGACGTTAGATAATAGCAGAGAGATCTGAGCTGTGAGGTGTGTGTAGACTTGCAACATTGGGACAAACCTCTCTGATGTGAGAGGACCAGGAAAGAGCCAACTTCACCTCTCTGGCCCGGGCCTCTGCTCTTCCTCCTGCCCCTGGAGGGGTCCCTTGTTTCTGCAGGACAGCTTGGGATCTCTGGGTGGAATGGAAGCCCCTTAGAAGGGGATTGCAGGGGCTGGAGCGATAGCACAGCGGGTAAGGCAGTTGCCTTGCACACAGCCAACATGGCCAACACAGGTTCGATTCCCAGCATCCCATATGGTCCCCTGAGCACCGCCAGGAGCAATTCCTGAGTGCATGAGCCTGGAGTAAAAAAAAAAGGGGGGGGATTGCACACCAAAGGGGGCGGAAAGGAGCCGGCCCATACCCTCGACTCCTTGTGAGCTGATTGGAGCCACTGCTGTGTTGCAGGGCAGTCCAGGAAGGAGATGTTCTGTGTGTGTCAACAGTTGGGCAAGCAGAGACCCTGGAAGGAAGCCCAGAGCAGCTGCCCAGGTGATGAGGGAGGGGACAGCCTCTTGCCCCGGGCAGCAGGAGAGGGCCTGTGGACGGGACTCAGTCAGTGTCTCTCCCCGCAGGTGGTGGGACGTGTATTTTAAAGTGAAAAAAACAGTTGGAGAAGCTGTGTCTGGGCCAGCCAGTGCCTACTTGGCCGACACCACCCACACCTCCTTGTACCTGGTGAGGTCCCCCGAGGTGCCGGGGGAGGGGAGTCTGGGAAAAGGTGCCCCAAGGACCTGTGGGAACCCAAGCTTCCTCCCACCTTCCCAGGTGGGCTCCACTCTCAGTTCTGTGCCTTCGGCCCCGGCCACTCTCTGGCACAGCCTGTCTCCACCGGGCCTGGAGGCCCTGGTGACCGAGCTCTGTGCTGCCCTGAAGCCTCGCCTCCACCCGGGGTGAGTGAGCTGCAGGGTAGACGGGGCGAGATGGGGCACCCCCTCAAACCAGGGGGCCACAGGGGCTGGAGCGAGAGCACAGCAGGGAGGGCAATCTCCTGGCAACTGGTCGACCTGGGTTTGATCCCCGGCATACAGTGAGGTCCTCCGAACACCGCCAGGAGTAATTCCTGAATGTGGAACCACGAGTAACCGCCCTGAACATCTCCGGGTGTGACCCAAAAAGAAAGAAAAGTCCCAGCGGGGCCCAGGCCCGGTCCTTCCAAGTCCCTGCCCAGGTAGCCTCGTCATCCACTGTAGGCAAGTCAGGGGGAGAATGTCCCCAGGGACAGCTGTCTCCTCTTGAGGAGCTCCTAGGCCCTCTGGCTTTCACCACAGACCCCCTCGTTCATTCCCCTTGAGGGAATTCATCTACGTGTGTGTGATTTTTGGGGGGGAACTGGCACAGCCAGCAGTGCTGAGGGTAAGTGCGTAGGTGGGCCCTGGGGTGTGGACCTCAGAGTTCACTGTGGCACTCAGTGGGGTGGGCAAGGAGGGCCGTGCATGCAGTGCCCAGGTCCGAACCCCCACGTCCTAGGCGTGTGCTCTACCCCATGGCCTCAGCCTGAGAAGCAGCCTCGTCTTCTAGCTACGTCTTCCGCCCCTGCCTGAGCCTCCTGCTGGGGGCAGGCTTTGGGGGGGATACTCAGTGAGGGAGGAGCGGGGTACAGCCACGGGTCCCTGTGCCTCTGGCCGGATGGGCAAGCAGGTGTGTCCCTTCTCTGGGTGCAGGGGGGCACTGCTGACAGGAGTGGGCGCTGTCCTCCTGCGGGGCCCCCCGGGCAGCGGGAAGAGCACAGCCGTGGCTGCCGCCTGCAGCCGTCTGGGACTGCATCTGCTGAAGGTGAGTCCACTTCGCAAGAAGGACCTCCCCCCCACCCCCCGCCCGGGGCTGGAGCAATAGCACAGTAGGTAGGGCGTTTGCCTTGCACTCGGCCAACCTGGGTTCGATTCCCAGCATCTCATATGGTCCCCTGAGCACCGCCAGGGGTAATTCCTGAGTGCAGAGCCAGGAGTAACCCCTGTGCATTGCCAGGTGTGACTTAAAAAGCAAAAAAAAAAGGACCTCCCCAGCCTCCCCTCCCCACCTCAAATTCTCCCTCCCCCGCCCAGTGGCCACCCAAGGGCGGGTGTTATGATCTAGGTGAACGGTCCAGAGAGTAGGACTCCGCTAGCGTTCATTTTCCTCTCTACCGGCCTAATAGGGGTGCCTCCACCCTCAGACTCCTCCCCTCACCTTCCATCCCCACTCACACGTCCCCCGGCTCACAGACCCTCGGGGATTGCCGCCCCCCCCACCCCACCCGCCAGGTGCCCTGTTCCAGCCTCTGTGCAGACAGCAGCGGAGCGGCGGAGACCAAGCTGCAGGCCGCCTTCTCCCGGGCCCGGGGCTGCCGGCCGGTGGTTCTGCTGCTGACAGCTGCACACCTGCTGGGCCGGGACCGCGACGGGCTGGGTGAGGATGCCCGCGTGGTGGCCACGCTGCGCCGGCTGCTCCTGGACGAGGACCCCCAGAGCAGGTACCAGATCGGGCCGCTGTGCCCACCCATCTCACTGACTTCATGGGCTCAGGGCTGACTCCCGGTTCTGGGCTCAGGGATCACCCCGAGTGGGGCTCGGGGGACCCTGTGTGGTTCCAGGGATCCGACCCAGGTTGGCAGCATGCAAAGCAAGTGCCCCACCCGTGGTAGTCTCTCTGGCCCCCATCCCCAACCTTTCTTCCTTTATTTTTTTGTTTGTTGTTGGGAGGGTCACACCCAGCATCACTGGGGGCTGGAGTGGCTCTCTGAGGTGCCGGGGATTGAACCCGGGAACTCACGTGTGCAAGGCATGATTTTGCTCCTGACTCACTTCGCTGGCCCCGGCCCCCTCCTGCCTCCCCGCTCCCCTCTGAGCTCAAGGGAGGGGTCCTGGCTCCTAAATTTTCTTGAGGGACATTGAGTTGAAGATACAGGGGAGCAGGCTGCTTGGGGAGGGGCCAACCCAGGTTTGATCCCCGGCACCGCGCAGGGTCCCCTGAACCCTGCCAGGAGTAAGCCCCGAGCCCCACGGGGTGTGACCCCAAAACCAAAAGCCACAAAAGAAGATGAAGGGGCACCGGAGCTCTTAGGGAGGCCCCTCTCCCCGGCGCTCCCCTGCGGGGCGCTCCTGCACGCCGCTGCCTCCCCGGCCCTCAGTGCCGCTGGTCTGTCCACAGTGGGCCTCCCCTCATGGTGGTGGCGGCCACCAGCCGGGCCCAGGACATGCCCGCCGATGTGCTCACGGCCTTCCCCCACGAGCTGGAGGTGCCCGTGCTCAGCGAGGCGCAGCGGCTCAGTGTCCTGCGCGCTCTCACGGCCCACCTGCCCCTCGGCCAGGAGGTGAGCCTGGCACAGCTGGCACGGCGCTGTGCGGTGAGTACTGAGGCGGGGGGGGACGCCCTGGCACCACTGGGGGCCTGCTAAGGGGGTAGCAGTCCCCCATGGACTCCGTCCTGTGCTTCCCCAGGGCTTTGTGGTGGGAGATCTCCAGGCTCTCGTGGCCCACAGCAGCCGGGCAGCCTGCAGCAGGATCAGGCACGCAGGGTGAGGAAGGGGGGCATCAGGTGGGGGGCGGCTGGGGAGGAGGGGAGCAGGCCGGAGGTCCTGGGGGAGGGGAGGGCCCTCCAGAGGCTGCTCTGGTCTTCCTCTGCAGCGAAGAGGAGGAGGCGTCGCTGTGTGCCGCCGGCTTCCCCCTCCTGGCCGAGGACTTCGGGCAGGCCCTGGAGCAGCTGCAGGCCGCTCACTCCCGCGCCGTGGGAGCCCCCAAGGTAGATGTGCAGGGCCCTCGCCCACGCCCCACCAGCACGTCCCCCGCGGCACGCTGACCCGTCCCCAGTGGCATGCTGACTGGTCCCCAGCAGCATGCTGACCCATCCCCAGCATGTCACCAGCAGCACGCTGACCCGTCCCCAGTGGCATGCTGACCGGTCCCCAGCACGTCCCCAGCACGTACCCGGCGGCACGTTGACCCGTCCCCAGCACATCCCTAGCGGCACACTGACCTGTCCCCAGCACGTCCCCAGCAGCATGCTGACCCATCCCCAGCATGTCACCAGCATGTCACCAGCTGACCCATCCCTAGCACGTCCCCGGTGGCACGCTGACCCGTCCCCAGTGACACGCTGACCCGTCCCCAGATGTCCCCAGCGGCACGCTGACCCGTCCCCAGCACGTCCCCCGCAGCATGCTGACCCATCCCCAGCATGTCACCAGCGGCACGCTGACCCGTCCCCAGTGACACGCTGACCCGTCCCCAGACGTCCCCAGCAGCACGCTGACCCGTCCCCAGCATGTCCCCAGCGGCACACTGACCCGCCCCCAGTGGTACGCTGACCTGTTCCCAGCAGCACGCTGACCCGTCCCCAGACATCCCCACCGGCACGCTGACCCATCCCCAGCACATTCCCAGTAGCACGTTGACCCGTCCCCAGTGGTACGCTGACCTGTCCCCAGCATATCCCTGGTGGCACGCTGACCCGTCCCTACCGCGTCCCCAGCAGCATGCTGACCCATCCCCAGCATGTCCCCAGCCGCACGCGCTGACCCGTCCCCAGCACGTCCCCGGCGGCACGCTGACCCGCCCCTCTGCACTGTCCCACCTGTCCCCCAGATCCCCTCCGTGTCCTGGCACGACGTGGGCGGGCTGCAGGAGGTGAAGCGGGAGATCCTAGAGACCATCCAGCTGCCCCTGGAGCACCCCGAGCTGCTGACCCTGGGGCTGAGGCGCTCGGGCCTTCTGCTGCACGGGCCCCCGGGCACCGGCAAGACCCTCCTGGCCAAGGCCGTGGCCACCGAGTGCAGCCTCACCTTCCTCAGGTGCGGCGGAGGGAGCGGGAGGGGCCGACCGAGAGGGCGCCTGAGCGGTCGCGGGCCTCACACCCCTTCCTGTCCTCTCCGTCAGCGTGAAGGGGCCTGAGCTCATCAACATGTACGTGGGCCAGAGCGAGGAGAACGTGCGGGAAGGTGAGGCTGGGGGAGCCCCGTCCAGGGCGCTGCTGGACACTCCCCACCCTCTTGCCCCGTTCACTTCCGGTCAGGTGGGGCGGCTGGGCCGCTCGTGTTGGACGGCCGAACCCGACCCTTCCCGGGCTGACATCCAGCCCCTCCGAGCGCCCCCACTCTATGCGCCCCCCCTCTCTGCTCAGTATTTGCCAGGGCCAGGGCCGCGGCTCCCTGTATCATCTTCTTCGATGAACTGGACTCCTTGGCCCCAAGCCGGGGCCGAAGTGGCGATTCTGGAGGCGTGATGGACAGGTGGGAGGCCTGTACCCCAGAAAACGGGGAGGTGGGGCCTGTGTCTTGTGGGCCTGGAGCTCCTGCACTTCTGGTTCAGAGTACTAGCCGGGGGTCCTGGGGGCTCTGCCCGGGGGGCAGCGGGCTGGAAGGACACCTGCCCAGCTCGCACTGTGTCCCCACAGGGTGGTGTCCCAGCTCCTGGCTGAGCTGGACGGGCTCCACAGCTCCCGGGATGTGTTCGTGATCGGAGCCACCAACCGACCGGACCTCCTGGACCCCGCCCTCCTGCGGCCTGGCCGGTGCGTGCCCAGAACGCCCCCTCTCCTTCAGCCTCATCGGGGCCAGGGCCTGGACCCCATCCCCATGCCACTCTGCCTGCTGGCACCCTGAGGGCCCCGCCTCTCTCCCTGCAGATTCGACAAGCTGGTTTTTGTGGGGGTCAGCGAGGACCGTGCCTCCCAGCTGCGGGTGCTGAGTGCCATCACGCGCAAGTAGGATGCCTCTCCAGGGCCGCCCCCAAAGGGCGGGGACCTCACAGAGCCCCCGGGGGCTGGAGGGGCTTGGGGGGAGCAGTCATCCTGTTTTCCCGGCTTTCCCACCACAGGTTCAAGCTGGAGCCGGCTGTGAGCCTGGTGCACGTGCTGGACCGCTGCCCACCCCAGCTGACCGGCGCTGACCTCTACTCCCTCTGCTCAGATGCCATGACCACAGCCCTCAAACGCAGGGTTCGGGAGCTGGAGGAGGGTGAGCCGGGCCCCGGAACCAGGCCCCGTCTGGGCGCGGCGTGGGGGAAGTCAGGGCGGAGGGTCCCTTCCCCGGGACTGGCCGTGGCCTCATCTGCTCCTGTCCCCCACCAGGGCTGGAGAGCGGGAACTCAGCGCTGCAGCTCACCATGGACGATCTGCTGCAGGCCGCCGCCCGGCTGCAGCCCTCGGTCAGCGAGCAAGACATGCTGCGCTACAAACGCATCCAGCGCAAGTTTGCGGCCTGACTCAGCCCTGCGGCCGGCCGCGCTTCTGGGACTCAGTTGTGTGAGGCCTGGCTTCCCACGCCTCACGGAGCATCCGCTTCATGAGTCCAGTTCCTGAGCACTCTCGGGGACTTGGAGAAGCAAGGGCTCTTCCCCAAGCCACCGGAAGACCCCCAGGAGTCCCCCCTGCCGTCTGCCTGCTCCCCTCCCAGGACAGCCCAAGACAGAAGCCCATCTGCTCAGAAGGAAGATGGGGCTTGGGGTGCTGGGGATGGGAGGGACCCCAGCGAGTCTCCAACTGTGGCTGAAAATAAAGTGTCTGCTGCCCCCTGCTGGAAGTGTGCGGAGGGGTTGGGTGGAACCCAAGGCCATGGCAGGCAGATGCCCCTGGGGAAGAGACCAAGAGGGCATCAGCCTCATCTTTGTTGTTTTGTTTCGACCACACCCAGCGGGGCTCAGGGCTTCCTCCCAGCTTTCCCCCTCTTGCTGTGTATTGCCTGGCCCTCGTCTTTATTTATTTATTTATTTTATTTTTTGGCTTTTTTGGGTCACGCCCGGCAATGCACAGGGGTTCCTCCTGGCTCTGCACTCAGGAATTATCCCTGGCGGTGCTCAGGGGACCATATGGGATGCTGGGAACCAAACCCAGGTTGGTCACATGCAAGGCAAACGCCCTACCCGCTGTGCTGTTGCTCCAGCCCCATTCGTCTTTGTTTTTTTCTGTTTGTTTGAGCTTGGGACCCAGTGATGTGCAAAGGCCATTCCTGGGCTCTGTGCTCAGGTAGTTCCGGGAAACCAGAAATGCCCGGGACTGAAGCAGGGTGAACTGCATGCGAGGAAGGAGCCTGTCTGTGGGCCAAGGGTCTCGTCTTTAGGCATAAACACAAGGCAGGTGGCAACTGAACAAGGTGCACACTGTGTGTATTGTTCACCCCTCAGAGGCATCAGCCCGAACCCTCATTCCTTGGCTGTTGTCAGCTGCACCCCACACCGTCAGGGCAGGGCCCCAGGGGCCGAGCTTGGTGGTGGGGCTGCAGGTCCCCATCTCCCGGAACTGCAAGAGCTGAGAGGCCCCGCTCAGCCCGTTCTCTTCAGCACGTGGATGAAGTAACAGGGGACGTAGGCCTGGTCAGGCTTGTAGGGCTTGAAGTCGCCGAGGACACTGTGCTGGCACTTGCCCCCGAAGGCACCACGGAGCAGCTCCGAGAAGGACGCCAGGCAGTGTGGGTAGTAGGAGAGCCGGAATTTGCTGCAACGGAGCCCCGGTCCAGCCCGAAGATGAGCGCCGGGCACCCCTTCTTCCCCCACCCCCACGCCCGCCGAGCCCACGGGATACCTCAAGCCAGCAGCGCCCCCCTGGCCAGCTCCGGGCACCTGCACGGTGTAATCCAGGGTGACCATGTGGGCCTTGTTATTCACCGTCAGCACCGACGTCGTGATGTCCTTGGTCAAGTCACTCTAGGTGGGGACGCAGGGGGACAGGGCCTCAGCCTCTGCGGCCCCTCTGGAGCCTGTACCCCAGATGGCACCTCCCCCAGCGGCCCCACCTTATAGTAGATGTTCTTGCCAGGGGGCGCGCAGCCTGTGCTGAGGATGTGGTCGTAGTTGCGATGGTCGATGACCAGCACGCCCCCGGGCCGCACCTTGCTCGCGATGTTCTTCAGGGCCAGCCGGTGCTCACTCTGGTCCCCTGAGCTCCAGGTAGGGGCAGAGGCTGAGTCGGCTCCCGGGCCCCTGCACCCCTCCCCCACCCAGCTCTCCTCCCTGGGGGGCCTTGCCAAGGAGGAGGAGACAGAAAGCTGAGTGCTGTCGCAGGAGCGTGGACATCCATGATAGGTGGATGTGGGGAGCCAATGCCAGGACCCTGCCCGGGCTTCCTAACCCCCCGCTCACCTGTGCTGTCCGGCAAGTGGGCAAAACTGTTTCCCAGGCAGATGACCGCATCAAAGCCCCCTCCTGGAGGCTGGGGCACATCTTTGTCTAGGGTCATCCAGTTGGCTTCCTCGATGACTGGGGGCCAGCAAGGGGAAGAGGAATCAGGGTGGCACCACAGTGCCAGCAGCACCCACCTTCACTGAGTCTAGCCCTGCCTCAGTTTACCCTCAAAGACACATATGAATACCCAGGGGTTTTTTTGAATCCCCAAGTTTTTTTTTCTTTTTGGGGGTCACACCAGGGAGTACTCAGGGGTTACTCCTCATTCTGCACTTGGGAATCACTTCTGGCAGTGCACAGGGCACCATATGGAATTCCAGGGAGTGAACCCAGGACAGCCACATGCAAGGCAAGCGCCTTCCCCTCTGTACTATCTCTCCGGCCCCCTAAGTCCCCAGACTTAAGGGGGTGGAGAAGCTTATTAAAGGGAGGCAGAAGTAGACAAGGCGGGCTCCGTGCTTATGGGGCTTGGGGGATGTTTTTAATTTGGGGGGAGGGAGAGCCCCACACCTGGTGGTGCTCACTCCTGCTCTGTGCTCAGGGATCACTCCTGCTGGTGCTCAGGTGGCCCCAGGGGGATCAAATTAGTGTCAGTCTCATTCAAGGCAATGCACTGTCTACCCGCTACACTATCTCTCCAGTTGCACTGATGAGCTTTTACTGGCAGACAGAGACAAGATGCTACATTGTTAAAACTGACCCTTCACTGGGGTGGGAGAGATAAAATGGGACTTACATGTGGCCCATCTCGGTTAGATCCCCAGCACCACTTACAGTCGGTCCCCTGAGCACTGCGACAGGAGTAGCCCCTGAGTGCTTCCAGGTGTCACCCCAACCCCCCTGATGATAACAATAATAATAATAATAAATAAAACTGGCCTCATAACTCATTCCCGTGCAGACAGACAATGACAGCTGGTCCGTCTGGGTGCTGGGCATTGACCTTCATATATGTGAAGCATCTTCGCCACGCAGCGCCCTGTACCCTGCCCCCACATTTTTGCCTCGAAGAAAACAAAGCAGCCCACCCCCACTTCCAGGAGCCAAAAGAGGACCGTGACCCACATACCCCACTTGTCAAAGGCAGGCTCGTGCCGGCGGTTCCAGCGCTCCTTCAGCGCGTACTTCAGCATCTTGTCACTAGCGTCCACGCTGGTCACACTGAAACCCTCCTCCACCAGCATGATGGAGTCCACCCTGGGGTGGGGCAGGAGAGGAGGGTCAGGGCGCCCAGGAAGGCCAGAAGGAAGCCCGGGGCCTGGCCCCTCGACTGTGTGACTTCCCGTTCCTCTGGGTCTCCCAGTCTGCACAAGAGCCCTAAGCCTTTGTCCTGCTACCCAGCAGCCTTTCTTCAGAGCCCTGCAAGGAACCCTCCAGGCCGCCCGGGGAGGAGAGGGCGTTCTGCCCACGGCAGGAGCAAACTGAGGCCAGGTCTGCGCTGGGGCCGTGTGGGCGCCGGCGAGGCACAGGGCCCGACCTGGATCTCTGCCCGGGGCAGAGGGGTCAGGACTGGACTCCTCTGAGCTGTGTTTTTCACGCCTTCCCACCTGGAGTTTTATGAGGGTTTTCAAACACTGGTGGATCCAAAGTTCTTGGCCCGGAGCGAGCGCTGGCACGGGCAGGGCAGACGTAGCCAAATGTAAACCGTGAGCGCTGCCCAAGGCCAGCCAGCGCCCGGGGCGGGAACAATGCTGGAGCCCGCAGCCAACGCACGTCGGTCCGGCCGCGGAGGCCGCTCGGCCCCGCTCCTCCGGCCGGCTCGGCTCGGCTCGGCTCGGCTCGGGCCTCCCGGCTCCCTGCGTCCCCGGCGCGGGCCGTGCGCCCTGCCCCGCGCCCCTGCCCGCGCGACCCGGCTCCCGCTCCCGCTCCCCCCGGGCTCACCCAGTGCCGCAGGCCACGTCGAGCACCTTCTGGCAGCCGTGCTGGCGCAGCAGCCCGAGCAGCCAGGCCTTGTACTCGGCCGTGCGGCTGCTGGTGTCCCCGATGTACAGCTGCCACACGCGCGCCGCCTCGCCGTCGGCGTACTGGTCCGGGAGCCCCTCGGCCGCCACCCCCAGCGAGCGGGTCCGGTACACGCTGTCCTCCATCCCGCCACGCGCCCGGCCCGGCGGCCACCGGCCCCGCATTTATACTCGCGGGCTCGCGGCGGGGCCCCGGCCGCCCCACCTGCCCAATGGCAGGTGAGCACCGGGACACGCCCCTGCTGGGCGGCCGCCTCGGGGTGCCCGGCACGAGCCCCGCGCCCCGGCCCGCAGCGCCCGCCCTCCCCGGGCCGGGCACCGCCCTCCGCGCGCCCTGCCCACGAGCGCGCCCGCGGGGGGTCTCGGGAGGGCCGGCAGGGGAGGGGGCCCTCGCCCGCCCCGGGCCCGCGGGGAGAAGGGACTTCATCGTCCCCCCCACCCCACCCCCCAGCGCTGCTCCCTGCCCGGCCCCGCGGTGCGCCCCTAAAGGGGCGGCCGGCAGCCCCCCCCCCCCCCCCGACCCCGGGAGCCGGGACCTGGGCGTCCGTGCGGCGCCCGCTGGCGTGGCCATCCGAGTTCGGGAACAATTTTGGTCCAGGAATGATGATCCCGCCCACGTGGGGGCAGGTGTGCCTCTGTCGTGCGGGTGACGCACCGAACTTTCCACCCGGATCCTCCTGCCACTGCTCAGCCAGCTGGCACCGGGCAGTGCTCCCGGGAGCTTGTGGTGCGTGGGGGTCTCCCCACACGCAGAGCGCGCACTCCAGCCCCGTAAGCCACGTCCCCTGGGTTGGGTTGGTTTTAAACACTACCGGCTATGATATCTATTTCGTTTTAATTTTTGAAATTACTCATTGCGATTTTTTCTTTCTTTTTGGGTTTTGGGGGAGGGTCACACCAGATGGTGCTTAAGGCTGACTCCTGGCCCTGTGCTCAGGAGTGAGGGGCTTTAGTATACTCAGAGACGGGGACCCTGCGCTCGGTGATGGGGGCAGGGGCTAGGGAACTATCCAGCATGCCAGGGATTGAACCCGGGGTTGCAGCGTACAAGGTGAGCACTATACTGGCTGTCCTAATCATTCTGGGCCCGAGGGTTGGTTTATTTTTCCTTTTCATATAATGAAGCATTTGTTTGAAATCATACACATGAAATTTATATAAACAAATCCATTTGTGGGGGAGGCACACCTGGAGATGCTCAGGGGTTACTCCTGGAAGTGCTGGGGGGGACCATATGGGGTGCTGGGAATCGAACCCGGGTCGGCCGCATACATGGCAAACTCCCTACCCGCTGTGCTATCACTCCAGCCCCTCTTACTTTATTTTGGAGGTGGAGTTTGGATCAGACTCGGATGTACTCAGGGCTTACTCCAGGCTTTGTGCTCAAGAGTCCCTTCTGGAGGTGCTAAAGGTAAAGGTAAAGGTAAAGGCCCTCCCGTTGATCGTCGATTTGCTCGAGCGGGCCCAGTAACGTCTCCATTGGAGACTTTGTTGTTACTGTGTCTGGCATATCGAATACTCTCGGTAGCTTGCCGGGCTCTCCGAGAGGGGCGGAGGAATCGAACTCGGGTCGGATATGTTGGCCGTTTGTATGGCGAACACCCTACCCACTGTGCTATCGCTCCAGCTGGAGGTGCTAGGGGAGACAAAGGCGGTGCTGGAGGTTGAGCCAAGCGTGGACCACACACAAGGCAAGTGGCTTAACCCCGGAACTGGTTCTCTGGCCTCATATCTGTGTTCTAACATTCTCTTTTTCATCTCTTTCCTTGGGGGGGGGGTGTCACCTGTTGGTGCTCAGGACTAACACTTGGCTCTGTGCTCTGGGATCACTTCTAGAGAGGGCTTGAGGAACTCTATGTGATGCCTGGGATTGAACCCAAGTTGCCCATGAGCAAGGCAAGCGCCCTACCTGCTATCCTATCTTTCCATCCCCATTTCTAGCAATTTATCTTGCTGTTGTTGTTTTGGGGTCACCCCTGGCTTTGTTCAAAGCTTACTCCTGACTCTGTGCTCAGGGATCCTGTGGGGTTCAGGGGGAAATATAGGGTGCCAGAGATCCAATTTGCAAGGCAAAGCAAGCACCCTACCTCTATCTCTCCAGCTTCTCTAGCAATTCATTTACTGTTCGTGTGTGTGTGAGAGAGAGGAAGAGAGAGAGAGAGAGAGAGAGAGAGAGAGAGAGAGAGAGAGAGAGAGGAACAAGATAGTTTTTATTGAATGAAACTTATCCAGAAAGATGTGGGGGAGAGAGAGAAGAAGCATACATTCAAGAGAAGAGAGAACATGGTGTTTGCTTCGGCAGCACATATATTAAAGTTAGAACAATACAGAGAATATTAGCATGGCTCCTGCTCAAAGATGACACGCAAATTTGTGAAGCATTTCATATTTTTAAATCTATTCCTGGACCACATGGCCACGGATGTGACATCTCATACCTCACGCCACTCATTCTCCCAGAGTAGCCACCACATTTGATGGAGTTTGAAGTAGAAGCTTAGAGTGAAACATACACACACACACACACACACACACACACACACACACACACACTTGAGAGCTTGCCTGGCTCTCTGAGAGGGGCGGAGGAATCGAACCTGGCTCGGCCAGGCTGGCTGCACACAAGGCAAACCACAAAGGCACAACTCTTTAACAACATTAGTGCTGGAGCACTAGCACAGCGGATAGGGTGTTTGCCTTGCACACGGCTGACCTGGGTTCGATTCCCAGCATCCCATATGGTCCCCTGAGCCCTACCAGGAGTAATTCCTGAGTGCATGAGCCAGGAATAACCCCCGTGCATTGCTGAGTGTAACCCAAAAAGCAAAAACAAAAAAAACAGAAACAACATAAAAACTATCTTGCTTGACAAAGAAAAGAAAAAGCATGCAAAGAGAGAGCAGGCAAGATACACGTTGAAGGACAAACACAAGCTTGAAGAGCGAGCCTCTTTACTGGCTCTATAGCCGCTGTCTGTGCATTTATCACAAACCTTCTTTCACTTGTTTCTGTATCTGTGGGAAGTCCATTCAATGTTTTCAATCTTCCAAAATATAGTATACAGTTGGGCTGGAGCGATAGCACAGCGGGTAGGGTGTTCGCCTTACACGCGGCCAACATGGCCGACCCGAGTTCGATTCCTCCGCCCCTCTCGGAGAGCCCAGCAAGCTACCGAGAGTATTGGATATGCCAGACACAGTAACAACAAAGTCTCCAATGGAGACGTTACTGGGCCCGCTTGAGCAAATCGACGATCAACGGGAGGGCCTTTACCTTTACCTTTACCTATAGTATAGAGTTAATTTGCTTTTCAGAAGTAAAAGGTAAAGGTAAAGGCCCTCCCGTTGATCGTCGATTTGCTCGAGCGGGCCCAGTAACGTCTCCATTGGAGACTTTGTTGTTACTGTGTCTGGCATATCGAATACTCTCGGTAGCTTGCCAGGCTCTCCGAGAGGGGCGGAGGAATCGAACTCGGGTCGGCCATGTTGGCCGCGTGTAAGGCGAACGCCCTACCCGCTGTGCTATCGCTCCAGCCCAGGGTGTAAGGCAAATGCGTCAACTTTTCTTCTATCCAGCGTGGTCCCTTCCAACAGAGTGACACCTGGGTAACTGTGACAAAACCATTCTCCAAGTGGAACTTTTCTCTTCATACTGTCACTCGAAACAAATGTTCATTTTAACTCTTCTCCACACACAGATATTATTCATTGATATTTCATTAGGTAGGAAATTGTATCTCATCATGGTAATCCTTTAAAATTATTATCAAAATGTGCCAAATAATTATAATCATTAATCCCTAAATTGTCCATGCCCTCTGCCTATCGACATATATTGAAACTGCCATTTGTTTTAGTTCCTTTGAATTTTCCGGGGCCGAGACCTCCAAGCCTACTCGAATTGGAGTCGAGCATCTTCCACCCAGATCCTCCAAATTCCAGTAGGCGGGGGTCACACCCACCACCTGGCCCCCTGGCGCCGTGTAATCCCATCAGCGGCCAAGACTCAGAGACTATAAAATCCAGATCCCGGACGAGAGCAGTGCAGTCTCTGCCCCCGCGCCTGGGTGTTCCTTCCCGGAGTCCCTTGGAGGGGAGCGGGTTGAGCTTTCCTCCCCGCCCCGACCAGGGCTACGGCAGCCGAAGACCTCCAGGACCAGCCACCACCATGCTGAGACCACTCTCCGCACACATGAAGGTACTGGCAGAGGGACAAAGCCACGCGGGTTCCGGGGCCGAGACCTCCAAGCCTACTCGAATTGGAGTTGAGCATCTTCCACCCAGATCCTCCAAATTCCAGTAGGCGGGGGTCACACCCACCACCTGGCCCCCTGGCGCCGTGTAATCCCATCAGCGGCCAAGACTCAGAGACTATAAAATCCAGATCCCGGAACCGCGCGGCTGCATTCGCGGCCGCGCGACATCTTAACAGAACTTTTTTTTATGACATCTTATTGTCTTATTCCTACTTTGGACAAACTTGCAGGCTATCGAATGTAGCCTGCCCACAGGGCAGAGTCTGGCAAACTCCCCGTGGCGTACCAAATATGCCAAATACCAGTAACAATGATGGGTCTCATTCTCCTAAATAGCCTTGAATATAATCTCAGGGCTAGGATGAAAGAGACGTTACTGGGGCCTGCTCGAGGCAATCGACGATTAACAGGATGATGAAATGAAATGAAATGAAATGAATTTTAGACAACTGAGACCTGAGGCTCTCGTTCATGGAGGAATACCAAACATTCTTAGAGATATTCGATAAATTAAAATATTTTACATAGCCAGAGAGAGGCACGGATTATAAATCAATGCATAATATGGCTTACCTGAAAATAAGGTGCTATTTTTATTTGATTTAGTTTTAGTTTTGAAACCACACCTGGCTATAGTCAGGTTCTACTTCCGGTGTACATCAGGAGTTACCCCTTGTGGTGCTGGGGGACCCTGCGGTGCTGGGGATCGAACGTGGTTCTCCTGCTTGTAGAGCACTTGTTTGATCCCTTTAATGCATCTCTTTGGCCCTACGCTGTTATTTGTGGGGAAGGGCACACACAGCTGTGCTCTTGGATTGCTCCTGGCAGTGCTCAGAGTTTACTCCTGACCCTATACTTAGGAATGATTCTTGGGGACCATATCACTCCTGGGATTGAACCTGGGCCAGCCATGCACAAAGCAAGCCCCTTACCCACCGTACTCTGGCACCCAGAACTCATTTTTCAGTTGATGAGTGCCAATGGGCTGGGGAAATTGCTTAAATGGTGGAGCACCTGCTAACGTGTGCAAGGCCCTGAGTTTGATCCCTGACACTGTTGGTCCCCCTGGACACTGCTGAGTATGGCTCCTATCTTTAAAAAAAAAAAAAGATAGGGGAAGCTGGAGACAGTACAGTGGGTAGGGCACTTCCTTGCACACGGCTGACTCAGGTTCAATTCCTGGCACCATATATGGTCCCCCTGTGCACCTCCAGTAGTAATCCCTGGAATCACCAGGTGTGGCTCAAAAACAGGCTAACAAAATAAGCAATAAAAAAGTATCCTTGGTGGGGCTGGAGAGATAGCACAGCGGGTAGGGCGTTTGCCTTGCATGCAGCCAACCCGGTTTCAATTCCCAGCATCCCATATGGTCCCCTGAGCACTGCCAGGCATAATTCCTGAGTGCAGAGCCAGGAGTAACCCCTGTGCATTGCATCGCCGGGTGTGACCCGGATCACAGATCACAGATCATCCTGTTATTCGTCGATTGCCTCGAGCAGGCCGGCCCCAGTAACGTCTCCTTCATCCTAGCCCTGAGATTATATTCAAGGCTCTTTAGGAGAATGAGACCCATCATTGTTACTGGTATTTGGCATATTGGGTACGACACAGCGAGTTTGCCAGACTCTGCTGTGTGGGCAGGTTACATTCAGGAGCCTGCCAGTTTGTCAAAGTAGGAATGAGATGTCATAATAAAATGTCGCGCGGCCGCAAATGCAGCCGCGCGGTTCCAGGATCTGGTTTTTATAGTCTCTGAGTCTTGGCCGCTGATGGGACTACATGGCGCCAGGGGGCCAGGTGGTGGGTGTGACCCCTGCGTACTGGAATTCGGAGGATCTGGGTGGAGGATGCTCGACTCCAATCCGAGTAGGCTTGGAGATCTCGGCCCCAGAACCCACGTGGCTTTGTCCCTCTGCTGGTACCTTCAGGTGTGCAGAGAGTGGTCTCAGCATGGTGGTGTCTGGTCCTGGAGGTCATCGGCTGCCGGAGCCCTGGTCGGGGCGGGGAGGAAAGCTCAACCCGCTCCCCTCCAACGGGCCCTGGCGAGGAACAGCCAGGCGCAGGGGCAGACTGGGTATGACCCAAAAAGCAAAAAAAAAATATCCTTGGGGCTAAAGCAATTTGGAGGGAAGTACATCAGGCATTGTAGCTTCAGGTAGGGCTAGAGTGATATCACAGTGGGTAGGGCGCCTTGCACACGGCTGACCCGGTTCGATTCCTCCATCCCTCTCGGCGAGCCCGGCAAGCTTCTGAGAGTATCCTGCCTGCACAGCAGAGCCTGGCAAGTTCCCCGCAGCATATTCAATATGCCAAAAACATTAACAACAAGCCTCACAATGGAGATGTTACTGGTGCCCACGCGAGCGAATCGATGAACAACGGGAGGACAGTGTTACAGTGCTACATCAGGTAGACCATTTGCCTTGCACACGACTGACCCGGGTTTGATCCCTGGCACCATTCATGGTCTTCCATCAGGAATGATTCCTGAGCACAGAGCCAGGAGTAAGCCCTGAGCACTGCCAGGTGTGTCCCCAAAACAAACAACAACCAAAAAAGGATGCTTTCATGTTTTAATATTATTTTTTTGTTTGTTTGGGGGATATACTCAGCAGTGCTGGTGGCGGTGCTTCTGGCTCTGCTGGGGAGAGAACCCAGGCCTCCTGCATGCACAGCGTATACTCAGGCTGGCGAGCATCTCTGTGTCCCTGAAATTTAATTTCTTTTTTGCTATTTTGGGCTATTCCTAGCAGTGCTTGGGGGTTACTCCTTGTTCTGTGCTTAGGGGTCATTTCCTACAGTGCTCGGAGGATGAGGCTGTGTGAGGAATTAAAGCTGGGCTAGTGACATGTAAGACAAGATTCTTTTTTTTTTTTTTTTTTTTTGCTGTTTGGGTCACACCCGGCAATGTACAGGGATTCCTCCTGGCTCTGCGCTCAGGAATTACCCCTGGCGGTGCTCAGGGGACCATATGGGATGCTGGGAATCGAACCCGGGTTGGCTGCGTGCAAGGCAAACTCCCTACCCGCTGTGCTATTGCTCCAGCCCCGCAAGACAAGCATCTTAACCAGTATACTATCTCTCCTACCCTGCCTGTTTTTATCTGTTTTGGAGAGGTCACACTTGGCAGTGCTAGGG